AAACTACTGAACGGATTTTGTTGAAACTTTACAGTATTACTGTTTATAACCCAGATTAACATATAGGCTATAATTTATGACGATCTGTAACATACTAAATTTCACGCGGGTGAAAATTTTGCCTAGTTTAAACTGACTGTACTGAAATAAAATTGTACTACGGNAGTGTGCTAGTGTAAGACTAATATCATTGTGGTTGCGTTTAGAATCTTTCACAGCTTAATGATTACTATTATAACTGCTTTGCTGAACGATCCTTCTCACAACTAAAAAGGTTAAAAAACCCGCAAAGAACAAAAATCCGTCCAGACAAGCTTAATTATTTAGCATTAATGTGTATTGAGGCAGACATACTTCGTCGGATAAATTTCGACGCTGTAATCTCGAAGTTTGCTCTGATTAAGGCAAGGAAAATAAGTTTTACATTTTACCTACTACACTTTCTATTTTGATGAACTTTCATTTTATACTTTATACCTTCCATTCCATTCCTTCCATTTCCATTTAAGCAATAGAGGGCCTACACAGGCTCTGTGCTTAAGGCCTCGGATACTCTTAATCCGCCACTGAGCGTCAGGGAGGAAAACCCGACTTATTTTTATATTAGTAGATTCCAATTCATACAATAACAACGATAATCCATAAGGCTCAGAAAGTCGACCTACATATGAGTTTATCTTCCGCCGCTATGCGCTAATTAATACGGCCCTTGAGAGCAGTTTCCGCGCGCTAAAGATAAAAATGCCTTGATAATGACACGGGTTTGTTAACGCTGAATTAAGTGCTGTTGTGTTTTGATACAATATGTGTAAAGGCGAAATCATTTCGTCAATTCCTTTCTTGAGAAGAATCTGAAAATTGAGCGGTACCTACCTACTCTGAAGGTAAAGTTCACTAACCAATAGATAATAATAATAATAATAAATACTCTTTATTGCACACCACATTGTAAAAAGAAACAGAAATAATTTAGGTTTTCTGTTTTAAACTTATCAACACATAAGCCTAGGCGTTTTTAAGGCTTTAATAGATACAACTTTGTGACAAAAATATTTTTTAACTCTCAATGTAGAGCCAGGTTCTAAGCAGGCACGCAGTTGCTATGCTAGCAGGATAAAAAAATAATATTTCGTAGATTACTATGTTTATTTTCTTAAAAATATGTAAGTAGTTATGTATATAATTATTATTTGCACAAGCAGTGCTTCCCAAAGTAATACCGTAGTAGGATCTAAATAGAAGTTAAAGGTATTAAAATGCCTATAATATCTAATCTCTATAGATCTACCTATCCTTTGACTTTTCCTGGTGAATTTTACCAACTCAGAAATCAGAATCTTCACATTACTTCAGGGGAATACCGCATGCACAGGTAAACGCGTGTGTTTTACATTCTATGACGTTTGTTGCGTATCTTTTATTGCAGTATCTTATGAAACTTTACCAGCTTTACTGTTTTGCATATCTTGAAATAGCAATAAAGATGCATAGGTGCTACCCAATCTTCCAGCATCGTAACGAGAGCTAAAAAAAGATTTTAATGCTTAAAACATACCGTTGGAATGTAGGTAGTTGCGGTCATATTTCGCTACAAATACATAAACAACCTATGATGTTGGCAAATAACGGGTTAAAACCCTACAATAGGTAAATAATTGACGTAAGCACTTGTGTGAGGTAAGGCACGTCGAGCCCCCAAGAGGATAATTGGTGATGAATGTATACCTATGACGTAGTTTCCCCACCCACAATGTTTTGACAATGATTTGTATTTGCCTGTTTTTACGTCTAAGAAGACGTCAGCTAGGTTTTAGTTAATTACCTTTAGAAAAACAAAAGCAAAATAAGCCTCGTATCACGTCGGTTGCCATTGGCGTATCTAGGGTTATTTTTCAGGGGGAGGCTGGTTCCTGACATGCCATGTCAGAGAGCTTACGGGAGGAGTAATAAATACGTGATATTTCCCAATCGGTAGCCCAAAATCCTGGGGTGGACACAAATTTTGAAACAAAGTTCATTCAATTTATTTTAATAAACATGAATCATTATTGTTTATTAAAGGTTAAATACGACTTAAGTCACTTAGCACAATTCAAGGTATCCGACAAGTGATTAATAAGCATAGCTGGGCACCGTTAATCAAATAGTTAACATCGTTAATCGTTAAACCGTTAATAAAAAAATTAACTTCGTTAAACGTTAAAACGTTACATTTTGCAAGATTTAACGCAAGTTAACGTTAATCGTTAATCCGTTAACACATGATAAAGGGTTGGTAGTAGTTTCGCACGATTTTCCTTCGCACGAATGTGCGAAACGTCCCCTTTCAATAATATTTTTTTTTAGTAGGCGTTTCACCCGGATGTATTAAAAGTATTAAAATCGCGTGCGAATCGACTCTTTTTTGAACTAGTAGTATGCGATTACTAGTTCTCATTCGTGCGAAGGAAAATTGTGCGAAACTACTACTAACCCATGATAAAACGAAAAAAATAGTTGTATAATTGCAAGGTTCAAATAATTTTGAAAGCTTGTATCGCGCATGGAATGTATATTACTCTTTTATGTTTGCGCTACAAGCTTTCGAAATTATTTGAACCTTGCATAAGTACAATTAATTTCTCGTTTTAGTACAACTGCATTTCAGAATTAAAGCTGGTTTTTAAAAAAGTTTTTAATTATTATAATTTTATTTTACACTTTTTTGTAGTAAGTATCTCAATCTCAGAGCCTTGGTTCAATTACAATACAATTTAGCACCAAAGTGCTCGAAAAGAAAAATCCAGCAAACCCAAACTCGATAAGTTTCCACCGTTTCGTTTAGGAATTCCTATGGCCAACTCCTGACTCCATCATCAGTACCCTGGACATCATCTAGTACTAAAGTGCTCGAAAAGACAAATCCAACGAACCCAAATTCGATGCGATGCCGCCGTTTCATTTAGGAGTTCCTATGGCCACCTCATGACTCCATCATCAGACCAGCTCAATGGTACCATAACATTGCATTGCCATCGTACTTACATAACGCCTTAGGGTACGCCTTTTCAGCATGGCTCAGTAATATTTAACCTCTGTACATGTACCTATGCACATAAATGTTAATGCTGAATAAAGGTATTCTATTCTATTCTATTCTATAGTATACCAAATTTCAGCTCAATCGGTTGAGGAAAACTGGTCTTAAATTCAGTTGCAAGAGTTGTCCCACACACTAACAAGGTGTCGTTAGTGATCGGGTGGAAGCCCAAACGTACTTGTCAGAACGCGTTTTTGTAGCGTTTTAGCGTGCCTGCTGTATCTTTTTGGTAAATAGTAGGTACTGGATTAACAATTAACGGACTTAGGATAATTTAACGGAAGTTAACGAGTCCGTTAACATTTTTTAAAGTTAACTTAAAAGTTAATCCGTTAATAGAAATGTTAACTTCGTTAATTAACGATTAACGGATTAACGAGTTAATGCCCAGCTATGTTAATAAGTTATTCAATGTTTTACAAAGTTTGACTTCTGAAATTGTCCTTTTATAACTAAAATAATATCACCGGGTCACAATGGGCGGGGCACAGAGCTCGTAGAGCTGATGGCCGCTGGGGCAGGATAGTTCTTGAGTGGCGACCACGAGCCGGAAGACGTAGCGTGGGCAGGCCTCCCACTAGGTGGACCGAAGATCTGGTGAGGGTCGCGGGAGGTGCCTGGATGTGAGCGGCGCAGGATCGGTCTTTGTGGAAATCCTTGGGGGAGGCCTTTATCATCTAGCAGAGGACGTCTTTCGGCTGAAACGAACGAACGAACGTTTCAGACATCTTAAAAGCATTTTATTTATAGTTGTCGACTGACAACAAAAAAAGTATAAAGCCGCAGCATTGAACAGATAATACTTAATTACCTACATGCAGTATCAAAACAATAAAATAATAATTTTAAGTGATCATCGTTTTCTTCAGTTGGCTGTATGCAGGCAGCTACCAACCCGATCATTATGGAAATCATTGGGGGAGGCCTATGTTCAGCAGTGGACGTCCTATGGCTAAAATGATGATGATCATGGCGGCGCTCACTAAAATAATTAAAGAGAAACAGTAGGTTCCTGATTATTTCAAAATGGTGTCGATAGACACCTACATGTCCTTGCCAATTGATAACGAGGAGAAAGAGCCAGCGATCGGAAATGACGAAATACATAAATTTTAACGTGTCCCCATACATTAGAGAGTAATTCTCCGATAAATATGCAATTGTCTCAAGGGAACAGCCATTGTCGTCATTGCTGAATGCTGATGCGGGCAATGACACAGGGCTGATACAATCGAGCGACCCTGTGTAATGAAATTCGGTAAGTTGTGTTACAAATAACATTTCGTAGCCACCATTTTATTACTGTGCTGTTGTCGAGTGGCACTATCTTTTAAAGAATGACTAACATGTTGTTTCTGTCCCATAGAAAGGGGTGAATCGTGAGTGTGCTGCTCAATACCTCTGAAATCTACACATGCACTGTCCTGCGCATGAAGGGCCCGCGTGACTCTACACCATTTCATTACTCTCGTACTACATGTATATTTTAAAGACTGTAAACCCTTGAAAGGAGGCTGACAAGTGACTGACACCCGTATTCACAAACATTACTTTGAGGCCTCATAGTGCGCGTGGATGCACAGGGTCCCAAAAACCTATTCATAGACGATACTTCAGTGGTGACAAGCACTATGCGTCCCTTAGAATGAACGCAAAGCTAAGGTAGCCAGGGAGCTGTATTACGCAACGCATAGTGTCTATTTACGTCAAAATTTTTAGGTTATTCTCGTTTTTGAGGTTTGTTTGCTTTATTTATGGTTGTATGCGATTTATTATCTTACAATGGATTACAGTAGTGAAGAAGAATTTGATAATTATATCAATGAGCAAAGTAGAATAAGTACCAGAAAAGTGATACGGGATTCCCAAAACCCCTTTGATTATTACAATTCAGACGAATTTAGTTTAGGTTTTTCAATGATGGGGTACTTTTCATACTTTTACCACTGATAAAAGAAGACCTGAGGAAATTAACTGCGAGGAGGCCTTCCAGTGCCACCTACATAATGTATCAGTTGCTAGTGGCAAATAAAACATAAAATTTTTAATAAAGTTTTATTTTCATCAATCTTCAATGTCTAATTTAATTTTATGTATTTGTAAATCATAAAGCTTTTTTTCATGTTCTAACAAATTGTTTTCTCTTTCTATCAATATTTTTTCTCTTTGTAGCCCCAACTCGTGCAAAGCCTGGTCTTGTTGTATATTATTCAATGTGGTGCGTTTGATTCTTGTTTCTGTCTTAATCTTCATTCTTGCTACTACTAATCTTAATTTCTTGATACCTACCTGAAAAGCAAATTATGAATTTAATTCCTTTGAGTATATTCTGCTTAGTTATTCCTCATAAATCTACGTACTATATATTTTAAAAACATTACTTACTAGTGGGTGTTGAGAACGTTTGATTGATTCCTGAGAAAGTTCTTTCATTCTTTGGGTCTTTAAATTATTCCAGCAGCTTTTCAGTTGATGTGTGAGCCTTTGTGAAACATAAAATATGGTTGAGAATTGTAAGCCACTGTTAGAGTTTCCCAGGCCTGCTTCGTCAACTCGATATTTTAGAGAGGATAATAATATGCTTGTCTTCAATAATAGGCCTTTCTCTTATTAAGCTACAATCAGCAGCTCTCTTTCGGAAGAAGAAAACGGCAGCTTTTTTATCTGAAAAATAATGATTGAAACATGATTTTCACTATTATTATTAATCGAAATATTCATACTAACCTGATAGTTGTAGTTTTATCCATATTTATTTATATTATTTAATTCACAAATCCACAAAATAACGACACTTATAAACCGTTGCACCGTTTGAATGACAGGAATGTCATGTCAGTTAGCGGAGTGAAGTGCGTAACATAAGCGAACCAATCACAGAACTCTATTCAACACTCTGTTTTTGCATAGTCAAGGGTCGTTTAAGTATTTTTTATGAATTGAAAGGCTTGTCATATGGAACGCATTGAGAAAATGTCTCATTTCGCATAGCGTTGCTGCTTTGCATAGGTAAGTATCGTTTGTGAATACGGGTGTTAGTTTCTTGCGCTGCTACTTCACTGCACTGATCCATTTATTGTCCTGAAGCAGTGGTAGGGTTAATACTGGGACGTGTAAAAGTGCTTTTTAAAAGCCTAGGCTATTGCAAAAATAAATGAGTTTTACTCTGTACTTAAATGAATAATTTTCCTACGTGTCTACAGCCAAATAAATAATATGCCCCCCTCCACTATTAGCCAGTCCAACACTGGCCAAAATCACGCCTTGCCGATTTTATTCGAAATTAAAATAAAAAAACTTTAACAACCCTAGAAACACAAGGTCAAGGAAATCCCGGAGATTATTTTTTAGGGACCATGATGCAGTAGTTAATTTAATTAAGCACATTATCAAGTACCTAGTTCAGTTAACCTTATGCAAATAAGTAAGTGGATATGTACTGGTTTCTGTGAAATAATTATACACAAACACATCAAAATCGCTAGGTATTCTATCCCTCTTAGTACGAGTTTAGTATTTAATTGAGAAAAGACTATATTTTCTGACAAACTTAAATGAAAGCATTTTCCTCAAAGAGGTCAAGATCAGCAATTATATTTTAATCGCTTAATTACACAATTAAATAGCTATAAATAACAAAGTTTGAGAGTTAATATTCCAAATAGGTACGATACCAAACAAATTAATGTAATATATTTTGTACAATCGTTATTTTGAATCCTAAACCAAAACAATCGTTGCTTTAAACCAAAACCAAATAAAAAAAACATTTTTAAATCTTCTAACGCGTTGGTGTCTTTGATATAGGGCATTAACTTGGGTCAAAATTAAAAACAAAAATAAATTACAGAATATATTTTATTCAAGTATTAAACCTTACAAATAAACAATCTTAACTTTACCTTTAGCATAATATATGCATTAAAAGAATATATTAACGTCAGAATCCAAAATTCTGAATAATAAAATATGGAGTCGTTATTATTTTGAAAAATACTAATTTGTTAGGTATTTTATTCTGATCCCTTTTGCACTCGTATTCAAAACATACCTTCGTCAATGTTACCTTATTAATGTTATATTTATTTTTTAATAACTTATCGTCCATAAACCAAACCGAATCTCAAATGGGCAGGGTCGATTATTGCACAAAATCGCCTTTGAAACCACGAATTATACCCATTATGAAACTTTTTGTTATAAACCACAACCTCCATAGGCGAGTCTTGTTTTTTGTATTGTTACTGACGAGTTCTCTGTTATTAGAACGACGCTCAAAATTCAATTCGATGAGGCTTTCGATAAGTTACATTTTAATATTCAGACAAATCACGGGATAAAACAAGATTTAGATTGAAATAATTATTCAATTTTAAGTCGCATCTCAAACTAAGTTAAATGAAGAGCAGTCGCCCGGCAATCGGAAGGTCGTGGGTTCAATTCCCGCCTTAGGCAGTTCGATTTTTTCAAGTTACTATTTATAATTTTCAAATTAGATTGAAATAAGTTTTGACCGTCAGTTATCGTAATACGAAACCTAGTGTGAGTACCACACCTTGGGAAGAGCAGCAAAGATTCACAGCAATTACATACGGGGCTGGACAACTTAAGCTGACTAGACTATAAGCCTAGGCGCAGACCACCAACTTTTACTCTGCCGGTAGTTGGGCCCGATTCAATTTATATCAATCAATCATCGTCGGCCGTTTGGTGTAGTGGTTCAGGACAAACTACTATGCCGAGAGGTCCCGGGTTCGATTCCCGGCCGGGCAGAAATTGAAATGATGAATTTTCATTTCTGTGACGGGTCTGGGTGTTTTCTATGTATAATATGTATGTATTTACAAAAAAAAAGTATTTAAGTATGTTTATATCCGTTGTCTAGTACCCATAGTACAAGCTTTGCTTAGTTTGGGACTAGCGGCGCAGTGTCAAATGTCCAAGGATATTTTATTTAATCGGTGTACCTAATGTGCGCACTTTCATACATCTCCATACTGATTAATAGCCCGACCCAACTATCAGCCAACTAAAATCGGTGGTCGGCGCCTAGATTAGAAGAAGAAGAGTTTTTTAAGTAAGTAATTAGTAGCGCACTGACAGAGGCCTAACTTCCAGCATGGAGGCTGATGGCTACTATTTTTTTACATTATAATTATCTTCGTTATGTTTCGTTAATTGCACTGCACACCGGTTGGTTGTCGTAGCCGAGTTTCCGCAGGTCCTTGGAAACCATTGAGAGAGTCACCATCACACTGCCATAGGATTCTGTGCGCAGCACTGGAACAAATAGAAACCGTTAAAAAACAAGAATTTAGAAACCATAAATCAAATTAAATTAAACAAAAAAAAGAATATTTGGAGGAAAAAGTAATTAGAAAACCGGCCAACCTGGAAATCATTGGGAGCGTTCATTACCTACTTATTTTTAGTAGCAGCCGTCCTGTGGAGCTGAAATTATGATGTTAATGATAATGAAATGATGATGATCAGATGATGATAGTTTGAAAAACATTTTTATTGACCCGATCGGGCATCGAACCCGGACTTTCGCCATAGTGTCGTCGAACTATTGTAATTTACATTTCAATTAAAATATTTTGGCAATAAAGATCTATATGTCAATAAAAAATAAGGTTTACGGTATCTGCTTACGCCCGTATTCACAAAGAGGTCTCACAGTGCGCGTGGACGCACAGGGTAACACACGAACCAATCACAGAGCTCTATTCCACGCTGTGCGTTCGATTTGCTGCTTCACTTATGCAAGCATCGTTTATGAATACGGGTTTTATTCTGGATTCGTAAAAAATACGAAGAAATAAGTTTCGTGCAAACATTGTTGGGTTTACCACGTAAATGCGTAAGTCTGCTATCTAGACCAAAAGCCGACCTAGAACTGGGCATTGACACGTTTAGGAGCAATTACGAGCACGCCACCATCTTCATTCATTTCACCGTGATTCATAACTGCTATTGATAACTTATCGACTAGTCTAATTTATGCGACGCAACTAGTTCACGCGTTACGCAAAGTAGTAAGCGGATTATCCCAACTAATATTATAAATGCGAAAGTAACTCTGTCTGTCTGTCTGTCTGTCTGTCTGTCTGTCTGTCTGTCTGTTACGCTTTCCCTCGCAACCGATTTTGATGAAATTTGGCATAGAGATAGTTTGAGTCCCGGGAAAGAACATAGGATAGTTTTTATCCCGGTTTTTGAATCAGGGACGCGCGCGATAAAGTTTTTCTGTGACAGACAAAATTCCACGCGGGCGAAGCCGCGGGCGGAAAGCTAGTAATACATAATAACTAGTTCCAATTGGATTGAAATTAATCTTGAATACGATGGTTATTAAGTTGCAAAAGTATTTATTGTGATTGGCAACAAAAAATATACCTACACTGGTTTCTAGCACAGCAGGATCCCTATCTAAATAATTAGAGTTTATATTGTGACCTTCATTCATGTTTTTTACTTAGTCTTTACTTGAAATAATGTAGCTACAATTAAGTTGTTTGTAGTGGCTTCATAAGCACCAACTTATTTTTACATCTCTCTATGAAAATCTAATGCGTTAGCGTTACTGAAAAAGTAATTTTTTTTTTAAACTTAGTGCATCTAAGATAATTGAAAATGTTTTGATAACCTTGCAAAGCAACTTTTACTAAAGAAAAATTTTAAGAGCTATAGACGAAACATTTTTCATTTCAAAAAATAAAGTTTGCTCTTGCAAACTTATTATTATTAGGAATTAGACATGGATTTTCTGTGAGGCCCAGAACAGACGGTGAAACGCAACTGCAACGAAACTGCAACTTTTTGATGATTCTGATGAATGAAACTGAAACTGAAAGTTTCAAACTGGTCGCGTCATGTGTGGTCTCTCAACGGACGCTATAGCAGAAACTTAGTACAACTCAAAAGTAACTAGCAGTTGCAGTTTCGTTGCAGTTGCGTTTCACCGTCTGTTCTGTGCCTAAGTCTTACAATAGTTCTCCTTTCCTCCCGCCAACATCTTCGGGTCAGTCAGCTCAGGGCGCCGCCCCGTCATCCACGATAGCCACTCGCCCAACACGGTGGCGGCGCGCGGGCGAAGCAGTGGCGCTGTGGCAGCCCTGGCGCCGGCGGTCGGTGGCATCAGGACCAAAGCGTACCCGTGGAGGGAGTCCCCGCTAATCGCGTTCTGCGCCCTAACTGTGATGACTAGCTGTGGCCCTGGGTAATAAAAATTATAGGGAAATGCGCGTCATATTCTGCAGTTGCTTGGAGCGTATTAACAATTCGCGCACAGAATAGAATTAACTAGGTCATAGTCATAGTCTTGTCATAGTCATTTATTCAGGTACTGTTTGTTCAAATCCAAAGTTGTTATAGATCTTCAGGCCAAACACAAAACAGTTATCACGAGGGTACCTACTTATATAAGGATAAATAAATTGACTTGGAGTATTGAATTAGGAATGACGAATGACTCATACAAAACCACTCACAACCAAATACATTCGTGCTGCTGAAGACTAATTCAATCGGCATGTTGAAGACTACCTTCTCAGGATCGCTTCCAGGGCAGGCCATCTGACTTGTTCCACTAGCCAGCCCCGAAACAGGGTCCCAATCGGGTCCCCAAACCACCTCATAATGCACATACAATTGCTCGTCAAAAACTCCCGCTGGGAACACAACGTATTCTATCTGACCACTGAATGACACAAGAAACTTTGTAATACCATTCTCTTTCATTGAATCAGTGAAACTTTTACTTTTCAACTTGTTCGTAAACTGCTGGAAATTACACAACAAAAACAAAACAAACGTTGCCATGGTTACAAAATGTTGCCATTTTTCAAAAACCTTTTTTTCAAAACCGGAACTTGTACTGAAAATAAATCACTCGTTGATAAAATTGGTAAACAGTTGCAGGAGATTTACTATTTTTTTTAGAATTTTATTTACTTTATTTACTAGAATTTATAAATGTTATTATTTTTCGGTTTTTACTTTCCATAGACAAATTAAAACGTACCTACTTCCGTTATGCTGTTTTACCGACCCGCTTCCAAAAAATGTCACAAGATGGCACTGCATGTGCTTTCAAAAATCCCCATCGGCCACCATTGTTGAAGGCGATTTTATTCAATACTTTGACGAATTTTTGATTTTTTGTGATACTTTACGACGAAATATAACATTTTAATTATAAAGGTATGGTGCGCATCATCTAACAAGACGTTACCAAGAGATTATCGACTCCAAAAGTGATTATTTTCGAAACGTAGATGCGTTCAAAATGTCACGCGAAGTGAGCATCAGATTCGAGAACACCTTACCATGCACGAAATAAATCTAGATTTCTTTGAAATAAGTGGTCATACATTGTGAGAGAGTGGAGTTCTCTGTGTGAACTATTCATGGGATGCAGTGGTTATCAGAAAATTTAATGTGCGCACATGAAAACGTTTCGGAAGTTTCTGTACACGTCGTAAGGGAGCGCAGTTACGCGGGCGAAGGCTTCAAAGTTGCCGGCATCATTATGGTGGACTGAGAGAGTGTTTGTTGTCTGATTAGTGTTGAGTACGTGTTGTAAACAGTGCCGCGAGGAGCCGCGCACGATGTCCGGCGGGTCGCAGCACAACCCGAACGGCCGACAGTCGCAGTTGGGCCCCGGTTGGAGCCCTCTGCAGGTGGTGCATATTATTCCATTCTCATTCACGCTTTACTTACTCTATTTGCCAACAACCTAGCATACAGACATCTTCAGTGCTAAATAACAATGCTTGCATGAAAGTAGTATAGTCCAGATGTTAAAATGTAGTTTAGGCACACAAACATTTCTTTGTGCACATTTTGCCAGTTGCACCTTTGTATGTGTGTGTGATGCAAGCAAATCAGCTGTTTGCACTGACAAGTAATCAAAGTGTAACAACACAGTTGCATAGTTCTCATGTTCAGATTAGAAAATTAAAAGTTATAAATAGTACACAAATCAGAAATAACAAGATTTATGTTTTGCATTGAACCAAAGTGTAAGTCAGTGGAGCTTCAAGGTTGTTTATCTATGATGACATGGATTGGTTTTGTTCTGAGTTTTAGGTAAACTAGGTAACATAAATAGGCATAGCAAAAATATTAATTGAGCAATATAATTGTTTGTGAAATGTACCTAATTAGTGAAACCCACTTCTATGAGAGATAAGATTATTATTCCAACTAAATTGGGTATTATTGGCTATATAAAGTCATGATAACATAAATGGAGTTGATTTGTGGAAAAGTACCACTTCAAGATTTCATAATATAAAACATCGGAAAAAATACACATTGGTATGCATGACTATATTGTCAGCCTTTTGTGAAAAAATAATTTTGTTTCATTGTGCATGTTTTGTGTTGTGCATGTAATTTATAAGGCTTGGTTGCATCGCCTTAACTTTAACAAATGTCAAAAGTCTGTCAAACTTCCTACGAAAAACACCAGCTATAGATGACCCACGCTGAACTGTCCCACCAAACTCAATGACAGGGGGGCGCTACCATCGTTCAAGTATATGGTTTCCAATATGTAAAAAATCAGAACCAGCGATCCGGTATTGACGGTGGCGCCCCGCTGTCAATGTCATGGATAGGACAGTTCAGTATTTTGGAAATATATGGTTAAAGTAAGGTGGTGAAACTCAGCCTTAATGTAGCAATTTTATCATTAGATTAGGTTATATTAACATCATAGAAGATCTCTTTTAAAATGTGTTCGGTAACTTTCCTGGAAAGTGATTATACTTACACTGTCATACAATAAACTATTTGTTTCAAGTTCTTTATTTTCCATCTTGAGGAAAAACTTTTTGTTTAAAGTTTTTCCTCAAGATGGAAAATAAATGAAAAAGTTTTTCAATTAAAAGCGGAAATTAATTTCAACTGTAAAAAATATGAACACAAACAAGCATATTGTATGCAAATTAATGTAGACAGAAAAATATCATTTAAACAACAATAAAGTAATTGTTTGAATGAACCAAAATGGGTGGTGTCCTGGGACCTTATTGTTTAACTCTGCACCTATCATTATCAATGTTACAGACAGTAACACAGTATGTTGTCAGAAATGGATGTACTTTAAAGTGATTAAGATCACAGCCTGAGCAATTAAGAAATAAGGTTCCTTATCCTTTAAAAAATACAGTGTAATGTATCATGTACAGTCATGGTCAAATAATTTGTGACACCCAAAGTGGCCAAAAAGTTGACAACACAATCGGAATGTACGATTGTAACGAAGACGTGTTGTGAACTTTTGGATATTTTGGTAGTCACAAACTATTTGACGCTGACTGTACCTACCTAATCAGCAATTACAGTATATTTCTTTGCAAACACAATAAATGTATAACTGTTAGTATTGTTCACAAGATGTTTAAAAATTTAAATTTCTTGATAGCTGACGGAGCCCCGTTTATCGCTTAGTGTCCCAGGGCACTGGGCATGTGCCCAGACTGCCTGCCTGGAAAGAGAGGCCTGATTCAGTTAGATAAACACAATTAATGTTTACCAGATAAACAAATAGGTTGAACAGGTGCGATTGTGGTCAAATACCTGCCTTGTAATGATTAAAAAAAAAAATAAGAACAGACCCCAAATAAAGCGCTTGACTGAGTGCCTGAGGCATAGAAGCTTCACGGAAGGGTGTTTTTGTGACAGTGAAATGTCAGCAAGACTTCAGATTTGTATGCTCTGTCACGTCATAATATCAATGTCACCCCTGCCGTGCCACTCGCCTACCTCAGGCACTTACTGAGATCGCTAGTCTAGTATGTGTTGAGATATGTGTCTAACTATAGTCTGGTCTGCGACCACGTAGAATTTTGTCCAATGACCCCAAGCTACCCATCCTTATCTTTCTTTCTAATTATGTTGCTGTTGCGCTCGCACACTCACTGCGGGCGCCCGTTGCACTGTCGCGACAGCAATATAATTACGCGCAAGCGATAAGGATGGGTAGCTTGGGGTCATTGGACAGAATTATACGTGCTCACAGACCGGGCTTTAGACTCTAGTGGCTTTACTCAATCCTCATAACTTAAATCCTTAAATTCAAGTTCAAATTATTTATTGCATTATCCTTAGTATCACATAAAGCAATTTGTACCGTTTTCACATATTGAAAGTCAACGAAACCATCAGTTACAGGTGGCAAACTTCCTGGCGCGCGCGCCCCAGGTGCACATGGCTGCCGAACGCGGCGTCACGTGGCACACGCCGACGCCGCCGCCGCACCTCTACCACGTGCCGGCGCCTTCGCCCCCAGACCCTCTGCAGGTAAGTGACACCTCCGCTCCCAATCCCAATCATGTAATAAATGTATCTTTCTTTCTTTCTTTCAATCCCACACTCCGGTCCGTGAGCACGTAGAATTTTGTCCAATGACCCCTAACTACCCATCCTTATCGCTCGCGCGTAATTATATTGCTGTTGCGACTGTGCGACTGGCACCCGCAGTGAGTGTGCGAGCGCGATAGCAACATAATTACGCGCGAGCGATAAGGATGGGTAGCTTGGGGTCATTGGACAAAATTCTACTTGCTCACGGACCAGACTATAACAACTGCCTCATTTCAACGTTGCGGGTCCAATGACAGTTTAACTTTCCAACGGGACAAACTTGACCTTCACTGGTTGGGTTTTTATTGGTGTAGATCCTGGCTACACACAGTTGCAGCGGTGGGAACGAGAGGTGGGAATAGTCCCTGCCTCATCATTTCAGCCACAGGACGTCCACTGCTGAACATAGGCCTTCCCCAATGATCTCCATATCGCCCGGTTGGTAGCTGCCTGCATCCAGCGTCTTCCTGCTACCTTTATTAGGTCGTCGGTCCACCTTGTGGTTGTCAACTAATTGGACGTGGACATCAAAGACGTGGAAATCCGTGGAAGCGGATTTCCGTGGAAATTGAAAAGACGTCGAAATCCGTGGAGGAGGTCTTTGTCCAGCAGTGGATGGAGTTTAAATAAATAAATAAAATAAAATAAATAAATCCTTGGACATTTTACACTGCGCCTCTAGTCCCAAACTAAGCAAAGCTTGTACTATGGGTACTAGACGACGGGATAAACATACTTAGTTTGGTTGAAACAAATAGATTCAACTATTATTAGTTGGACTGAACTGATCATAAGTATGTAATGGACTTACCTAGCTCCTCAATACCTTCCATCGATTGGCAAGCAAGTTGATCAAGCTCATCCTAACTAAGCTGTGAATGTAACCCAAGACTTTCAGGTCCTGCAACTTTCTAACCACTGAACTGGGATCATGGGATGGCTGTTTTAAGTATTTAGTGTACAACTTAGGACTAAGGTGAAAAGCTCGTTAAAATATAAAACTGCTTTCACTATCACTTATATTCATTTTATATCATCACTAAAATCCATGAAATACTTTAATAAACTTGCTAGATCTTCCGATGTGTGGTCGCCACCCAAAAACTTTTCTGCCTTAACGATCGTCAGTTTTAGGTGATCTATGCCCCGGCCACTGCCACTTAAATTTGGCTATTCTCCTGGCTATGTCGGTTACTTTGGTTCTCCTATGGATCTCTTCATTTCTATCCGATCATGTAGATAAACTTTGAGCATAGCACATTTGTGTAGGTATAACATTAACATACGTCATTTAAACACTGAAATATGCGTAATTATTTTTTCACAATACTGAAAAATCTTCGAGACACGTGATCATCAACATTTGCCCCGCCCACATGGTAAGCGATCTCAGGAACTGTTTAGTTCAGAGAGTCATTAACTATTTAGTAGACAAAGATTCTTCTTATTTCCTTTTTCCAGACTAGAATCCTATTTCAGCTAGTCATATCACGAGTAATAATAAAGATGGTTTACAAAATTATTTGGGCTGATTCTAAATAACCACATGAGCCGCCGTCTGGAATGAAACATTATAGTGATTGTAATTAATGCTATATTTGCTTAACCGCAGTTAGTTAGTCAAATCATGACATTACATGTATTTCGGAAACCTATCACAACTTATTTTTCCTTGGCAGCACACTAAAGTGCAAAGTACACTTCATAACTTTTATTACATGTGTTCTTTTGTATGGTTTCTATTTAATACACACAATCTATGTAAATAATGACTTCATAATCGTCATTTATTGATAGAATCTATAATTCAAGGATATGTGCATCCGTTGTCCTAAGATATTGGTTCACATGCGTACTAGAGCGCAACTACTCTATTTTAAAAGATACTTATTCGATATCGCTTCCTGTATTTGTCTTGGAAAATTGTTAAGGCCAATATGCATAAGTGAGTACCGATTTGGTATCGGCCGATTCTTCATATAAATTAGAATTGAGCCCAACTATCGGCCAACTAAAAGTCTGTGGTCTGCGCCTAGGCTAAAAGATATGTAATCCTCAAATTCACTTCACTGCTGTCAGGTGTCAACCTTTAAGGCAGTACGAATACCGAAGTAATATTGCAGCTTTGTATCTAGATTTGCAGCACGAACCTGTTGTGCCCACCCCATAAAGGGTTAACTCTCCCTTAATTTTGCTGCTCCCCAACTAAAATTGGTGCAACAGGTGACGAGTACATCGCACATCGAGTATACCTCAGAGTTGGACGTGATTTTCGAAGGAGACGAAAGTTTATCTGGTCTCAGAACACTTGTTGCGCCGAATCGGTATTCAAAGTGGGTGACCTGATGCACTTTTCTAATTCTATAATTTATTGACTTTGCCTTCGTGTTGACTGTTGACGCACGCAAGGATTATGTGAAAGACACCAGCTGGTGTTTTATTGATTCTGAATGCTAACGAATGTACAAATGACAGCATAAAAAGCTAAACAATTTGGAATCTAATATGCTTGTAATAAGTGTTACATTACAACAAAAATTCCTATACTGTACAAGAAATTAATAGGGGAATATGCATCGATTTTAAAAATTAATAAACACTTTAGTTAAATGATAAAATTTCTGAAAAACTAGTGAAATCGGACTGGAAACAAAAAAGTTACATGTGTTTAAACTTTGTATGGAAATGACTGAGCGTGACGTCAAATGTCACCCTCCCATAGTAACTTGTATGAGACTCTGCGTGTCGTTCTAACATGACCATGACGTCATGAGATCTCTAACGTTTATATCTTAGGTGTCTTTTGAAATTTTTGTGAAAGACAAGCACTAATTGATTTGATAATACCAAAGCTACTGAAATGTGAGAAATAAAAAAACCTTGCATTTCCTATTATAACTTTACTAATGCTACTTATTTTTCATCATCATTATCAGATTTCCAACAATAATGAACACCTTACGTAAACATTATTTTACCCATTGCCATTTTATTTTGTTGCTACACTAACATAAGTTTAACTAGTGCAATCTTGATTGGATGTAGGAGATGTTTGCAACGTTGCAGGCGATGAAAAATGCCGGCGGCAACTCGGTGTTCCGGCACACCGCCACCCCGCCGGAATTGTACCGGCACACGCCGACCCCGCCGGATAAACACTTGATGAGGTGAGACAATATTTTTACAATAATATTATAAATTTTGCCATAAAAATGTTATTTCTCACTAAAACATTGCCACCATTATTGATGTATGATGGAATGGGTTTTGTTCTAGTTAAAAGTTTATTTTCTTCTGTTGGGTCGGTTCAACTGAGGTAACAAGGTCACAACCCTGATTGAGATAGATGGTCAGACTTTAAGGCTTGGTTCCACCATCTTACTTTAACTTTGACAAACGTCAAAAATCTGTCAAACTCCATACAAAAAGCACCGGTTATCGTCATAGTTACTGTCAAAGTAAGATGGTGCAATCCACCCTAAGATACGCTATAGGCGTCTGATATGACTCAGAAGTTTCATAATCGGAGTCCATGGCTTAACGTGCCCTCTGAACTCTGAAGCACGAATTCACATTTTTCTCTAACAATTACGATCAAATTAATACTATTGCTGATTTCAATGTGCCCTCGACTGAATCGCGTTCTACGACCTGCCGTATAGAGTTAGAATTTAAGAAAATATGTTTATTTTAGACACACCCCTTCGCCGGGCGATGTCAAATCCGGAGCGTCCATGCCACAGCCCGAGCTCTACCCACACTTGGGGCCTGGCAGAGGTAAGTTACTGTTTTACCTACTTATTCATTGGACACTTACCATTTAGGGTTTATATGCTAAGGAATGTTTAGAGGATCGCGTGTTTTTGTATGCACTCCGTAGGAAACCTCGCGCACGCTATACAAATGTTATGCAAATATTTCATTTAAAAAATTTGTTCGTTCGTTGTGGTTCATGCACACCGACGTATGAGTTGTCATTAATATAGTCACGTTGCTAAAACTCCGTTACAAAAATAGAATGTTAGATTCAATACAGTATTAACGCCATTCTTTGTGTACCAAAACGTGAATATTCATTAGGTGCAAATAATGATTTAATAATAATTCCAAGCGGAACTTAAAACTTGTCGAATGCTTCTTAAATCAATACTTAAAGTAATGATATTAAACTTAAACCAAATTCTAATGTAATCTAATTATTCTACGAAGTAACATTTTTGTTTTCATGCATTAATTCGTTGAAACGGATTTATACATAGATGTATAATTTTCTTTTTTGAACCAATTGGCAGTGTTGGCAATACATGGAATAAAATATAATTTTCAACTCTCTGAGGTTCTTAAAGTCAGAATGTTCCTATGTTATTTTTTGTTTGAGTGCTCATCAATTAGCGCCATTGTAAAGCAATGTCAATGACACCTCTGTAGACTATAATATACAAACATGTCGTTAGGTACAAAAACTGTAGCCCTCATTGGCTAATAAAAATTAAACCAAGCTTGAATTAGACCAACACTTAGTGCAGCATGAATACCCAGGATATCATAAGGCCCTGTTTCCACCAAAGCGGAATTTGGATTGGAGAATGAAATCTGATTGGTTATTCAAAACATTTCTCTGATCCGCCTTGATGGACCCGGGCCTAGCACTACATTGAGGAACTAGCGCCGCTAGACTATTCTGGTGAACCCACGCGTAAAGGTGAGTATAGACTAGCTAGAGCATTTACTTGTATCAGAACAACGAGCCGCTCTATGAAAATGTTCTAGTATCAGTATCACCCTTTCACGAACCAAACTTCTTACATTTTACCTGTATTGTACCATTCGCAAGAACGTTATATTACATAGAAATGCTCTAGTCCAGGGATGGCGAACCTTTAAGATTGAACGTGCCACTATTTAAAAAAAAATTTGAAGTAGTCATAGACACGTGCCATTAAATTAACACCTAATGCTATCAAGTGGCACCACTGGTGAGTGGCACGACCTTACTCTACAGTGGCACTAACTGATGACGGCAAATACGATAGCTCATAATCAAAACACATTATTTACTATTGAATTACTGAATTTGTGATTGGTGGCGTGCCCAAAATATTATGTCGCGTGCCATCATTGGCACGCGTGCCATTGGTTCGCCAACCCTGCTCTAGTCTATACTCACCTTAACACAAGCATATTTCGCTTACCACTCGTGGTTAAAGGGATAAAAAAACGCTACATTACTTCGCAGACAAGCTAGTCCGGCCCGAGGATCTGCTGGCATACGCTCGCGTGGGTGTGGACTTGTCATTGGCAGGCGCGCGCGCAGCCAACGGCTCGCCCGCGCCACATCCAGCCTCGCCCGCGCTGTCTGTACGGGACGCGCCCACCATCAACAGTCTCATAGGTCAGTGGGGTTTATAGCTTTACACATGACAGCCGAAAAGTGGGTAATAAAATAGATACGCCCACTATCAACAGTCTTATAGGTCAGTGGAGTTACAAATGACAGCTGAAGAGTGGGAAATAATAATAATAGACACGCCCACTATCAACAGTCTTTCACATGTGGGCGATTTAGCAGCGCGACAGACGCGCTGCCGAAAATTTCATACTATGTGACAGCGGATGCATGCCTTCACATTATAAAAATGCTGCTGTCGCGCTTCTCATGCCCTAATGTGGAAGCGGCTTTTTAGCTTTACAAATGGTGACATCCGAAGAGTGGGCAATAATAGACACGCCCACTATCAACAGTCTCATAGGTCAGTGGGGTTATAGGTTTACAGATGACAGCCGAAGAATGGGAAATAAAATAGATACGCCCACTATCAACAGTCTTTCACATTTAGGCGATTTAGCAGCGCGACAAACGCGCGACAGACGCGCTGCCGATAATTTCATACTATATGACAGCGGATGCATGCCTTCACATTATAAAAACGCCGCTGCCGCGCTGCTGTCGCGCTTCTCACGCCCTAATGTGAAAGCGGCCTTATAGCTTTACAGATGGTGACAGCCGAAGAGTGGGCAATACTAGACACGCCCACTATCAACAGTCTCATAGGTCAGTTGGGTGTAGTGATGATAGATCACTGGAGGTTTGAAGTGAAGTTTGCAGATGGTGTCAGCCTGATGAACTCATTGTCAGATTGGAATCAGTGGAAGATTGGAGTTTTGCAGGAACGAGTAGAACTAGAGTATGCGCCGGATGCCTAGACAGGCTCCGCCCCATTAAACATTTGTAATCTTAAATTGTGACCAGCGTTGTTGGATTCATGATAAGCACTATCCATAAAACTAGCTTTTAAGAATACATATTGTGAATCTGTTTGTGGTCCAAATTAATAATTAAAAAAAATTAAAAAAATATGCAGCGTGAGGTCACAACTGTGATGATGTTTTGTTCATTTGCAGCTGATTAGTAAGTTTACGGCTCTATAGTACAGCATTAGCATCAGACTGCCGCTTTGTCAGTCGATCGCTATTTGAATCCCGTCGCACTATAGTCGTTGAAATTGTGAGGCTCTCCCTGCCAGATGGGCAGGGCAGGGCCTACTCACTAAAACCTGACGTTGTCCGTCGTGTCCTCCCAAAGTTTTTGAGACGGAACTGCGAATTATTGTCTGAGCTAGAGGGCTTAGACTTCTTTCGCGGCTCCGCCCATAATAAAATTCAAGATTCATAAATTAATAAGATTTTTATGGATTTGACATTATGCGCCTAAATGCCAGACAACAAGCACATTTAAGCTGACTTGGTAACGTTAACCTATTCAATTTTAGACAAGATGATAGACATGTAGTTGTTGTCTAGAGACGATAAGACTTCGTGGCACGCATTCTAAGTCGACAAATTGAGTGATTCCAGAAGCATCCTGTGGGTCTAGACAAAGTGCAAATTATAATCGCAAACCAGTCGAAAAGTGGTCGAAAAGCCCCTTTTTTGTATGGAGTTTTGACGGATTCGATTTTCGATTCGATCAAAAAGTGCGTTTTGTCTAGGGGGGCTGAAATACATAGCAAATCTCAGAGCGGTTTTTGAGCAAATTGTCAATACAACATGTCAAAAATGGAATGTTTTGTTTGACAGCACGCGCAGCACCGCGCCACGGGCACGCGCGGGTAGACGCGCTGCTGGAGCGGCTCGCGCCCGCGCCCGCCTCCCCGCACTCCGTCATCGTGCACCCGCGCGCCGCGCCCACGCCCTCCCCGCCCTCCTCCAACGAGGTCAGTGACGCAGCGAGGGTAAAGCCCGGTCTCCGAGCACGTAGAATTTTGTCCAATGACCCCAAGCCCTATTGCGCGCGCACACTCACTGCGGGCGCCCGTCGCACGGTCGCGACCAGACTATAGACGCGCTGCTGGAGCGGCTCGCGCCCGCTTTCCCGCACTCCCCGCCCTCCTCCAACGAGGTCAGTGACGCAGCGAGGGTAGTACGCTAGCCTCGTCACAGCACGCGCCATAGAATAGAATTTTGTCCAACGACCCCAAGCTACCCATCCTTATCGCTCGCGCGTAATTATGTTGCTGTTGCGCTCGCACGCTCACTGCGGGCGCCCGTCACACAGTCGCCGCACTCCCCGCCCTCCTCCAACGAGGTCAGTGACCGCGAGGGTAGTACGCTAGCCTCGTCACAGCGCGCGCCATAGAATAGAATTTTGTCCAATGACCCCAAGCTACCCATCCTTATCGCTCGCGCGTAATTATGTTGCTACGCTCGCACACTCACTGCGGGCGCCCGTCGCACAGTCACCGCATTCCCCGCTCTCCTCCAACGAGGTCAATGACCGCGGTGATGCAGTTTAGGCATAGTGTAACGCCACACAACGATTTTTTTAAGAAAAACGTCACCCTTGAATCAATCTTTTAGGAACGTCATCCTTATTTTAGTTTAGCACTTTATTTTATCGCACTTAGCCTCTTGATTAGGCCTATGTGAGTAATAAAGTGAGAAGCCTGTCTCAGCCGCTGCAAGCTTCTGGTAAGTAATGACGCTGATGATTGGAGAATTTGATCCTGCAACGGCTCCAATATTTCTTACTGTACATTCTTGACCGTTTCCACTCATGTCTGTACATCTACTAATACAGCCATCTCTCCGTTACAGGATTCGGCAGACTCATGCGGCGCGCCGCCCGGCTCAAAGAGGAAACGAAAGCCGGAGCGGACGATACGCGTCCCAGCCGCCCCCGCGCCCGCTGCGCCCTCCCCGCCGCCCCCGCGCCTCGCCCCGCCCACCCCCACCCCCGAACCCCCCTCCCTACCCGCCCCCCCTCCAGCCGTTGAACCCCCTCGTCCCCCCGAACCCCCGAAACCGACCGAGAACGGCGAAATCAAAACGAACGGCCCCGAGAGACCCCCCTCCCCGCCGCCCCCGCCGCAACAACCAGCCCGGCCCCCCGCCCGGAGAAAAACCAGATCAGGCTCCGCGGAAACCATCGACGACATCGCCGCCATGATCGCGTCCACCGACCGGCCGCCCGACGACCCAGTCATCCCACCGGTCGTGTCAACCGAGCCGCCGGTGACGGTCGACAACCTGAAAAGCGTCTTAGCGAGCCCGGAACCGAAACCGGAGCCGGAGATTCGGCAGTCGCCGCCGCAGATCGAGGAAAAGCCTCCCGAAGCGCCGCCGGTCGAAGCGGCGGCTGCACCGCGGCGTCGGAACGCTCGGACCTCCAATTCGGAATCTGCAAACGTCCCAGTGGAGTCTCCATCAGAGGCCAAGCCAGCCGAACCGGAGCCTGATGCGCCTACTGCGGAGCCCACGGCTGCCAGCTTCGTGGAAGTGGAAAACCAGCTGGAGAAAATGTTTGCGGGCATCGAGGAGCCGTCGGCGGACAAGGCAGATGACGGCAAGCCGCAGACGGCTAAGGCGAAGAAGCGGAGAAAATCCGCGCCCACCAAAGGTAAAATTTTTAGTTTTTACTGCAATCGAATTATCAATAAAAATTAGATGATCAAACGAACTTACCAAGTGAAGTTCGATCTGAATTATCCTGTTTTCGCCGAAGAGATTTAAATGAGACCGCTCGGACACCGAGCCCACAGCGTGGTAGGGGTGGGGTTGCCCGCTCTTTTGTTTTTTACTACTACTGCGCTGAATATTGTGTGCGGATTGGCTTGTCGTACAGGGGTACTACACGGTAAAATAAATCTCGGAGGCGAAAGCAGGATAATATATAATCATGAGTCAAATCTAATGCTAACCTTTGTAAAGCAGTCTCTTATATTCTCAGCAAGTTTTTAAGATGGAAAAGGGATCTTAAAATATCCCTAAAATGTATTTTAGCATATGATTATAAACAGCATTATTGAAACAAAATGATTTGGTTACATATCTTGTTACATGTGACATGCAATTTTTATTTCTCCCTTAGCAGCCCCTTCTAATAACCAAGAGTGGGTTCTAATCTACTCAGCCGCAACTATCCTTGGACTTTCCTTGGTCATACCTGCGCAGTATTTATAACGCAACTATCCTTGGACTTTCTTTGGTCATACCTGCGCAGTATTTATAACGCAACTATCCTTGGACTTTCTTTGGTTATACCTACGCAGTATTTATAACGCAACTATCCTTGGGCATTCCTTGGTTATACCTGCGCGGTATTTTCAAAAACAAATACCTTCGTTCCACAGGCGAGCGCAAAGCGTCCCGGCGCGCCAGCCGAATGTCCACCGACGAGGGCGGTTTCCGACGCAAAGCCGCACGCAAGAAGGAGGCCGGCAAGAAGAAGGACAACAACAAGGACGCCTACGACTCCGGATCCAACGCCAGCTCGGGTCGCTCCCGCGGGCCCTACATACAGGTAAGAGCAGGATGAGGCTAAGAACCCACGGCGCGGGTGAAAATCGCTCCGCGCGCTAAGTCACTGGTACAAAATGGTCGCCCGCCGATCGGGCAGTTTTCGCGCGGGCGAAAACCGCCGAGGCTGCGGTTGCCGCGGCCCGCGCGATTCTACTAGTCGCCCGCCGGTACTGCGGGACCCGCATACAACCGCGCACGCTGCGGGCGCAAACCGCGTCGTGAGATGTGCATTAGTTTTTACATAAGTATCTGCATTCTACAGAAGCTGCGGGCCCGCAACCGCCGCGGGCGCGGGTGAAACTCGCACCATGAGTTCTTTCTTAGGCTAAGAGACAGATGCCCGTTTTCACCATCAATCCCTTCAATTTTATGTGACCCCTATGCAACATGCATTTTGTTTTCATAGGTGTCACTTTAAAATTAGGGATTGATGGTGAGAAACCGCATTAGTTTTTTATTCAGTACTTGGGCCCTTTCCAGGGCACTTATACCCGTTCCAAATAGCTTGCCCTACCACGGTTGGCACTAAGGAAGACCTTGTGATTGAAAAATTTTAATTAGCTGTTGACTATGACTGCGACTGTTGATAAGAGCGGTCCAGCTGCTAACTGCTCGAGGTGTCCGTCAGCATTTAATTTAGTGCGATTGAAAGTTTTCTGTTAAAAGCAGTCTCCAGCTCAGACACTATTTTTTGTAAATACGGTTTTTGTTTATCAAAAAGGCTACGCCCAGATTTGGCTGACAAAAAAGTCATATTTACGGACTGATACACGCTGAAAAGCCCATATCTTTAGTTATTCACACACCAATATTAACTACTTATCAAATTCATCTCCAGATCCGCGGCCCGCGCGACTCTCCCTTATCCGTAAGCGTGATCAACGCGTCAACGGGCGAAGAGGAAGAAGCGTCACTGGGCCGGCGCAAGGGCGGCGAAGAATTCCGCAACGGACTGCGAGCGCGGGGCCTTCACGCTAGCACGTTGGGGCTGCGATATGATGCCACTACACCGGATGTTACGTGGCTCTGCGTGTTCTGTGAACGGGGCCCTCACGCAGCAGGCTTGGGGGATTTATTCGGGCCGTATACTGTGGAGACAGACTGCGAGGAATATAGGTGAGTTGATATACTTAGTACAATATTTTCGAAGATATGCTAGTATGGTGGGGCTGCGATATGATGCCACCACGCCAGACGTCACATGGCTCTGCGTGTTCTGTGAACGGGGCCCTCACGCAGCCGGACTGGGGGATTTATTCGGGCCGTATACTGTGGAGACAGACTGCGAGGAATATAGGTGAGTTGGAATATTCAATTTAGAGCAATATTCTAGATAAATTCTAGCGCGCTAGGGCTGCGGTATGATGCCACGACGCCAGATGTCACATGGCTCTGCGTGTTCTGTGAACGGGGCCCTCACGCGGCAGGCTTGGGGGACCTATTTGGACCGTATACGGTGGAGACAGACTGCGAGGAATATAGGTGAGTTGGAATATTCAATTTAGAGCAATATTCTAGATAAATTCTAGCGCGCTAGGGCTGCGGTATGATGCCACGACGCCAGACGTCACATGGCTGTGCGTGTTCTGTGAAAGAGGCCCACATGCAGCTGGACTGGGGGATTTATTTGGGCCGTATACTGTGGAGACAGACTGCGAGGAATACAGGTGAGATTGTACAATTAATTTAAAACAATATTTTCGTCGATGGCGCATGCTGAGGATGCGATATGATGCCACCACGCCAGACGTCACATGGCTGTGCGTGTTTTGTGAACGGGGCCCTCACGCAGCCGGACTGGGGGATTTATTTGGGCCGTATACTGTGGAGACGGACTGCGAGGAGTACAGGTGAGTTGGAATATTCAATTTAGAGCAATATTCTAGATAAATTCTAGCGCGCTAGGGCTGCGGTATGATGCCACGACGCCAGATGTCACATGGCTCTGCGTGTGCTGTGAACGGGGCCCTCATGCAGCCGGACTGGGGGATTTATTTGGGCCGTATACTGTGGAGACAGACTGCGAGGAATACAGGTGAGATTGTACAATTAATTTAAAATTCGTCGATGGCGCATGCTGGGATGCGATATGATGCCACCATGCCGCTGCTAGCACGTTGGATATCACGTGACAGTGCGTTCTATGATACTTTTGTTTGGAATTAAACTTTCTTGATAAAAGTAGCAAAGTTTATAGTAGCGTAGCGTATGTAAAACGTCTGGCTCTCTTTAACAGAGCGCTGGACGAAGCGACGCGGCGGCGTTACACGACCGGCGCGGGCACGAGCGAGGTGTGGCTGCACGCGGCGTGCGGCGTGTGGGCCCCGGGAGTCGTGGCGGCGGGCGCGCGCGTGTGGGGACTGGCCCCAGCCGTGTGGGGCGCGCGCGCCGCCCGCTGCGGGCCCTGCGCGCGCCCCGGCGCCGCGCTCGCCTGCCGCGCCCGTCTGTGCCGCGCCCGCGTGCACCTCCCTTGCGCCGGCCCTGCCCGCTGGCAACTAGACGAGGACGCCTTCCAAGCGCTCTGCCCGCGACACGCGGCCGAACAATAGTGCGGTGACAATTATGTCAGTGCAGTGACTGTGACGAGTGACTCGAGTATCTGATACGCGTAACTAAATGGTGGCTTCGAAACTCATAATTTTGAGATTCTAGAAATGGTTGTTGGACTTGATATGTGATGGTGGTCGGTAACTCATATGAATGTCAAGTCGTTACTGAGACCGAATGAATTTAATGGGGATATGGAAACCCATGTTTGTACCCCCCAGTTTGTCGATTGATTATCGAATTTTCCAGCCAGTCATATCTCTTCGTCGTTGGTTGTCTTCTTTCTATAATTTTGGATTCCAGTGATTCTACTAATGAATAAATTAAGTACAGGATCTGACCGGCTGATTAACACTTGATAATCTGTCAAAAACTGGGGCTTGTGCCCGTTCGAGTATGTTTGTACATCCTGGTTAGACACCAAACCCTTAACGATATCTGCTATGTATAAAATCTACAATGTATTCAAGATTTTATATGTAGAAGATATCAAAATGATAATTGTAAGAAACGGAAAAATCACATTGTAGGGCAGATATGCTAAGTGTCAGAGTACACTAAAGTGATCAAACCATCTTTTCAGTAGAATGTTCAGGAACTAGTGTGGTCTTTTTGTGCCTATATTATTTTAGTTGTAAGGTTTCAACACAAAAATGTAAAAAAAACTTAGTTCTTACAAAAAAATACTGAAACCTAAGATTTATTACATCCATGGTTGATCCTGGAGTAACAATTCTTAAAGAGTGTTATATTTATTAAAAAAAACTTTTAATTCTGTAAATGTGTCTTCTATACTCTGATAAATCATGTTTATCTTCAAGGCACAAAAAGACCTTCGTAAATGTAAAATGTCTATTGAAAGACAGTATGATAATGTTAAATAGTTAGCTTAGTTCGAGGCACGGACTCTAGCTCGGTGTAAATATAGTTATATGTTGTAAATAGCAGTCTCTCCGCGGGACTAGCGTGATCTGACATCGGTTAAATGAAATACAGTATTTTGTAGCGTACGGTACGCGATTATGAACTTCCGTGGCACAAATCCGTTCGAAAACTTGAAGATATTTGCATAATAAATAAACAGGGTGTCCACATTCTGGAAAGTCAGGGAAAGTCAGGGAAAAGTCAGGGAAGCTCATAGCAGTCAGGGAAAGTCAGTGAAATAGAGGGGTCACCTGGAAAGTCAGGGAAACATTGAGATTTTGTCCAAACCAAAACACTGTTTGTCTCCCGAAATTTCCCAGTGATTGTAAAATGAGGGATTTAATTAACTTATGATCTAGAAAGACCTTTGATCTTGACTATCGAAGCATTTTTTTCAGGTTTGGAGTGATCTAAATTATGACTTTGTTTTTAGTCATAGTTATTTACTCCTTTTTAGTTTTTTATCTAATGAAGTGGATTGATCTAAATTATGACATAATTTTGTTCATAATTAGATTACTTTCATATAGTTTTTTTTTAGGATTACCTAGAGTGATCTATGTTATGATTTTTTTTGTCATAACTAGATTACTCCTTTTTGTTTTAATAGTTGTAATTTTTTGTTTCAGTAAAATGATATATTTTCTATTGTCGATGTGAAAGTGTAACTTATAACTTATGTTTATTTATATTTTTTTTATAATTATTTATTGATTTGATTATTGAGTGCAGACTAGTGAGCAGTTCACTGTGAGTGCTATTAATACAGGGTGGAAACGATAAGTGATCTCACTCGATTATTTCTAAACTACACAAGATATCGAAAAACTGCTTACTGATCTTGAAAGTGCTTCACGAGCTCTTTCAAACGATATCAGTAATAGGTTACAGAATTAACTGGATCTATCCGAAAAGTCAACGTGTCCCAAAATTCAAGGATAAGCCGGCGCCGCAGGATGGACGTAGTCATCATGACTACTTTAGGAAAAATAAGAAAAAAAATCTATCTCAATTATTTTTTAAGTTACACAATAAATTATGAAATTCTTCGAATATTGACACCCCTTATGATATTTTACCACATTACCACGACCACTATTTTTCAAATATTTCTGTTTTTTGTTTGTATCGGCAACTTAAGTAGTGTTGCTGTCCACCCCAACTCTTAAAACCCCCAGAATCCTTGCAGTTTTTACACAAAAGTTAATCAAAATATTTTATTTCCTAAAAATTTTGAACGATTTTTACTTTCACTCCACTTTTACTCATCGTTTTGTTAAAAAAAAGTATGAACACTACTGCGGCAAGTTTTTTATAAAGTTGACGCAACTATCCAAGATTCCAAAATGGTATAATACTCTAAGAAGTCTAGCCGCAAAAAAGATATGCGTACCATTTTTACAAGCACTTCGCTTGTTAGTTATTTTGATTAACTTTTGTGTAAAAACTGCAAGGATTCTGGGGGTTTTAAGAGTTGGGGTGAACAGCAGCACTACTTAAGTTGCCGATATAAACAGAAAACCAGGAATAATTGAAAAATTGTGGTCGTGGTAATGTAAAATATCATAAGGGGTGTCAATTTTCGTTGAATTTCATAATTTATTGTGTAAGTAAAAAAATAATTGAGATAGATTTTTTTCCTTATTTTTCCTAAAGTAGTCATGACTATGTCCATCCTGTGGCGTCGGCTTATCCTTGAATTTTGGGACACGTTGTATACATAGTTGGTCAGGGAATTTTGAAAAAATTGTCAGGGAAAGTCAGGGAAAAGTCAGGGAATTTTTTCGAACATTTGCAGTGGACACCCTGATAAAGCATCAGTTGCTCGAATGCCTGATCAAAATGGGGTTTCTAGTTAACGGCAGCTAGTTAATTATTTGGCAACAAAACATCTAATTAAAGGAATTGACTTTGTTTCACAATAACAGTCGTCAACCCAAGTTGCCATTTAGCGGGCGGCCCATTGTGATCGACTTTCAACCAACGAAAGAAATTTCGAAAAGAACGGGCGTGCCCCACGGAATATACAGTGTACAATGAGTAAAATATAATTTTATTTTTATTTATTTTTTATCACCTCTTACATGTCACTGAATCTAGACTCCTAGTGATAATTCACCTATTTTAGATGAGTTAGAGTTTTCTATCTATAAGTACTATTATTAAAGTTTTACTCTCGTTGTAAATATTTACACTTCTACTCATTGTAAACTGTCCGAAAGGTGTAAATCTCGATACATGTTGTTTACATAATTGTGTAACGATGCAGTGATATTAAAAGTAATGAAGTTACATTTGTGTAACTAGTATATTTTATGTGAGACAAACAACTGTTTAGTTGCCATTTTAGAATCAAAACTAGTCTAATTAATAGTGTCTTGTGATTTGAAATTTTATAAATCGTTTGGGATCTTATTAAAATTTACAATTTGCATTTTTAGCTTCGTAACATTGTGCGTCGATACTGCATTGTTATGAGTGTACACAGTCGTGTATTCTCAACTTAATGGTTATATACCGTGAACTTACGCTTACATTTGTAATTGAAATGCCTCAAATATTTTACGCGAATTATTTTTATGATGTGATAGTATAATGTTCTCGAGGCACCGCCGACTCCGTCTGGTGCGGGGAATCCTAGCAATACGACGTTGTATGAGAAGCTAACAGATGGCTATAATCAGAATGGATATTAAAGATTAGTACATTCTTATTCAAAAATGTTACGGCATTACTGTATCCACATTTCCATAGTGAGCAAGGGAATAATAATTTGTTATGTAGCAAGCTAGACTATGTCAAGACCAAAATGTATAGACAGGTGTAGTACCAATTGTAATGCCTTATCGCTTCTTTTCTGTAGTTCTGATGAAAGAGTTTATTTTTATATAATCATAGTATAATAGTAACAGATTTGTGACTGCAGAAAGCAAATATAATAACACATTTTCAGGAAGAATCGGCAGGAAAGTCTGACTCGTTAACAATTTACCGTTAGACCCGCTACCCGCTGGTTAGCATAATTAAAATAATAAATGCATATTGTCTCATATAATTGTGAAAAATATCAACAGCGGGTCTAATTGTAAAAAATAGGTAAAAATAATGTGATAAAATCATTTGAATGTTATAAAAATTGAAAGCTTAATGAACGAAATTGTATATAGCTTACAAAATATAACATTAAATGTTCAAATTTCAATAACTTTGCTTTGCCAAAATTCGAGTTAGGATATTAACACATTCAAGTCTCGAGTACAACATAGGATGTTATACTATCCAGTATCAGTCGCAAATGGAAGGAATGAAGCATAATAATATGCATATGAAATCATTTTTAAATATTGATATTTGCAGAATCTGATATATTTATTTACACAGATGATTTTTAGATAATGTTAGAGACTTTAAAGCTGATTAATGTGAAAGTTAAATAAAAATTATGAAATGTAACACCCAGGCATTTCTATCTATGTACTTTACAAAATCTTAGCTAAATTAGATTGAGTTATTTACTATGTAAAACTTGGAGAATGAGTTAATTAGGGGTGCGAGTAGTGGAAGCATTTATGTTACCGAAATAGATTTGAGTGACATCTATATGCAATAAACAGCATTTTGCAGTTTCACTTACAATTTGATCCTTATTAAATGTATGGATTCACTAAAAAAACCTTCTCCCTAAAAATCTAGTAAATATTTTGTACTTACTGTATGAATTTAGTACATAGCAAATTGCTACTGAACGCGTATAGATGACGCCCAAAAGTGTTAAATATTATTAATCATGGCGGCAAATATTATGCACCGATATTCTAATAATCTCGTATAAAAACTTTGAAGCATTTCATGTTAGGGGTATGAGGAACTTCGTTTGCCTGGCGGTGAGAGTAAATTGTACTTTAATTCCAGTAAATAGAAAATAGACTTTATTTAGAAAATGTTAAGGTACAAATTTATAGTAGGGAGAATCTGGCCAGTTTAGTGTTTTTTAAATTTATCCAGAGACAAAAACGCATGAACAGAAGCGAACAAGATAACATCCCAAAGCCTTCATATTGTAAATGGTGTAAGAATTTTTTTATCACTTATGGCAAATGATTACTTTATGAAGTATGTAATTGTTAAAAATTATATTTATCATGACATTATAAGCAAATTGAAATACAACATGTTTAAAATGATATCTAAATGTTTTACTGGTACCTATAGGATTACTACATAACGCCGTTTCCGGAGTTATCTATTAATTTTACTCATACTAGATGGCGAAATGAACGACAGTGACAAATAAACCCCCAAATCTGGGAACACAATAACATCACGTCACGTGGCACGAAGTCGTCGAGTGAACAATAGGCAGCTTTCTTTGGGCTTTTAATAAATATACACACAAAATAATAGTACATTTGTGCTTTTATTATTTTTATATACATAAAATATTAGCGATTAGTTGTTACAGTTTGAATCCAAATGGAGTGTACTTATTTTTGTATTTATAACATTTTTTATTAACATTCTAACAAACTTCACTTACATGCAGTTTGCAATCATAAAACGAGCAAGTGGCCACCAAAGAGTTTTCGTCGAACATCCAATCCGCGCCGTACGCTATGCTCTCGTGTTCCTTGTACTCGCAAGCTATTGATAACGACACCTCGTCGATAACCTGTAGCGTACGGAACCCCCCATACATGCAGGCCGCTAGTATGGTGTCTGGGCGGTAGGGGTGCCATTTTAGCCGCCAGATGCCGCCTCCAACGTGCTTCTCGGTGACACTCCGTTTTAGGGCCCGCGTGTCCCATAATCGCACTATTTGGTCGTAACTGTTAAAAAATAAATTATTTTAATCGGAACTCATTTCAAATTCAAAGAAGCCACGATAGCCGAATGGTGAAGGGGTCGGACTGGCCGACTCGTGATCCGGGGAACGCGGGTTCGGTCCCCGCCGCCGCTCGACTATTGTGGTGAGCTCACTCGTGACACAAGCATATTTAGCTTAGTACGAGGGGCTAACGGGAGTATTAGTAATTTGTGTAATAACAAATTACTAATAATCTTTTTAAAAAAAAATAGATAATTAGTAAATTATTTCCCAATAAGGAATAAGCTTGTTATTGACTTCTCTCATAATACAAAAAAAAACGTAAGCAGCAATTTCTTCAAGCGAGGACTTTATTAATCTACGCAAGCGAGCGACATCTAAATCACAGCGATTGAACAAATTAATTTTACCGAGCATTTGTATTTTTTTTCTTGATTAGTTATCTGCGCACCTAGCGGCCGTGACGTCACATCGACGCTCTGGCACGGACGACGTGGCAAACGCGGGGAGGTGGGAGGGAGAGTCACATTCCTGCGAGATGTGCAGCTCGAACTAGTTTTAGCTTACTTGTTTAAAAAATATTCCAATAAACAGATTTGACTGAGGCGGGGAGGTGTCCAGAGCTATGTTTTACCAGTGAAAGAAACTAAATGACGTTAGTGGTTTCAGCACAATCGCGAAGGATCATCTTACCCCAGGGGATCAACTCGTACTACTTTCCCCTAAACATACACTAGTTACCGTGATATAAGTGAACTGCCATACTGGCGGATAGCAAGCGTTTTCAACGCGGAGAGGCGACGCGGCGGAGACTTTAAAACCGCTTGTAATCCGCCAGTGTGGCAAGGCTCTAAATGTACAGTCCTATCAACTTAAGCTGAGAATTGCATTTGTGTGAGTGATCGCCAAAAGTACCGTTAGTAAAACACATACAAATAAAATTAATGTTTTATAAAAAGGAAGTCTATAAAACACTTGCTACCAATTGGGCCGATGTAACGACACTTGACACATCCTTTTAAATAAATAAATAAATAAAAACAGGTCCTCGCTCAGCATATGCCAAGGCACGAAGTACCTCGACGCTGATATTCTGCGAGCACGGTTTATAGAGAGGGCGTCCAGCCAGCCTTACAAAATACAACAAAAAGACAAACTTTATAAAATCACAAAATAAAAACAGACTAAAAACTTTTCGTTCACACCTTTAAAATACGTATTCAATTTGCATAAAATTTCTTTCACTTGGCTGCTTAATGGATTTCGTACAGGAAATTCACTTACAGTAGGAGCCATTTCACTAATATTTGGAACACAATTACATAAAATTACACGTATCTGCTACCAGTACCGGGGGTGAAGTGAAGTATGTGAGCGACAAGGAAGCGGTGCGTGGCGGACGCGCCGCGCTTCAGGCCGCTTGCTATAATAAACCATGCGCGGGACGCAGCGCGCTTCAAGCCGATTGCCACTCTAAACTATCGGTGTGCACTCACACAAATGCAATTCTCAGCTTAAGTTGAGAGGACTGTATGTTTGAAAAAATCACACAAACCTTCCAGTCAAGAGCTGGTACTCCATATCAGTGTGTTTCCGCACACACGTGACCCCAGCCTCGTGGCTTTTGTTCGTGGCCACAGCAGCGTCAGACACCCTGATGTCATAACACTTGAACAAGGTGTCATCGCCTCCTGAAATTACAATTTAACTTAAGAAGCAGAACCTTACTTATCAGTCTGCGAGGATTGAGGTTTAGCGCGTAACTCAGTCGGTCTGAGGTAGTATTAGGTGAGCGGTACGGGAGAGATTACATTAACATTGTGACGACGCAGGGCATACAAATCGGAAGTCTCGCTGACGTTTGACCGTCACAAAATCAAAATCACCTCCCGTGCCGATCGCATACCTCAGGCACTGACTGACTAAGTGTTAAGCAGCGCTAGACCTAGGTATACTGTATTCATCCAATACCAACCTGAATAAAACACGTCCGGATTCCAATAGTTGAAAGCAGCTGTCCACGCTTCGAAGCCGTGAGTGGCCCACGTCCCGACCTTCTTCAGGCCATCGTCTCCTATCTGCAGTACCGTCACAGCGCCCTCTGAGTCACTGACCACCAGCATCGGATTGTCAGACGCGGTCTTATTAGTGGACCAATCGACAGATAGAGCGAGGATATCCTCTGCGGTACCGATTGATTCTTTTAACCACAGTTCAAGGCGAGTCCCTTCAGAGAGACGGTACAGCTCTACGAAGCCTTGAGAATTGACGACGCACAGCACTGGGTGGTCCTGGATGGTGTGGTAGCACCACTTCTGGTCCAGAACACCGACTGTGTCTATCTCCTGGATTGGGACAAGAGCAGACGTGTCGTGGTTGATGGAAAAGAGGTAAATTTTTCCAAGTCTCTTTTGCTTCGTTGGTCCAGCTTCTGTAACATGAATGAAAATAATTAACACGTTGCAATGGCGTAATGGTGTCTTGGACTCAGATTCGTTTCCACACTCTGGACAATAGAAAGGCATAGTAAAACTCATTTAGAAAAAACTGTTTGATTGCCGGGATATGGTAGGGGAGAAGAGGTGAGTTGTAACATTGTCGATTTTTTGTCGAACTCGTTACAGTGCGCGTTTTTAAGCTTGAGTAACAAATCTCGCTGTTGCGAGCTTGCTTATAGTTATCCAAAAATCGACAGTCACAACTCTCCTCGGTCTCTAAACGAGAATGCAGCAAACCTTTTTCTTTATCTTCATTAGACAAGTGGTAGCAGCCGCAGACCAGCAGGTGCCGGTAGGGCTCCACCGGGCACCACTCCACGGAGTCCGCATTGAGCCTCGTGTGCCAGCGCAGCCGCGTCTTCCACTCCACTGCCATCTACAATGTCAAATAGGAATTAAGTAATTTTAACGATATTTCATTCATACCAAAAAGGAAATCAAGTAATTTCTTTTTTTTATATTCAATTTTCGGGACATTCTAGAGATAAATTACAGAACAGAAAAAACGTTTAAAAAGCATGTACTGTTAACTGCGCACCTGGCCGCTGTGACGTCACATCGACGCTATGGTACGGACGCAAATGCGGGTAGTACGAGGGGGAGTCGCATTTCAGCGAGGTGCGCAGTTAACTCCAGGGTATTAACAAGTAGGTGTGTCGTTTTTTCTGTTCTGCGGGATATTATTCAAAATTAATAGACTTATCTGAGTGGTAGGCGAAGATAAAAACAGTTATTACTATTTAGACCCATTTATTCATAATAAAAATATGTCCATACATGAATAAATACAGCAAACTAACGCTATATCTCGTAGAGTGAAATGTATTCCACATTTATCTGCCACATTGTCAACACACATATTAATGTTAATAATTTGCTAAAATTTGTACTGTTTCATGGTTCGCCACTTACAATTACATTGAAACTATCAATTATTACTATCAACCTTAATAGCGGACACGAATAGCCAAAAACTGGAGATAACCGATAAAATGTGCCACCATAGATTTCATAATTTATGTGAAAAATTTCAATGAGCTACATTAAAAACCTAACAATGTTAAAGTAATATTATTAGGTAAAATTCTCGTTTAAAATAGATATTATTAATTATTTAAATTTATTAAATATGCATCACGCATTCTATGTTTATTTATTAATAATGTATGAGGCAATTAGATCTACTTTTGTTTAATTTGTATTTTATTTATTAATATTTTAGAACTCAAGGCAAATCCGTATACATTTATTAGGTGAATTACCTATGTATTATACACCTTTATCATCTTTGTAAGATTCATTTGTTACATCAAAATAAATGTAAACCAGTGGCACCAACTAAACAATAGTCAAAATATTCAGTTACTGTTGAACAAAACTAAAAAATAGTTTAAAACTTATAAATAACGTTGAGAGAATAGATAATACATAAGGATTAAAATATTATCAAAATATTAATTGCAATGGACTTTAAAGAATTAAGTTTAATAACATTTATGTAAGTACATACTCATTAATGGTAACTTATTGGATAAAGTTAAAACTATTTCGTAATTTCTTCTTAAAACTAGCTACTTTTAAAAGTATACTTTACGGCAGTTGGACCAACATATTAATTCCTACAAGTGTGGTTAAAGATGGGGCTTATTTCAGATGGTTACAACTATCTATTTCTGTCAATAAGTTGCCAAATAAAATGGTACATTGTGTAAAAAGATGAACTAGTGCTTACCATCTGAAATATCCCAGGCTATTGGAGGCTATTGCATTTGTAGGATACATTATAAACTAAATTATATACAACTTAATCCTATAGAAAAGGAAATACCAAATCAATGAGCACATTTTTCTTATTCACTATGTTATTACACTATGTTGAGGTCACATGATTGGCTTGAGTTACATAAAATATAAGCAAATATTATAATATCAAATTAATATTGCTATGATATTAAAATTGTGTAACATTAGCAAAGCTATACTAAGTTCAGACACTTACTAAAGGGTGAATTGGTGGTATAGCTCAAAACACACCAGATTTGTACACATAGACATACTATGTAGCCTTTAGATCTAGCTAATCAAATATTATAAAACATTTGATAATACTTCCCACGTTTTTTTTTATAAACATTACTTGTGTCTTGTTCAGTTGAGTCACCCTTTAGTCTGCAGCTCTGAGAAACATTTCTAGCATTCAAATACAAACCTATGGACAATAATAATGTCCAATTAAACTTTATTCACTTTCAAAATACAAGCCTGAAATAACATTTGACTCTATAAAACTCTAAAATACCTGAATATTTAAATATCTAGTTCTATTTTATTCAGTTGCTATAATATAAAAACATCGAAATGACATCATTGCATAAACATACATATAAACATTAAAAATATCAATATTTGTTGAGTTTGAGGTAGATGTTCACAATAAATGTTGCGATCACAGCCTGTTTCATTCAGGACATTACTTCTGTTCACTGCAATACATTTCTATGTGAGGTATAATTGAATTCACAACTGCCAGGTTGCTTACTCACCACTTAACACTATCAAATATTGAAAATATTCAAATGCAACAAATTCAACTTCGAACAGCCTTCAACTAGACATTAGATGTAACATATTCTTTGGAATTCTACACCAGTTTCAAGAAAGATGTGAAAATGTTTGTTTTCAAATAAAGGCCAAACAATTACATTTGAATCAATCCTTATTTATGCCTACATACCCTGAATTATATATTACTTCTAACAAATTAGACCCTAACTCTGAGAGAACATTAAATCTTTTACACATAATTAATTTATTAAACCATGACAATATCAATCAAAAAATTCACTTGAAATATATGACTATTCTGAATAAAAGTATACTGTTCTGGGACCTTTGTATAGTGAAACATTTGAGACATTACACTAGAGCATTCCATAGCAATAGATTATTGTTAAAGTGACAGACTGAATTGCAGACTATGGACTATGGCCTTCACATAGCCATTACTTATGATTTGTATCAGCAAAATTCTTACAGCAAATGGTAACATGTAACTGGCAGTCATTTGAACATGTCTATGTCATTTTATGAAAAGCAATACCAAATTGTGGTACTGTAAATTGACTGTGATTACTTTAGGTTCAGCAAACTACTGTCGTGCTGACCGCTCAGTCTCGATCAGGCACTCTCTGACCAGAATGCGGGCGTGGACGATGCCGCGCTTTAGGCGCTCGGCGGAGCTGCGGCTCCCAGAGTAGCTAGGCCTGACTTCTTTACCCATTTCCTCAATAACAGCTAGTAGTTGCGCGTACTTCGAAGTGCCGTTGTCCTTATCTTTGCCGATCGAGGAAGGCGACGAGGCCGGCACGGTCGATATAGTCGCGTGACTGTTGCCGCCGAGCCCCAAGTCTTTATGCACATTCTTTCCACTCATCGGTATAGCGGTCACGGTCACGTCGCTCAGTTTGGATTCCACGGCCTGAATGTCCATCGCCTCCATCACTGAAAGAAACGCCGAATTAGAATGACACACAAAGCCGAAAAAAAACAGAAACGAAACCAAATACTTACCAAATCTAACTTAATACAAATAAACAATGAAAACACTAAACGGATTCTAGGGGAGTACGCGTCTCAATCTCAAACGAAAGATTCGGCTTATAAATTAGAGGTAATGTAGGACGTACCTACCTAATCCGATCACCTTCGGTCTCTCGAAGACAATGAATCGATGGCTGTAGAGCGCCGTCGCTTGAATTGATGTGTACAGCAAATGAACGGAGGAATGTATCAAGCTTTATGTAAATGCTAGTGATTTTCGTAAATAAAATCCGTATTTTATTAATTTTCTGCAATAAATAAACAAGTCCACAAATCACCACATTGACAACTTTCTTTATTATTTTTAATTTACGGCTCCTGTCAAAATGACCTTAACGATGATAAATAAAAAGCTTAGTTAATTTTTAAAGATGAAGTCGTTTAAATTGTATTAAAAATTAATTTCTTTCAGATGAATACGCATAAAATCTTTAGATGGATTAAATTTATAATTTTTTAAAATTAATTTGGATTGTTCATCTACGTTCCGTTATACGTAAAATGACGTATCAGCAAATCACAGAGCAAATCATTTTGCTGTCATAATGCGTTATGTCATAATAGTGATACCAACTTATCGAAAGTAATAATCGATCAAAAGTTCGAAACGATTTTAGTTATGATATTAGTATACCTCGATTGAATATAAACAAACGCTTTAAGCCTAGGCGCAGACCACTGACTTTTAATTAGCCGATAGTTGGGTCGGGCTGTTAATCAGTTTCGGTAACATGTATGAAAGTGCGCACAATACTATATTACATCGATTTGGTATCGGCAGATTCTTTAATTTCTTTATATAAAATAGAATTGGACCCAACTATCGGTCAACTAAAATTCGGTACTTTCAATTACTGATTTTACGTTTAAATAATAATAATTATAGGGTAATATTATTATCATCCTCCTACTTATTAGTTTTGGAGTCATAAAAATATGTAACAATATATTCTTTCATCATTGATGTATTAATATTAAATAATTAATCTTAATATTTATGATTTATACAATTTCCAGCCATGATCTATAGGGAATAATCGATTGTTTGTATTTTAACTATTCCCACATTGTTCACTTTTTTATCGACAGATTGTCGACTAAACGACATTCGAAATGACATCTCTAATGTCAAATTAAAAGAAATCGAGGCTGGGTATCGGTCTATCGGTTTTCTTTTTCTGCTTTTTGCTTTTGTCTACACGAAAACTATTTTTATGTGTTGGTGTGTAGGGATGTTCCGATACCACCTAAGTATCGATACCTACTCATTTCGATAATACTCAAATCTTTTTTCGATACTACTTAAATAAGTACTCCTAAAGTATCGATACCTACTGATATCGATACTTTTTGGAACTTTTATTTTGTTTTATTATTTTGAGGGTGCTATCAATGAACGTTGAAGGACAATAATTTAAACAAAATTGAGAAGAAAACAACTATTTATTTATCGGTTTATGCCATGATAACATTGGAATAAACCGATGAATTTGATGATTACAATTAATAAAATTACTTGTAAATAGTGACTTAACACTTTCACAATGGCGGAATGGCGAGATGATTTGCGGGCGGGTGCGGGTGTCTCCTTCTCTCGCTTTCGGCTCGGGCTCTAGTAACTCGGTAACCGATTAAAGCTGATTAGCTGACTGTTTTTACTCTTTCAGTTCTGTATGATGCATTCTCGGTTTTTTTTATTGTTTTCGGTTGTTTTGCTGATTCGATTCGATACCAAGTATTTTTGTTTCGATACCGATTATGTATCGCAAAATTGATTCGATACAATAAATACTTGGTATCGAATCAAAAGTATCGAGTACCTACTCGTATTTATTAGTATCGGAATATCCCTATTGGTGTGTTCTAAAAAGCGTATCCATGCCGCATTCCTAGACGAGAATAAATTATATTCGGGATAGCGCCGTCCAAGCGCCGTCAGCCGAGGCGCGTTGGCTGGATTGATCAGATGAATGTAAATAATATAAGAATAAGTGGTCGGTGTCAAGTGAATCAAGTGATTTCTCCGCCTACTGGAACGGATGGAATGAAGTATGAAGCCATCATTATGCGATTAGAGCAGTGCCCACGTACTGGGCTGTAGTGTGTGATGCAGTAGTGTGGTTTAGCGGTATGGCCGGAGAGGGCGAGCGCGCGTCACGGCCCAGCTCCTTGTTGCTGGAGGCCGCGGCGCCGGAGCGGGAGCCGCTGCGCTTCGACGTGCAGCTGGTGGGAGCGCCGCCCGAGGTGGAGCAGCTGGTCAACAACATCAAGCAGGTCGCCGAGGATTTTCTCTACCACTGGAAAACTTTTCCCATCGGTGAGAAATGCATTGTTATGATTTCTATTTCACTGTGATTGTGTCAATAACTGTGATAATGTTCTCATAGGTTTTTTAATTTATTAACAAGCTTTGTTTGTTGTACTTTTAATTAATAAATTCATTAGCTATGTTATTCTAATTACCACATAAAAACAAAAAAGTTATATAATTTTTACATTTTGAATATTTCATAAAATTCCCATCTTCTAAAAGCTAACCCATGATTCGACTCACAATTTAAACATGTTTTCACTTTCACATAATTTCTTTTAAGTAATAAGCTTAAATAATTTATCTCTATGTCAATGAGGATCATTTCGATTTTTAGCTGTGAATGCAGATTTATAGGGCTAAGAAATCCTTAATACACAGTGCAAAAATTTTTGTTCTACGACAAAAATTGACGAAGTTATGGCCAAATTACTAAAAAAGTTCACTGACCGCCCGGCGCGGGGACGATGACGTCATTATATCCGATCCGAACGCTGCCGGCATACTGCGTGGATAGAAAATATTTTTTTCTAGCCAAATTATCAGTTTTAGAGAAAAACTTGTAATGACATTTATTCATCAGAATAAAGTAAGCTATCGATAGGTAATTTTGTGTACATAAGTGTTGTTAGAGTCATATCTTCTTCCAAGTAAAATATAAAAATGTATAGGTATTAATTTATTTACTTCTAACAATTAGGTATAACTTCTAACAATAAGACATTGCTATGAAAATCATTTCGATGTACACTTAATAATACCTACCTGTTATTTAGTTTTTCTGAGTTAAACCTACGCACCTACCTATTCGCCGTTCCCATGGGCGGGCCAGCTGCTGCAGGAAAGGACAGCCGCTCCGTGCTGGAAATCTATTTAATCTTAGCCTAGAAGCTGGGTATGACTACCCCGCCCCTCTCCTCTCCCCAGGTCATAAACTGGGCATGACTTCCCCCCCGGCCCGAAACTGGGTATGACTCAGCGTTGCCAGTTTTTTTTTTCGCCAAGTCGGGACCTTGGTACTTTTTGAGTGAAAATAGCGGGATTCTTCCGCCAGAAGCGGGACATAGTAAAAAAACGTATATTATNACACATTGTCTCATACATTTCAACATGCATTCAATTATTTCATCCATTAAATGCACCCAATTATGAGATAAAGAATTTCATAATTGGGTTCATTTAATGGACAAACTTTGATTTGAATGAAAGTCTGCAATATCATTCACATATTATCTGGTTTTATTGTTCTTAGTGGCTTTCCTTTCTTTTAGATACTTTGACAGATACTTACCTTACAGTAGCTGTTTACCACTAGTAATCTGAAAGACTGGCAGACTTAAGACTGTCAGACTTATTTATACAGAACAAATATTTAGTAGCTTTCTGCTGTAATATTTGATATTTCTACACTAGTACTACTAATGGTAGAATGTGCTGAACTTCCTGTGATTTAGCTTAGGTGCAGACCGTCTACTTTTAGTTGGCCGATAGTTGAGCCAGATTTTAATTTGTATTTAAATAAAATCGATGTAATGTGCGCATTGCCATACATGTCCATACTAATTAACAGCCCCACCTATCGGACGACGAAAAATCGGTGGTCTGCAGGCGCAGACAGGCAAGTTTAATGTCTCATACTGCCACTTTCTCAGAAATAGATGCTTTATTACATTTCATTAAACATTTGTTCCAGTTCTCCCTCCGTCCCGTTTCTCGGGCGCCGGCAACCGGCCATGCGACATCATCGTGGCGCCGCCGTGCGACGAGCTCGACGCCGCCGCGCTCGACGCAGGCCTGGAGCCCCACCCGCTGTCGCCGAAGCAGCTCCACGCTATTAGAGAGAAGGGGTGAGATTTATAGAAAGACTAGCGGCCGCCCGCGACTTCGTACGCGTGAATCCTGTTTTACCCCCTTTTCCCGAATGTTCTTTGCTATAAACCTCACGGAGCCCGAGACCTTTCCAACGAATGCAAAACCGTGGAAATCGGTTCGTGCGTTCTGGAGTTATAACTGGAGTTTGTTTTCATATAGTAGATATAATAATTATTTGGTGTTAAAACAATCCAGAACCACGAAAACACTTTAATTTAGTCTAGTGGAGAAGGGGTGAGATTTGAGAGAAAGATATAATAATTATTTGGTGTTAAAACAATCCAGAACTACGAAAACACTTTAATTTAGTCTAGTGGAGAAGGGGTGAGACTTGAGAGAAAGATATAATGATTATTTTGGTGTTAAATAACTACCAGAATCACGAAAACACTTAAATCTAATCTAGTTTTTTACATAAAATGGTTCCTCTTTTCGAACTTGATGCCAGTAGGCGTTCTCTCTCTACCAGTCAACCATTGATAAAATTAGGGTACCCTCAAAATGGTCCGCTCATTATGAGGTGTATTAATTTATTGATGATTTATAATAGCAGAAATGGCTCATTTTGGCCTTTTTGTGACCGTGGCATACTATACGCAGTGACATCGCACTATTTGACAATCGCTGCGACACCGCAGTAAGATCGCGGCGCGTAGCTAGTTATTGCCTTCACACGAGAGAATTCTTATTGGAGCGATATCGCAGCGCACACGCAGCGTGCACGCACTGTCAAGAAAACGCAGTGAAAATCGCTGTAATATCGCCTCGCCGAGAAATCATCGGACGGATGAGAGTATGAAAATGTCTCACATTTGTGACATGTTATATCGTATAATAAAAAAGTAATATTTAGATGCGCGTGACATTTGTATGAGAAACAGCGACGCATACCGTGCGCAGTCTCATACGAATTCCACACACGCCACATAACAATGTGAATTCATTTTAACTGTTAAAGCAATGTAGAGCTGTCTGTAGAACTACAGTAAAACTAAATAACAATGACGCTTATCTACATAAAAGCGTTAGTTGTTTTGTTATTGACTGTACCACATAAGAATTCAATGCCTATTCAATAAACGAAGAAGTAGAACATTCAAGTGATTGCACTACCTACTCAATACTCAATCAGTCAGTTGATTCTTATTTGAATGCGAATAGCAATGTACTCGTCTATTTGCGCCTACACAAACTTCTGAAAGATGCAAAAATATTCACGTAAACTTAACTAATAAGAGTGTAAATTACATGTTAGTCATGATGACCACATTTTGTGACATTGGAGCAACTTTTCACGATTGTTCAAGGTTGAAACACTTGTTTTACAAAATTGAGTTACATCAGTCAGCCGTACACAAACGTATCAAATGGGACGAAATGCCTAAAAATTAAAACGCGCCCATGCATCGTTAGGTTCAATAAAAGTGCTGTGTAACAAAGGATATGGTCCCCTTCGGCCTTTGAACTCGTTAAGTTCAATTAATGTTTAAGCCCTGTTAGGGTTGCCAAAACAGAAAGCTTAAACTTTTACTTTATCAAGGCCTTTTACTAAAAAGAAATGGCTGACCTTATTTCACTTTCTACAGGCGGATTGCGGTATTATTTTCGGGTAGAATCCAAGTTAATTATCTCACAAACAAAATAAGTACGAAATATTCTAGTCTTTTAATAAACTCTGAGCTTATGGCTTAACTGTTTTGTGCTACTTAGCTAGCTATTACTGATTAGTATAACAACGAATTAGTATAACATCTGACAATCAGCGTCTCTTAAGTTAAATAAAACGTTTAATCAAGAATGCGGTATCACAGTGTCAACCCTACCCCGCAGATGATATGCTTTCAACTCACCCGTCTGAACTTGTCGCGCCCTTTTCATTTCACGTGTTTCTCGACTCCTTTCCATTTTATTGCTGTACGCGTACGGAATTACAGATGTCTGATGTCTGTCTTTGAACACTAATACATATTATTATTGTATAGTTAGAGGGAAATGTTTGCAACAGGCCTTTTCAAGGCGAGAGTGAATAGGCATTTGCAGGGGAGATATGTCATGTACCACCCTAGACTGCATCTCACTTAACATCAGGTGCGATTGCGGTCTAATATCTGCCTTGTTCTACATAAAAAACAGGTTTCAGTAATATCCTGAGCTACTATCAGATTTCTCTTCGAGACTAAGATACTGTGTTGAGAAGTTGAAGTTGGTGTGAACTTAAGTACACTCCAAAGTAATTAACTAGCCCGACTAATGCAAGATGGTACCTAATGCATGTACGCATTTCTTTATACAATCAGAAGTTAATGTTACTAATGAAACGCAAGGTGAACTAAGTAGGCACCTGTTATGTAAACTTAACAACGTATAAATGATATCGTTTCTTGTCAGCTGATATCGTATCGTATTGTTTATAAATAAAAACTTGTACTATCTTTTTTTATTATGCGTAATTTTTGACACACGTGACTTAAATCACTTGTATTAATTTAGCGAAAGATTCGTGACTGCATTTACGAGTATTACGCCCGTATTCACAAACATTGCTATGCGGTCTCACAGTGCGCGTGGACGCACAGGGTGACACACGAACCAATCATTGCTGCACTCAGCTCTATTCAACGCTGTGCGTTCGATTTTCTGCTTCACGTAAGCAAGCATCGTTTGTGAGTACAGGCGTTAGTATTGACCTTCTATCAGTCCTAGGACATCGAATAAATAATCTAGGGTTAAAAATGTCAGCCCGCCATATCAGTTGCGACAATTGTGCTCGAAATGTATTGTTCAGACAAGGCAGCGGGGCGGGTGACTCACGATCGTAACTCAATCTCGCACGCGAGCAATCCAGTTTCGTGTTACAGAACAAAAGGTATCAATTACGTGTTAGATACAGGATATTAATAAGCTGAGGACAGGTATAAGGGAAGATCTCATTTGTATTTCGTGTAGTCTCTATATTGACCCAGATCAGAGTTTTGCGAACCCAATCGCATTCTCATGACAATAGCCAGGTCGTCCTTTGTATAGATATTGGTGTACAAGGTATATTCTAGTATGTGAGCCATGATCTGAACTTCTGAAGCTCCTTCCTAGAGTCACACGTGGTTTTAAACTGCGGTTTATGAAATACCAACATAGAAACAAAATTGATTCTACTTAAAACCGATACTGTCTTTTATTGTAACTTATCTAAGATTAGACCCTCTAGATATAGATTGAAAGCTTTATAAATACATCTAGAAAGTTTCATACATACAACATCTAAATACACATGTCATTCATGACTCTTCTTAGGATCGGTCTTAAGAAGGATAGCTTCAGGCTTACTAGAGGGATTTGCTGCGCCATTATTACTCATCTAATGACATCTAAGCCTTATACACATTCGTATCCTGTAGGTGTATATGTATATGTGTATAAACCGTTCAATATTCAATAGCAATTTATATAGAATATTTTTTTTCGTAAAGCTTGCACAAGGACAGAATATTTAAGCCGAAGAAACTAAGTGCTAAACAATTGGAATCCATACGTGAATGGGGGTATGTCGCCCTGATATCTATATTTTGTTACTTTATTTATGTGTATTCTATATTACCAATGTTGGTGCCAATATTTTAGTTCACTACAAATATTGGCGCCAACTCTACCCCCAAGCATGCGATCCATTCATTAGAAGCTTGTACTTGCGTCTGTATATGTTTATGTGTATTTCCTGTCTTGACACTGTAGCTCCATCCTATCATAGGCAATAGTTATAGTCTTCTAGCATGTTCCTTGGTGTTGTGAAGATCACCCTTAAACATGGGCAAGATTAGATACTTCGTAGTCTAGGAATTCGATTAATCTGTCTTCTGTTACGTGTACTTCAGCTTATTGTACATAATCTTCTAAGATACAGGTCTATGACATAACTGACTCAGTGGCTGAGGTATGAGAGCGGCACTGGAGGGTGTTCTTGTGACGTCAAACGTTAGCGAGACAGATGTGCTTCAAACTTGTATTCCTTGTGACGTCATACTTTAGGCACTGACTTAGTTGCGCCCTTACCAATACAAACAACTACTTCAATATTTTTAAAATAACTTGAAAAAATCGAACTGCCTAAGGTGAGAATCGAACCCACGAGTTTTCGCTTGCCGGGTGACTGCTCTTCCATCTGAGCTATAGTCTGGTCTGTGAGCACGTAGAATTTTGTCCAATGACCAGCAAACGACAGCAAGCGACAGCAATATAATTACGCGCGAGTGATAAGGATGGGTAGCTTGGGGTCATTGGACAAAATTCTACGTGCTCACAGACCGGGCTTTACTTAGGCCTACTTAGAGTTCGATTCTCACCTTAGGCAGTTCGATTTTTCAAGTTATTTTAAAAATATTTACATCGAGAGGCGACTTAACGCCAGATTTTTTTTAATAACTATCTACAAATCCAACAGCGAGTTCGAGGTGCCGTCCCGCCATTTCCCCGGGCAAACGCACGTGTGGCGCGTGGCGGGATGGTTGCAGCGTGGTCGTGCGCGTTCGCGGGAGGACTTGTATTGCCACGTGGCGAGGGCCGTGGCGCTGATAGTCGTGGTGGCGAGAGATCGATTGCTGCGGGATGAGCCGCTGTCGGTCATAGCTGGAGCTAAGTCCATGCTCATGGGTTTGCATAGGTAAGAAATAGAAAGAAAATTAAGATTTTAGTGCGTTAGTCGGCCATGGATGTGGTAGAAGGAAGATCTAAATGAAATATGCTCTCTATTTAACCAATGTCGTGGCTTTCGTCACGATGTATGGTGACGGGACTATTCCCAACTCTTGTTCCCACCGCTGCAACTCCTGTGTAGCCAGGATCTACAGCTTGACCGCCAGTAAAGACCCAACCAGTGAAGGTCAAGTTTGTCCCGGGGAGGGATGGCTGCAGAGGGGTCGTGCGCGTTCGCGGGAAGACTTGTATTGCCACGTGGCGAGAGCCGTGGCGCTCATAGTAGTGGTAGCAAGAGATCGACTGCTGAGGGATGAGCCGCTGTCGGTCATAGCTGGAGCTAAGTCCATGCTCATGGGTTTGCATAGGTAAGAAATAGAAAGTTTTGTAAGATTTTAGTGCCATGTGAGTCGGGCATGGATTTAGTAAAAGGAAGATCTGAATGAAATATACTCTTTATTTAACCAATGTCGTGGCTTTCATCACGATGGTTATGGTACAATAGTGACTGAGTTTCTTGCGCTGCTTCTTCTCAGCACTGGCCCATTTATTGTCCCGAAGCAGTGGTAGGGTTAATATTGGGACGTGTAAAAGCGCTTTTTTAAAGCCCATTTGCAAAAATAAATGAATTTTATGATGTATGGTGTGTGTGGTGGGATCCCATTTGGGATAGGATGGCCCTACTCATTTTACTATTTTTCTCTTTTCGTGTTTTCTTGTGCTACTATTGTTTTTTTAATATTATGGTTTTTGTTTTATAATAAATGTCCTTTTCTTTTTACTTTTACAGATTATTGGATCTCGCGTTTGGAATGCCGTCCTTAGAAGCTCGTGATCTCGATAAGAAAATACGCGAAGAAAGATCTCGATACTTAGTAGCTGAACTTATTTGTATGGTAAGTACTTTTATAAAACTGTTTTTTTTTTGTCATCAGCACTTATCTGACTACGATTTTAATGTAGGTGATCTGTACTCCATTTTTCTCACTCTACAAATTGATATTAACGAAGTAAACAAATTGTAAATATCAATTGTAATCGTATTTATTTTTATTCAGCCTGAACATCAAGAAGACATAGCGGCTTTGGCTGCTTGGGTGACCCGCGCGATGCGTCGGGCCGCCTCCGAGAAGACTGACGCGCGAGAGGCGTCCAGGACCGCGCCTAGAGTGCCGTGTCTGTACACCACTCCTCAAAGGACACAGGTACAATGCTAACGAGTTGGCGCCACTAGCGAGTAAGGTTCTGTCGTTCGACTGTGGCACAAACAGGTGCCCAGGCACCTGTAAATACGACACAATTCGAGACGTCCATGACTGACCCCAGGGTGTATACCACTTTTCAGAGCACACAGGTACAGTGTGGAATGAGTTTGCGCCCAGTTGGCGCCGCTGGCGAGTATAGGATTTGTCACTCGCCAGTGGCGCCAACTGATATAAAAAGAGGGGTATCGCATTATCACTAAAGTATCCCAACATTTTGATACACTTGAGTGATTATAGTCGCCAGCGATTTGTTTGCTTCCGGTGCATCTGGCTGAATTTGCAGCTTAAGTGCCCGTTAGGCAATATAATTCCTAAGTGATACCTTCCGATATCTCGGCTAGCATCGAAACTGAAATCCCTTTTAGTAAGGTTGAAATAGAGGTCTTATTTCCATCCTATCCTAATAGTTTATGAGTGGCAAATACTTTTTTCCACAGGTGGATCTCCGTCTATACCGTCGCGAATTAACCCGCAAGGCAGCGGCGCCTCTTCAAGCTTTATTGGAGCGTGAGGCGCGCGGCTGGTTCCTGCACTTTCGCGAGCGCCGCGCCGCACAGTTGGCCAGCCAAAAGGTGCCCTTAAAGGACATCGAACAGGTAGTAATAACGTTTGTACACCTTAGATGGTTTTTCATTATTTCTCCGATAATGAAAAACTCTTTGTCTAAAAGTAGGCGCACACCGTTGATATTTAGTTGACCGATAGTTGTGCCCGATTTCAAATTGTATGAAGAATCGGCGTAGTGTGCGCAGTCCCATACATGCCCATACTGATCAACAGCCCGACTAAACTATCGGCCGACGAAAAATCAACGGTGTGCGCCTACTCTAAGAGGCGCATTATCGCATATGGCGCGAGCTGATGTGCTAGGCCGCGGCCTCCCTGCAAGCCCTGTTAAATCTGGTTCTTACATTAAATAAGTTTATAGAGCTATACCCTTTTCTGTGGTCATTTTCTTTCAATCTAAAACTAACTAGCTTAATACAAGATTTAAATTAACAAACAAAACTGAAGACGAAAACGCAAGGAAGTTAAAACCATGAAAGTACCTTAGAAAGACTATTCGGTAAAGGTCACGGAAAGTATTCGATCGCAAGCAGCGCAATACCGATGCATCTGGAAAACCTTAGGGAACCTTTGCCCAGCAGTATACGTCTTTTAGTTGTAAAAAACGAACAAATACTTTCATACGACTGTTTTGTTATAGGAAGTCCGAACAGCTGCGATGCGCGAATACGTGTCTCGAGTGTGCCGTGGCGTGTTGTCTTGCGAGCGTCTGCTGGCATTAGGTCCCGACATCCCACAATTGTTGGCGCAACAACTCAGAGCAGCTGCCGTCGTGGACAGGTGAGACAAGACCAATCGTGTTGTGAGGCGTTACGTGCCGTGGTCCGTTGGAGTAGCTGCTCCTGCTGGTACAGGATTCATTATCTTGGCGCTGTGTAAAATTGTCCAAAAAATATCCAAAAATATATCCTAGCTCTGCTAGATCAGTAGAAGAAGGCAGCTGTTTTTGCTCTGAGCCACTAGTTGCATGCTGTTGTGTTAATATGTCGCAATCTTCGAGACCAAAGCTTGACGTCAATCATTAGGGCATTGGAATGAAGAGCTCAGATCAGACCATGTTTCTTCATTAAGAAGCGTTCAAGAAAATTCACAGTTTTTTCGTGTTATAAAAATGTATAGAATTTTCATAACTGTTTTTCGTGATATATTGCAGTCTATGAAAATTCAGCCCAGACCATGTAATTCACAATAATGACCGTTAATTGGATATAATAGACATGTTGACACCACCAATCAATTGACGTACTTTTTAAAACTGTCAAAACGAAACTTCCATATATTTTGTATGGCACTACAATACAAGCAAGTGACGTCACTATTTTATCAACTCAATTAAACTACTTTTTTCAATTACAATGCGAAGAAAAATCGTAATTTACAGGTAATTTAAAATTAATTAAGTTTTTAAGACCAGAATGAAGGGTATTTTTAAAAAAGTTGTGGTTTCGAATTATTGGAGTATGGTGTCAAACTGTCTATTATCATGCACGAAAGCCGCTCCATTATAACACTAACAGAATCCCTTCTTCCTTTCTAGAGCCGAAGAAGGCGTCCGCCGTAAGCTAGAAGCCGGCTTAGCAACCGCAGAGGCGCGGATCTGCGCAACACACCCGATTTTATCGCGCGCGGAAACGTGGCGCAAGGAGAGACTCGCGCTCGCGGCGCAGCGGCTCCGCGGCGAGCTCCGCTGGGCGGCCATGGAGGACGCCGCCGCCGCCATGCAGGCCTTGAAACTACACCAGCACAGATACTTCTTGCTGAGAGACCTGACCTTCTTGAGGGATCGAGAGCCGCTGCTTATGAAGGTTAGTCTCAAGACAGCTCCGTTCTATCTCGTGCGGAAGTGTGACGCAAGAAGCGGCTCCGCGGCGAGCTCCGCTGGGCGCCATGCAGGCCTTGAAACTACACCAGCACAGATACTTCCTGCTGAGAGACCTGACCTTCTTGAGGGATCGGGAGCCGCTGCTTATGAAGGTTAGTTTGAAGACACAGCTCCGTTATATCTCGTGCGGAAGTGTGACGCAAGAAGCGGCTCCGCGGCGAGCTCCGCTGGGCGGCCATGGAGGACGCCGCCGCCGCCATGCAGGCCTTGAAACTACACCAGCACAGATACTTCTTGCTGAGAGACCTGACCTTCTTGAGGGACCGAGAGCCGCTGCTTATGAAGGTTAGTTTGAAGACACAGCTCCGTTATATCTCGTGCGGAAGTGTGACGCAAGAAGCGGCTCCGCGGCGAGCTCCGCTGGGCGGCCATGGAGGACGCCGCCGCCGCCATGCAGGCCTTGAAACTACACCAGCACAGATACTTCTTGCTGAGAGACCTGACCTTCTTGAGGGATAGAGAACCGCTGCTTATGAAGGTTAGTTTGAAGACACAGCTCCGTTATATCTCGTGCGGAAGTGTGACGCAAGAAGCGGCTCCGCGGCGAGCTCCGCTGGGCGGCCATGGAGGACGCCGCCGCCGCCATGCAGGCCTTGAAACTACACCAGCACAGATACTTCCTGCTGAGAGACCTGACCTTCTTGAGTGATCGGGAGCCACTGCTTATGAAGGTTAGTGTCTAAACAGTAACTCGTAATGTCTCGCGCGGAGATATGGCGCAAGGAGAGACTCCGCGACGAGCTCCGCTGGTCGGCCATGGGGGACGCCGCCGCTGCTATGCAGGCTTTAAAATTACACCAGCATAGATACTTCTTGCTAAGAGACCTGACCTTCTTGAGGGATCGGGAGCCGCTGCTTATGAAGGTTAGTGTCAAGACATAGCTATCTCGTGCGGAAGTGTGACGCAAGAAGCGGCTCCGCGGCGAGCTCCGCTGGGCGGCCATGGAAGACGCCGCCGCCGCCATGCAGGCCTTGAAACTACACCAGCACAGATACTTCTTGCTGAGAGACTTGACCTTCTTGAGGGACCGAGAGCCGCTGCTTATGAAGGTTAGTGTCTAAACACAAGCTCATCATGTCTCGCGCGGAAGCGTGAAGCAAGGTGCGACTCCGCGGCGAGCTCCGCTGGGCGCCATGCAGGCCCTTAAGCTGCACCATCACAGATACTTCTTGCTGAGAGACCTGACGTTCTTCAGGGATCGGGAGCCATTGCTTTTGAAGATTAGTCTCAAAGCAGTTCCATCCTATATCGCGCGCGGAGTCATGGCGTGCTCCGCTGGGCGGCCATGAAGAACGCCGCCGCTGCTATGCAGGCTTTAAAATTACACCAGCATAGATACTTCTTGCTGAGAGACCTGACCTTATGAAGGTTAGTTTCTAGACACAGCTCTATTCTGTCTCGTGCGTAGACGTAGCGCAAGGAGTGACTAGCGCTCGCAGCACAGAAAATTGCTGTCTTCTTCTTTTATTTTTTGTAAAATTGACGACTTAAAATTATGTCCTAATAACTTTAAATGGCTCACTTAGAGTCAACTACTTTGACTAATTCCAAATCTTTTTTCAGGAACTGCGCGCAGCCAAAACTCCCACTCGCGAATTCACCTGGTCCACCAGGATATGGCTGCCTCAAAACTGGGTGGTCGTCCGCCACTTCAGGGGTCGCTCTGAGCGAATCCCTACCGTTCTGAGCACGCGCGCCACGTCCATAGTCACACCGCGGTCCGACCCGTCGCAGCCTGTGTTCCTGGTGGACAAGGAGCGGATTAGGACCACTAGCACCAGGTGGCCTGGGTGGCGATTGGTCAATTTGGCTCACAGGTGATTAACTCCTTTGTAACACTTTAGTAACTCGTTGTAGTAGCGTACAACTACGACTGCATATTCTGTATTTAATATAAATACTGGGTAGTGCTTTAAACTACTTACATCCAAATCAGTCCCCAAGACCACTTCTAACTACTCTACCTAAATATTTCATTAGCTGTAACTCGACGCGGTAGAAGGGATATCGCATTTGAAATCATCAGAGGGCTTAGTGTGAGTTTACATCAAACGTTGTCACTATTGAGCGCGTAATAAAATGACATTAAATGTATGACGGATTGTAGCGCCCCTAGCGGATACTTTCAAGAACTAAAATTCGCGCTCACTAAAGCCTGGTCCGTGAGCACGTAGAATCCCGTCCAATGACCCCAAGCTACCCATCCTTATCGCTCGCGCGTAATTATGTTGCTGTCGCGCTCGCACACTCACTGCGGGCGCCCGTCGCACAGTCGCGACAGCAACATAATTACGCGCGAGCGATAGGGATGGGTAGCGTGGGGTCATTGGACGGGATTCTACGTGCTCACGGACCAGGCTTTAGTGACAATGTTTGATTTAAACTCACACTCAGCCCTCTGATTTGCGCCACTTTGTCGTATCACTCTCCAGTGGCGCCAACTGGTGACCGCATTGGAGGAAACCCGCAATACCAGAATTTACGGTCTTCCACAATGATAGCGCCTTTACTCTTATAACTGCTGACTCTGGTATAACAAAAGGCAACACTAACAGCAATTTCTTTTTGTATTCAGAACGTGGTGTTGGAGTTGGAATCTGATGTTCCTGCTGGGAGTGCTAGTGCCGTGGTGCTCGCCCATATCGCTACGGACTCTGTTATGTGTCAGACCATTCGTGCCGGACTACGAGCTTTCGCAGGTACGAAGAACATTTCATCATCATCATCATTTCAACCACACGACGTCCACTGCTAAACATAGGCCTCCTCTAATGTAGTAATGTCCGGTGTCCCTTCTTTGCTCACCCTTTTTGAGAGATATCGAAGTATCGAACTCGAATCGATGTCTCTCGGAAGGGATGCGCGAAGCCACAACAAGGGCTCTCGCGAAAGGCCAGTTTCTTGACATGCCCTTATGAGCTTATGCCTATTGACACAGTGGCCCACTATTTTCTGTATTCGTTTTGTGTTGTTATTGTTTATATTTTTGTGCTTACTGTGTTCAATAAAGTCTATTTCTTTCTTTCTTTCCTCTAATGGTTTCCATATTGACCGATTGTTAGCGGCTTGCATCCAGCTCCTTCCTGCCACCTTCATGAGGTCGTTAAAGTAAAGTTAATTTATTTAATGTAATGTTGAAATGAAATGAATGTAATCTATTTATTGTACAGGTTAACGGCACATTGTTCCCGAAGCGTAGCAGTGAAACACAGACGATGTGGTCGCGATTATTGAAACTGTGGCGGCACATATCCAAAGAACGGACGCGGTTCGAGACTGAGCCAGATACAGGTTAGAATTACTTACTTTGTGTTCAGAAGATGTTTTAAATAAATAAAGCCAACGATTTGATCTTTTTATACTAAAGTGACTAGACAAAATTTTTCAAATGCAAGCAAATAAAAAGTGTAGGTTTTTGTGAGAAAGTTAATAAATGTTCTGATTTGGCAAAAAAATCATACACAAAAGTATGTGTTTATTTCTTTCTTATAACTGCTAATGGTTTGGTTTCGACGCTGGGAGCCGTGTTTAAGAATAAACGGGTTTAACGCTGACATTAGATTCGTGCGCTATTTCAAAAATGATTTGATGATGAATGATGATTTTTTCGTGCAGGTCTACTAGGCAAAGGCCTGAGCCGACAAGCGAACCGCGTGTGGAACTACGGAGTAGTGGGTGGGCTGGGCTCGCTAGGGCTGCTACTAGGATTTCCACTGGCGGCACTGGGCGGCAGTGCTTTGTCGCTGGCGGCCGCTGCCACTGTGCCGCTGTGGGCGCCTCCACTGACGCTGGCCGTGCTGTGTGGATGCGCGTTGTTGTATGACTTGGACTGCCCCGACCCGCCAAGACTTAACAGGTCAGTTCACAGCTGTGCTAGAGCGAGACAGATGATCTTGCTGATGGCTTCCCACTGGCGGCAGTGCTTTGTCGCTGGCGGCCGCTGCCACTGTACCGCTGTGGGTGCCGCCACTGACGCTAGCCATGCTGTGTGGATGCGCGTTGTTGTATGACCTGGACTGCCCCAACCCGCCAAGACTTAACAGGTCAGTTCACAGCTGTACTAGAGCGAGACAGATGATCTTACTGCTGGCTTCCCGCTGGCGGCCGCTGCCACTGTGCCGCTGTGGGCGCCGCCACTAACGCTGGCGGTATTGTGTGGATGCGCGCTGTTGTATGACCTGGACTGCCCCGACCCGCCGAGACTTAACAGGTTTTTTTTTTTTTTTTTATCCACAACGAGGAAGCTCTTGGCCTGTATCTCACCTGATGGTAAGTGACGATCAGGCCGAAGGTGGAAGCGAGCTTCACCCGGAATCCTCAACCTTACCTTAAGGTTAATTCACAGTTGTGCTAGAGCCGAAACAGATGATCTTACTGCTGGCTTCCCGCTGGCAGCAGTGCTTTGTCATTGGCAGCCGCTGCCACTGTGCCGCTGTGGGCGCCGCCTCTCACGCTAGCGGTATTGTGTGGATGCGTGCTGTTATATGACCTGGACTGCCCCGACCCGCCGAGACTTAACAGGTCAGTGCAAAGTTGTGCTAGAGCCGAAACAGATGATCTTAATGCTGGCTTCCCGCTGGCGGCCGCTGCCACTGTGCCGCTGTGGGCGCCGCCACTAACGCTGGCGGTATTGTGTGGATGCGCGCTGTTATATGACCTGGACTGCCCCGACCCGCCGAGACTTAACAGGTCAGTTCACAGCTGGGCTAGTGTCGAGTCAGATAATTGCTACTGACTTCCCGGCGGCAGTGTATTGTCACTGGCAGCCGCTGCCACTGTGCCGCTGTGGGCGCCGCCACTGACGCTGGCCGTGCTGTGTGGATGCGCGCTGTTATATGACCTGGACTGCCCCGACCCGCCGAGACTTAACAGGTCAGTCAACATCGTTCGTTCGTTTCAGCCGAAAGACGTCCACTGCTGGACAAAGGCCTCCCCCAAGGATTTTTACAAAGACCGGTCCTGCGCCGCTCGCATCCAGGCAGTCAATATAACTGCGTTAATTTCGAAACACTCCCTAATAGTATACTACTCCTTCTATGTTGTTCTGATTAATTTTCCTCTGGGACAAACTTGGCTTGCACTGGTAATTTCCATTATTGTGACACCCATGGTGATATTTGGTGACTCATGAAGTTAATTTCTTGTTTCAGATTTCTAGTATTATTTGAAGTCATCATTTGGCGGATAGTTATCTTAGGAGTGCTCCAGCCCATAGTAGCATTTATTGTTGCCGTAATAATATGCCCGCTCTGCGCACTTCTTTTACTAGTTGGTAAGTGTTATTCTTGTACTATCTGTTCTTAAGTAAGACTTTCTTATTTTTTCCATGCAAGCATGGCTCTCCCACGGTTAAAAATGCAACCCCATAACCTCGCTGTTGCATTACTTGTTCGAAAAAACATTGTATTGGCACAGCGCGGGTGCTGGCAAGTCGAAGACAGAGAGGCCTACAGCTTGTCCAGATAACGCGTTTTATGTATGCACGCGATTCATGCGCGAGTGCATGTAGACAGAATGTATGGCATGGCTTGGGGTCATTGGACGAAATTCTACGTGCTCGGTGACCGGACTTTAGGCTGGTTTTAGTGTCACGCGGACTGTTAGTGCGGATCGCTCCGCACAGCCGATCTGTATGAACTGCTAGGGAGCGAAGCGGTTCCTCCGGACCGCATTACTCTAAAACGCTCCCTAGAAGTTCATACAGATTGGCCGTGCGGAACGGGCCGCACCGGACGGTCCGCGTGACACTAAAACTAGCCTTTGTGTCTCTCTAAAAACGCGTTATCTTGGACACGGCCTTAAAAGCTGTATGTTTGTTGCTGTTGTTGTAACCCAGGCGGCGTATCGTGGTGGGGCGTTCGAGGTCTATGGGAGCAGCTGGCGTGGGCGGCGGTGATCCGGCGCGCGGCGCGCGTGCCCGCACACGAGTCCGCCTTCTGCCGGCGCGTGCGCGGGCCCGGCCTGCACACGCGCACCTACTACCAGATCACGTGAGTGGCCGACTGTCATCTGCGACATCTGTCAACGAGCAGCAAATGTTAAATATAGTTCCAAAATATTGAACTGTCCTATGCATGACATTGACAGTGGGGCGCCACCGTCAATACCAGATCGCTGGTTCCGATTTTTGCCATGTTGGAATGTGAATAAAAAATTTTTAAAAAAAAACTGTCATTTGCATCATCTGTCATGCTTTATACCAAAGAAAAGTCGATTTTTAGGCCCGGTTTCCACCAAAGCGGAGCGGAGTGGAGCAGAGCTGAGAAGTGTCGGGCCGTCAAATTACACACAAGCAACTTAACGTTAACGCTAATACACACTGACTCAAAATCAAAATCAAAAATAGTTATTCAATTTAGACCACAAGTGGCACTTAGGAACTGTCATAAAACAGTCAAGTTTTTTTTAATTTTTTTTATCCACAACGAGGAAGCTCTTGGCCTGTATCTCACCTGATGGTAAGTGTCGATCAGGCCGAAGGTGAAAGCGAGCTTCACCCGAAATCCTCAACCACGGAGGAACTGGTTATCTTACCTCTAACTGCCGGAACACAATAATGCTGTTAACATAAAATATTTAAACTGAAACCCCAATATGTGTTGTATACTGTGAATGTCTTAAATGTGTATTGCTGTTGGTGTACCTTTATCAATAAATAAATAAACATTGTTGTTATGGTGACAGACTTAGGTAAGATGGTGGTAGCTAGCCAGGCGGATTTAGAATTAGAAAGTAATTCCTCAACCGAAGCGTTTCATCAAAAACTCATTGAGCAATTATTCCTACAGTTGTGCGCAAGCCGTAGCAGCGGTGGTGGCTCGAGGCGAGCTAGAATCTTTATCGGCCTGGGCGAGCGAGCTGGAGCTGGCCATAGAGCGGCCTCTACGGGACTACGCGCATTTTGTGGACGCTTGCTTCGGGCCCTTCTCCGTGCAGATAGCTAAGGCAAGTGACCATATTTATTGCACGTTTTGACCAAAATACGACAACGGATCGGCAAAAACCTCCCTCAAGGTATTCCCAAAACGACCGCAGTTTTAGAAGCGAGCTTGGAATGAATAGAAGTGTTCGTAACGCGGCCTAGGCGAGCTAAAGGTGGCTGTCGAGCCGCTACGTGACTATGCGAAATTAACCAACGCAGTTACAGTTCAGTTTTTAAGCGATGTGTCAGTTAAGTTAAATATACTTTTTTTTTAGTTTTTTCCACAACGAGGAAGCTCTTGACCTCCATCTTACCTGATGCAAAAGTTTGTTCAAATCAAATCATTTATTTGTAAAAACAGGTAACAATCCCACAGTCTTTGAAGATCCAGTAATGTTCCTTCTTTTAACCAGTCTAAATAATATCTTCATCTTCACAGACTGGGGCATACAAGCAGCTAGAAAAAGAATGCATGGAGCTGACGATGTCGCTGCGAGAAAAAGTGTCGAGTAGACGGCGAGACTTAGCCTTAGGACTCAGCGATGCCGCGCGAGCACGAGTGCGCATGACCACGCAGGACCTTAGGGTAAGTTCACAAAGCACGTTGCCTTTACGCCTGTCATAGATTCAGATTTATTGCGAACCGCATGTTAGATAGGATACTAAGAGTTATACACCCGCACTCACAAACTATGCTTGCTTAAGTGAAGCAGCAATTCGAACGCACAGCGTTGAATAGAGCACTGTAATTGGTTCGTGTGTGACTCTTTGCCTTTATTTAAGACGTAGAAAGTATTCGTCGTATATTCTGCGTGAAATCGTTTTTGAAGCGCTCTTTGTTTCTTTCAACGTCTTCTATAATATAAAAATGAATCGCAAAATGTGTTGGTAAGCGCATAACTCAACAACGCCTGGACCAATTTTACCAATTCTTTTTTTTAAATGTTTGTTGAAGTCCAAGGATGGTTTTTACAGCGAGAAAAGTTTGAATAATTTCCGGGTAAACCCTAAAAAACTCGAAACTTCACCCCTAAGGGTAAAACGGGGTCCACGCGTACGAAGTCGCGGGCGGCCGCTAGTTTAACATAAAAACACGTAGGGATTTTTAAGCGACACGCTGTTTTCAGTTTCTATGGGTTGCATAACGATACAGCATGCGGATGCTCTGCGTTTCGCATGCATAAATCACGCTTTGCTGTAAAAAAACGCATATGAAATTGTTCGTTGTGGGTACTACGCATACGGACCAATAACGTGCATGAGCCAATCCGCACACTAAAACGCCCTAATAGGACGTATAATGGTGAAATGCAGAATGAAAACTTTAATGGGTATTTCTTATTTCCTTTTCTCAGAGAGCAGTACAAACAGCGGCAGCCGAGCTATCGCGGGTTTTCAGCTCGGTGGCACGCAGCGAGGAGTGGTGGACGGCGCGCGGGCTCGAGCTATCAGACTGGCACGCGCTCGCTGCCAACACACTCGTCGAGGCTAGTATACATTGCGGCACAATGTCATGACGTCATATCGTCCCTCGCATGACCAGGCCTGTTCATCTCCGCGAGTTTACCTCGAAAACAAAACACGCACGATGGCCCACCTACAGGATACTATTCGACAAGGCCTCACATACGAGCGAACATTGACTCACGCACGCGTATTCTTTTGTATGATGGAAGAAAAGAAATTAATTGGTGTACTAAATACTGTGCAGTATTTAACTGCCTAAATAATAAAAACACAGAATGTACTTTTTTAAGTTGCCTCAAGACACTGAGAGGTAAATAAGTAGTTAATATTATTCATGATAATTCATGCTAAGTCATATTGTATTTCCTCCGCCATTTTCCGCAGTTTGGCACCTCACGTCTCATCATTTTACCGAAGTCAGCCCTATAGCTTCGGCGCAGTGCCGATCACTGACGTTTGTCAACAAAATGGTGCTTGACTCTTGAGACAGGCTAAATTACACCATATTGTTAATGACATTGAGCATACATTTTTTTAAAAACCTTCGCGTTGTAAAACTTCTGTACGTAGTACTTATTCTGTGGCATGACTAACTATCCTATCTCAGTCTTTTGGCGATTTGATAACTCAAGTCCTAACGGACTATAAATTTTTTTCTGCTTCCATTATCTACGATTTTCTCTAACTCACGTATCTGTATGTACCTATTTTTCCTCCCTCGAGGTCCGTAAAGTATAAACAGAAACTAAATTTGAAATGACCTAACTAAAAACCCGTGGTTTTGAGAAAGTGGCAAAACTGAGATAGGATAGTTAGTCATGCGAGGGACGATATGTGACGTAGGGCTCGCAACACTACATCTGCGATGAGCTGTCGCGCGTGTTCATTTCTGCAGAGGGAGACAAACGTGATTTGAGAAATAGTTATAGCCTGACCAGGAACATAAAAACCCTGGCATAGAGGCGCGACAATTGCATTTGATAGTGCAACACTGAGTACAGTCGTACCTGTGTTAAATTAATAGGCTAACTTTATGTATCAGGATTCTGGATTACGGGCTAATTTGATATTTTCATAAATTAACGAAAAAATATTATTATAGGTAACCTGGTTTAAATAAATTAAATGAAACCATTTATCGAGTTAGTAGTATTTATTTTATTATTCGTCAATAATCAAAGGACAATGGGCAAAATGGTACCCGGCTCCAATAGATATGAGTCTAGTATCGTTTGAAAGGTCTTACCAAGATGAACAACTTTCACTATGACCACCAGCCTCAGATCTGGTTGTGTACGAAGATATACATACTTTTTTGCAGAATGGTACCCGGCTCCAATAGTAATGTTTGTAGTGTCATTTGAAAGGTCTTACCAAGACGAACAACATTTACTATGGCCACCAGCCTCAGATCTGGTTGCGTTCGAAGATAAAGATACTTTTTGTGTAACCTAAGTATCATACAGTATGAAGGGGGACGCGATCGGGGCAGGGCACCGACGAGATGGTCGGACGCGGCGAGGAAGACGGTGCTGGGCGGGAGTTTGCATCGTGCGGTCCACACAGCTTATGACCGCAGTCTGTGGAGGAACACTATCTGTGGTCACGATCCTCATCAGTGAGGGACCGAGGAAGAAAAAGAAGAAGTATCATACGTGTCCATCGTATGGTACTTAGGTTATGCGAGTCAGGAAGGGTTTACTGTTCCAGCATGCTTCCTTTTAACTCTATAATTATTGATGGGGATGATTGTGAAATAAATATTTTTATTTAGAGAAGTACTAACCCCTTATTAATAAAAAGTTACACCTAGGAAGAACCTTGGATTAAAATGACATTTCCATACCAAATGACAATTTAAGCCAGAGTTCAACTAGGGTGTAACTTTTATTAATAAAGGGGTGAAAGTTTTATTACTTCTTAAGGCTTTTATTATGGGTTGCTAAAGCGAATAAACCCACAAAACCCAACAAGTCCACCCACAAGATGGACCGACGACCTCATAAAGGAAGCGGGAAGGCGCTGGATGCATTCCGCCACCAACCGGCCATTGTGGAAATCATTGGGGGAGGCCTATGTTCAACTGGACGTCCTATGGCTAAAATGATCACGATGATGATGATGAAAGCGAATAAAGGGCTAATAGCTTGGGTAGTTCATCGTAGGTATAATCCTTTCCTTTTCAATGCTTCTTTTAGTTATATTAATAGATTGTAGTCATAATAATACATACTCGTATACATGGATGATTGTGTTATACTTTCATTATAATACTTAGTGGAATTACTGCTTTCAAAACGTGAATTAGAACTGGCCCCATAACAGACATTTTCCTACATCTAAAGGCCTTTTAAAATATATATTGGTTATGGCTATTGGAGCGGGTACCACTTTCCATACATTTGTGCCCATCATCCTTTAGAACTTGAATATTCAACTGCAATGTCTGCTCATGAACGCTTCAAACTCGGTACTTCTTTCCCAATTCCATAAAATTCAACACTTAGAAAGTGACAAAAAACTTTAAAATAGGTAGTTGAAACAAACCACAGCTAATTTTCATAGTGGACTGTACTATACGATAAACATGTCAGTCAATTTGACAACCTTTGTCGGAAACATTATTCAATGAAAATATTGTTCGAACCCTTAGTATTTCTCTTCAACAAATACTTTAACACATTGTGAACCACTTTTCTTTCACGACTATAAAAATATTTTAGCAATTTAATTCACAAAATCAATTGCGCACATTTAAAATAAAGTTTGTTTACACTTTGACAGCAATAGACTGACATGCAAGGTGACATGTCAATGAAGTTTTCAGTTACTGTTGCCATTAAAAGAAATTAGTACCATTAGTTTTCCGCAACATGGCGAGGGTTTTTATGTTCCTGGTCAGGCTATAAAAGCCGATTTTTCGGGAAAGTGACGTCATTTTTTCGAACAACAATGTACTAAAGAAGGAAACCTGTCATTGGCCATACAAATCTTATAACTAACATTTTCAATGTATCTCTGTTGGTTTCTATAAATAAATAAATGACGGCGTCAACTTAAATTGTGGGACATTGCATTGTAATTCCGCTTGACACCTAGTTGAAGATGAACTTTATTTTTTGTCTTAAGTTCCACAATATTTTGTATTGTTTAACAATGTTTCAGCAGAACAGTATAAATAATTTTTGTCATGTCCAGGTGTTCGACGCAGAAGTCTTAGTGGCGCTAGAGGAGAGCGAAGCGAGACTACCTTTAGAAGCCGGTGAAGGTGTGCGCGCGTGGGCAGCGCACTGCGGTCGAGACACGGCACCGCCTGACGTATTAGCTGAGCGGGACGACTGGCGCCCTGAAGCTGCGGGTACGTGTCCCGGACTGTCTAGGGCAGTTTTCCAATTTTGTTTTGCCAGGGAACCCTAATTTATTATACTTTTCCTAGCGGAACCCCCGTACTACTCCGCCCGCACGCCCTGCCCCTCCCTTGTGCGTAAACAAGTCGGTGCGCGCGAACAACGTCGATCACGAAACGTGGGATAATATTTTTTACGGAACCCTTGCGGCCTTTCCACGGAACCCCAGGGTTCCGCGGACGACCATTCGGGAACCGCTGGTCTAGGGTGCCGTAGGAGCAAAGTAGCGCGGTTAGCGAATTTAGGCCAGCACTACTGGGCTATAGATCTAGCGTTTAACTCGGTGTTTGAGGTATGGAAGCAGCATCAGAGAGTGATTTGTGACCGTCAAACGTCAGCCAGACTTCAGATTTGTATGCCTTGTCACATCATAATATTTCAATGTGGCCACCATGATGTGTCACCCATCCTGTGTTACTCCCATGCCTAAAGCACTAACTGAACTAAGCCTAGCGCCAGCTCATGCCTTATCTATAGCTGAGCGGGACGACGTGCGCCCCGAAGCCGCGGGTACGTGTCCCGGACTGTCTAGGGCGCCGCAGGAGAGCGAAGCGAGACTACCTTTAGAAGCAGGTGAAGGTGTGCGCGCGTGGGCAGCGCACTGTGGTCGCGATACGGCGCCGCCTGACGTGTTAGCTGAGCGGGACGATTGGCGCCCTGAAGCTGCGGGTACGTGTCCCGGACTGTCTAGGGCAGGGTTTCCCAATTTTGTTTTGCCAGGGAACCCTAATTGATTATACTTTTCCTAGCGGAACCCCCGTACTACTCCGCCCGCACGCCCTGCCCCTCCCTTGTGCGTAAACAAGTCGGTGCGCGCGAACAACGTCGATCACGAAACGTGGGATAATATTTTTTACGGAACCCTTGCGGCCTTTCCACGGAACCCCAGGGTTCCGCGGACGACCATTCGGGAACCGCTGGTCTAGGGTGCCTTAGGAGCAAAGTAGCGCGGTTAGCGAATTTAGGCCAGCGCTACTGGGCTATAGATCTAGCGTCTAACTCGGTGTTTGAGGTATGGGAGCAGCATCAGAGAGTGATTTTGTGACCGTCAAACGTCAGCGACACTTAAGATTTGTATGTCTTGTTACGTCATAATTATGTCAAAGTCACCACTCACGTGCCGCTCCCATACCTAAGGCACTGACTGAGCTAAGCCTAGCGCCAGCTCATGCCTTATCTATAGCTGAGCGGGACGACTGGCGGCCCGAAGCCGCGGGTACGTGTCCCGGACTGTCTAGGGCGCCGCAGGAGAGCGAAGCGAGACTACCTTTAGAAGCGGGTGAAGGTGTGCGCGCGTGGGCAGCGCACTGCGGTCGCGACACGGCGCCGCCTGACGTATTAGCTGAGCGGGACGACTGGCGCCCCGAAGCCGCAGGTACGTGTCTCCGCTTAGGTCTAGTGTACCGCACAGGAGCAAGGTGGCGCGCTAGACGGGGTTAGGCTACTGGGCTATAGGTTAACTCAATGTACATTTTTTTTTAATGTGTCAAACGAGCAGACGGATCACCTGATAAGTAAGTGATTACCGTCGCCCATAGACACCCGCAGAGCCAGGGGCGTTACAGGTGCGTTGCCGGCCTTTAAGGACTTTAACTGTCTAGGGTTCCTTAGGAGCAAGGTAGCGCGGTTAGCGAATTTAGGCCAGCACTACTGGGCTATAGATCTCGCGTTTAACTCAGTATCTGAGGTATGGGAGCAGCATCAGAGAGTGATTTTGTGACCGTCAAACGTCAGCGACACTTCAGATCACCACTCACGTGCCGCTCCCATACCTAAGGCACTAACTGAGCTAAGCCTAGCGCCTAGCTCATGACTTATCTATAGCTGAGCGGGACGACTGGCGCCCTGAAGCCGCGGGTACGTGTCCCGGACTTTCTAGGGTTCTTTAGGAGCAAGGTAGCGCGGTTAGCGAATTTAGGCCAGCACTACTGGGCTATAGATCTAGCGTTTAACTCGGTGTTTGAGGTATGGGAGCAGCATCAGAGAGTGATTTTGTGACCGTCAAACGTCAGCGAGACTTCAGATTTGTATGCCTTGTCACGTCATAATTATGTCTAAGTCACCACCCACGTGCCGCTCCCATACCCCAGTAACTGATTGTGTTAAGCGATAGATTATAGCTGAGCGGGACGACTGGCGCCCCGAAGCCGCGGGTACGTGTCCCGGACTGTCTAGGGCGCCGCAAGATCAGAACGGTTAAAGTAATTAACATACGGCCGAATACTGAAACGCCATTTAAATATTTGACGGCTTCTCAAATAGTTAAGCAGCTCCTAAACTTACATTTCGCATACTCAAAACAATATCTGAGCAGTTCTCAATTTTTAAGCACCTCTCAAATTAAGTTGCACTCAAACGCCACTTAAATGAATTTTCGCATACTGAAACGCCATTCAACGCTAAGCATTACTCAAACAACTGTCAAATCGTCTTAAGCAGCTGTTAAATTTGAGAGTGCTTGCGCGGTATCTTAAATCCTATTCTTATACCTAAATCGACCTAAATAGTGGTAAATAATGTGTGTCATCGTTATCATTTCTTTCGAGGCTCGAGGAAATACCTAGATCTAATCGCAGGAACGCAATAATGCTGAACGCTATTGAAAAATATTATTATAATGACATGCAATTCCGAGCAGGGCCGGATCTACCTATGGGCTGATTGGGCTGCAGCCCAGGGCCCCGGGGTTACAAGGGGCCCCCAAATCCCGCTAAAAAGTAGGCCATAATTAAAAAAAAAAGAAATAGTTGTCTGTAAAGTCGGTACTTTACTTGTCACGTAAAAATATCGTCCGTAAACCGTTACGGACGATATTTTTACGTAACAACATCATAAGAAAATATTGATTAAAAATTGCATACTTTTATGAATGTAGTTGAGGGGGGATGAAATACGTGTAAAAGGTTGTTTTCATGCTGTTTTTCTTGAATTTTTTTAAAGTTAATAATGGCAAGTTTTTCTTGCATGCTATTGTATTACAATACTGTTTTCGGCGGAAAGTATATGAAAAATGTGTAGCCTTCATTAAAATTAGTAGTCATACTGCTTTACATTTATTTAATATTTTACAAGCTTTATAGAAACAAATGGATTACTACTGAGTAATTGTAGAGGGCAATCTTATGACAACGCTGCCAATATGGCGGGTCACTACAATGGTCTACGGGACTATTCCCACCTCTCGTTCCCACCACTGCAACTCCTGTGTAGCCAGGATCTACAGCTTGACCGCCACAAAAACCCAACCAATGAAGGTCAAGTTTGTCCCGGGGGAAAGTTAAACTGTCATTGGACCCGCAACGAAATTAATCAGAAGAACATAGGAGGAGTTCGAAATTGTCTACAAGATTATGTGCCATGCCGCGGATTATGTGCCATTTGCTGTGTATTCCCTTAACCTAGTTGGTGTAGATCTGTTAACGTTGCAACCGAAATTGTAAACTTTTTTGGAGTAGTGCAACAAATATACGTTTTCTTTTCTGCTTCGACCCATAGGAGGGAACTGTTGAATCGTGAAATAAAATTAAAATTCACGTTAAAAAGTTTAGGCCAGACCAGATAAGTAGTCTTGCCACTATGATGCTGTCAAAGCGTTAAAAAATAGTTATGATGACATCATGAAAATTTAAAAAGTTTCAGCGAAAGTGAACGTGTTCCCTAATTGCTATACCATTGTAAAGATTTTATTAACTTTACCAATAACTAGCTGTGAAGCAGAACGCTCCTTCTCAAAGATGTCCTATATAGAAAATAAATATAGGACAACAATGGCGAACTTTCGACTAAACCATTTCTCACTTCTGTCTATAAATTGTGATTTAACAACAAAAGACTTGCAATGCGATGACCAAATAAAAGAATTTGCAGCACAAAAATGTAGAAAGGTTAATTTATAAATTATAATTTCTTTTACTAACTACTATGGGCCTCATAAGAAGGCTCAAGGTCACCCAAAGAGCGATGGAGCGTGCTATGCTCGGAGTTTCCCTGCGTGATCGAATCAGAAATGAGGAGATCCGTAGGAGAACCAGAGTGACTGACATAGCCCGCAGAATCGCTAAAATCAAGTGGCAGTGGGCGGGGCACATAGCTCGAAGAGCTGATGGCCGCTGGGGCAGGAAAGTTCTTGAGTGGCGACCACGAGCTGGAAGAGGTAGCGTGGGCAGGCCTCCCACTAGGTGGACCGACGATCTGGTGAAGGTCGCGGGAAGTACCTGGATGCAAGCGGCGCAGGACCGGTCTTTGTGGAAATACTTGGGGGAGGCCTTTGTCCAGCAGTGGACGTCTTTCGGCTGAAACGAACGAACGAACGAATTTATTTTACTAATAAATGAATACTAAATAAAATTATTTTGTTGTTTTTTATTTTCTTTTATACAATGTACATTGTACATCTCTATTTGGGTTTCTCTCTCACCCAAAGGTTACCTGGAAGAGATTGCTACACAGCAATAAGGTCGCCTTTTGTACAACTAATACTTGCGTAGATTTAAGTAATATTTATGTTTTTTGTGCAATAAAAAATATAAGTATAAGAATAATATATCATTATAGAACATTGAAGTAATATTACTACGTATAGAACAGACATCGCGAACAAAATATGTACAGTGCGGGGTGCGGGGCGGGAATTTGACGGACAGCTGTCAGTCAAATCCATGACTATCAAGTTTCATAATTTATGGCGATAAAATCTGCACCAGAAAATGTCGTACTTTATTGATAGGATTGCACGAATAGTGACGTTCCTGCGGTCGCCTCATCATAGACATTGTGAAACGATTGTGAAAATAAACAAATCGGCTAAATTGTGTTAAATTTTCATGGTGCTCAATAGCAAAAAGGTTCAGCTACTTACATTATTTTCTTTTATCATATTGTGCGTTTCCTGTAATGTAATCTAAGCTCACCTGCCTTAGACTAAAATTAGCCCTCCCTAGACAAGTGACAAAACGTAGCAGTTACTTCACTCTGTGATGTGATCTGAGATAATGCCAAAAGGCATTAAGTCCGCCTTATGTACACCGTTATACGTGCATATAAGTTTTAAATAAATAAATAAATAAATGATGCGATTTTAAAATTACAACTGGCGATTCCGAATTCACAACTGAGGGGACTGAGGCTAATCGTGTTACTTGTGCTACAAGTGCGTATGGGCTTCATACTGATGCTTAAGCCATTAATTTTTTTTTCCCGATTAAAATCTAATGTAATCGATAATCGCCTTGAGAATCGTTAACTGGTATTTTCTAATTCGATAAAAAAATTACCCATCTCTAGTTTAAAACTGTCATCCGACAGCGCACGAAATATTATGAGTTATAGATAATGATACCATTACAGAGGCGACACTTCGTTTACGTTTAGTTTCTGCCTATTGAATTGGATACTGTAAGGAAACATCGTCATCATCATTTTAGCTACTGGACGTCCACTGCTGAACAAAGGCCTCCTCTAATGATTTCCACATCGCCCAGTTGATAGTGGCCTGCACCCAGCGTCTTCCTGCTATCTTCAGTCAGTCCATCTTNGTTATCACTGGTTATTAAACGAGTGATTAGCCTGACCAGTGATCACTCGTTATCCAAAAACGCCTAAACTAGTTTTTTTCTTAACGTCATACAACGTTAGAATCTCTTCGTTATTCAACACGATTGCTTCCACAACGCTCTAAAGGTAAACTGAATTCACTCTTAAGCAAACAACATAAGGTAGATGTTTGGTTGACACAAAAAATAACGTGTTTCCCGCTTCGTTATGACAGTTTTGAGGACAACGTCGTACATTGACGATTCTTAAACATATTTTTTGTAACCTAAAGGAGTAAAGCGAGTAATGTATGGTGTCCAAATAATAAGGATCGCAACGAATCGAGTGCGTGTGCGAGTGAGAAAGCCATAGGACGTTAACATAAGTGTGGATGAAATAGGTATAATCTTCGTCGTACGTTAGATATTCAACGGAATTTGAGTCTTATTTTGAAGGTCATAAGTTCCTAAAGGCCTTGCAGCTAACCAAACACCTAACGTTATTATTATCACTCTTGCTTGAGCGTTGTGGAAATAACTTCGTTTAAAAAAAACTAGTTTTGAAAACGTTATTCGTGATTCGAAAACCGTCGCGTTTCGTTATTTCAAAAACCCATAACGACACATCTTTAAATTGAATTTCGGTCCGTGGACCTATTTACGTGCCAGAAACAGTCTAGTTGACATGTCTTCTCTAGTACGTAGTACATTATAACTCAATGTTATAGAAACAGTTTTTTGGCATGGCTATTAGTTGAGAACTAAGATAGGCCCACAAGTAGTATCAGCCCAGGGCCCCACAAATTCACGATCCGGCCCTGATTCCGAGCGAGGTTCCGCATCTCTAAAGAAACGGTGTTGTGTCTGGATTCATAATTTGGAAGCTCTTTGAAACCCCGCACCAAACGCCATACAACCAGTGGACCAAATACTTATTTTAACCCTACTGTTCTACGCAACGGGAAGTTATGAACGTGTACTAGGTGATATCTTCCACATCGAACAGCCAACTGTGCATCGTATAGTGCACAAAGTAACAACTAAAATAGCTGCTATGAAATCGCTTTACATAAACATGCTTATTTCTGAGGAATAATATGGGGACATCGCATAGTAGCATTTCCAAGAGTTGTTGATTTGTCAATTTGATGCTCTGTCAACAATGATAAATGTCAATTGTGGTTACGTTTCGGTCCACGATCGCCACTTATTAGATTTCAACAATAAAAAGTATCACCTTTAAAATTATTTTTTTAATTAAATAAAAATGCAAGCATTAATTTTTTTATATGATAAAACGAGATTTATGTATAATAGAAACTAAAAACAAACTGTTGTATGTTAAGTTGATTGAGTAATATTTCCATAAAAGACAATACATAACCAAACGATGCTGCGTGTAATGGATAAAAAACGTAAAGTTATCATTTGTGTAAATGAAAACATACTTTTTTTGGTAAATGTTGCCATTATGTAAACATTTGAGAGCTGCTTAGCTGATCACGGCTTCAAATCCGTTGAGTGGCGTTTGAGAATACCATTTAAAATTGAAGGATACTTAAATTTAGGAGCCCGTCAGCTGAGTGACAGATTTGAGTAGTGTTTCAGTATTCGGCCGATAGCCTGTAGAATTGCCAAATTAAGTGACAGTGGGCGGGGCATAAAGTTAAAATAAATGATGGTCGTTGAGGCAGAAAGTTATCAACTATGTATTGGAAAACGTAGTTTGGGCAGGCTCACTTCTAGACCAAAAATTGATGATGGTCATGGGTAGCACTTGAATGTGGGCAGCGCAGGACCGGTCGTTGTGGAAATATGAGAGAAAAACTGTGGAGATGGTTTTTGTCCAGCAGTGGATGGCATCTGGTTGAAACCTGAACGTACTAGGTACTTAATTAGTCAGCGTCAAATATTTCGTGACACTAAAAGTATCAAATAATTTCGCAATACGTCTGTTACGATTGGAATAAGGTTGTGTCAACTTTTTGGCCTCTTCAAGTGTCATAAACTATTTGACGCTGACTGTAACTAAATTCCGCCGAATGAAGCCGCGATAGCAGTAAGATCGATGCGTTTGAGATGTGGTGTTGGCGGAAATTACTCCGCATACCCTGGACTGCCATGCGAACCAACGAGTCCACATTAAAAGAGCTCAACATCACCACGCGGCTCTCCACTATATTATTATGCCTAAAGCGTACCCTCTGTTTCTTTGGACACATTATGCGGTCTCCAAGGCATTTTCTGGAGAAACAAATTATCTTGGGACAAATGGAAGGCAGACGCGCTCGGGGCAGGGCACCGACGAGATGGTCGGACGCGGTGAGGAAGACGGTAGGCGGGAGTTTGCATCGTGCGGTCCACACAGCTTATGACCGCAGTCTGTGGAGGAACACTATCTGTGGTCGCGATCCTCATCAGCGAGGGACCGAGGAAGAAGAAGAAGTAACTAAATTGATCCGTCTCTTTTGTGTGTTCCTTTCTTTTCTCATTTTGTCTGTTACATCACAGTACAATAAAGCATTTCATCTCTCTCTAACTTGTTCCTCAGGCGTGTGGTGCGAGTGGGGCGGCACGCCGGCGCCGCGTGTTCCCGCGCCGGCCTTAGAGCTGTCGGCCTTCAGCCCGCGCGCGCCGCCGCACCCGCCCGTCCCGCACCCCGCCGCCGTCGCGCTCGTGCTGCACAACAGGTAATGTACCTTAAACGTATGTGTGTAGAGGTAATAGTTGTTTGAAAGTGGCTAGGATACTGTAGTTGTCTGGGGAAGTAGCCGAGAGGTGTCCAAGACTGTTGTCTGAGGAGTAGTTGAGAGGTGACCAAGAGCTGTCGACCTTCAGCCCGTGCCGCACCCCGCCGCCGTCGCGCTCGTGCTGCACAACAGGTATGCACCTTATACGTATGTACGTAGAGGTGATAGTTGTTTGAAGGTGGCTCGGATACTGGAGCTGTCGGCCTTCAGCCCACCCGCCCGTGCCGCACCCCGCCGCCGTCGCGCTCGTGCTGCACAACAGGTATGCACCTTATACGTATGGATGTAGAGTCTGCTCCGCGAGCACGTAGAATTTTGTCCAATGACCCCAAGCTACCCATCCTTATCGCTCGCGCGTAATTATGTTGCTGTCGCGCTCGCACACTCACTGCGGGCACACACGGGCGCGCCCGTCGCACAGTTGCGACAGCAATATAATTACGCGCGAGCGATAAAGATGGGTAGCTTGGGGTAATTGGACAAAATTCTACGTGCTCACAGACCGGGCTTTAGAGGTGATAGTTGTTTGAAGGTCGCTAGGATACTGTAGCTGCGTGGGAAAGTAGCCGAAAGGTGTCAAAGACTTTGTCCTATTTAGCAAGCCTTCCCCACTAAACTTGTGACTAAACTAACTAAAGCGGCACACCCGCGCCGCATATTCCCGCGCCGGCGTTAGATCTGTCGGCGTTCAAACCGCCCGTGCCCCGCCGCCGTCGCGCTCGTGCTGCACAACAGGTATGCACGTTATACGTATGTACGTAGTGGTGATAGTTGTTTGAAGTTGGCTCGGATACTATAGCTGCCTGGGGAGTAGCCGAGAGGTGTCAAAGACTCGTCCTATTTAGCAAAACTTGTAACTAAACTACATGAGTGGGACGGTACGTCAGTTCTTTGAAGGTGGCTAGGATACTGTAGCCGCCTGGGGAAGTAGTTGAGAGGTATCTAAAACTCGTATTTTACAGCAAATCTTACCCACGAAACCCTAGACTGGTTTCGTGTACCCAAACATTATAATTGAAAGCGTGAGAAGACCCAAAACGTGTGAAGTGTAAATTTGGAGTCCCTGTCTAACTCAATACTCAATTCTTTATTGCATTTCACAGTGTACATTAGTTCTTAAATATATAATTGGATCACCATGAACCCTGTCGGGCAGAACAACAATGGAGAGGACTCCTCCCCTTTTCCCCTCCATTTATTCATTATTCTGCGAGAAGTTAAGTTTCCAACCTCCTACATCAAATAAATACCACTACTACTATGATGAAAGGTTCCAATTTACAAAAGATGGCAAAAGGGGCTCCTGAAATTTGAAAGGCATATTGCCACCATCTATTAAGAACTTTTGTCATCTTATCTTGAAGCATTTGTATAGAAATGGAAATCCTTATAACAAAAATTGTTTCTCAGGGAGTCGGACAACCCCGTCCCGCTTGACTCGGAACTCTGTGCCGAGATCCTGCGCACGCTCGAAGACGCGCCCGACTGCGACGACCGGAGAGGTGAGATACTTTAAAAATGTTACATTACTTACATATTATGCAAGTTTTTAAAAGTTTTTCTTTTTAAATCATAATACTATAAGTTCTAGCGCTTAACTCAGCCAGTTCCTAAGGTATGTGAGCAGCACAGGAGGGGTGATTTTGATACGATAAAACGTGACGACGTCAGAGACATTTAACAAAAACACCTTCCCATAACTCAGGCACTGAGCTATGCGCTAAAACAAAAAGTACACAGTATTTAAATTGAGTAATGTAAAGGGTGTTTTTTAGAGGAGTAAAACTTTAAATTGCTTACACTGGACATCTCGATTACGCTACATTTGAGCCAACCGTGGCACAGGCCCGAAATCATTTTGAAGCATAAATGTCATAAGAACATCTTTTATAAAAACCAATACCATGTGAATAAATTACCAAAAGACATTAGATTAATTGAACATCTAAATTCATTTAAAAAAACTTTACTGACTTATTTAATTAATAAATGTTATTATAATATATCTGAATTCTTTGACGATAAATCTAATTAGTTTATGTAACTGCCAAATTTTATTGTTGTCTGACAAATTGTATGCTCTTTGAGCGGAACATAGTGATACTACCTAATGTAACATGTCACCATTTTACCTATGATTCACAATAAATGATTTTGTATTGTATTGTATTGTAATAAAATATATTTTTACATCAATTTTATTTTATTTTAAAGTTGTATACCTCTAAAAAAACACCCTATATTTTATGGTTGATATTTTGACTTGTAAATGTTTCTGCAGAGTGCGTGGAGCGCTACCGCGGCGGCGGCAGCGACGAGGCGGCCAGCTCGGGCTCCAGTGCCGCCTCGCCCGACGACGAGCGCCCGCCACCGCCGCCCGAGGGCGTCTGCAGGTGAGCGCCTTCAGCAGGGCTTATGATAAACATGTGTCAAGTACAAAGCGACAAAATTAAGATGATGATTAATTGGGAGGAATGTGGTGACGAAAAGTGGTGGAAGAAGTGACAAGTACAAAGAACTTCTCAGTACTATAGTTGGTCTGCGAGCACGTAGAATTTTGTCCAATGACCCCAAGCTACCCATCCTTATCGCTCGTACGTAATTATATTGCTGTCGCGCTCGCATACTGTCTGCGGGCGCCCGTCGCACAGTCGCAAAATTACGCGCGAGCGATAAAGATGGGTAGCTTGAGGTCATTGCACAAAATTCTACGTGCTCACAGACCGGGCTTTAGCCTGTATGTTATCTCTAAGTAGTGGTAGGGCAAGTTATATTTGGAAAGTGTATAAGCGCCCTGGAAAGGACCAAAGTACTGAATAAAAGCTTTGGCTATGAGAGATGATGCGGATGATATATTTTTGTTACGTCAAACGACAGTCAGATATCAAATGTGTTTCTTTCAGCTATGTATTGTATAAAAACTTTCAAATATTACCTCTTCCGCATCGCTTAGTTAGCTAGGTCGGTAAGCGCTTAACTAAGTAATTAAGTGTTTATTTGTACATAGATGAAATTTTTTGTTTTTACTTCCATCAATAAGGATGCGATAACGGTTGATGACTTTCAGAATTATTGTTGAAATAGTTAGAACATGATAAAATTGTATTATTTCCAGAGTATCCCCAAGCACAGAACGCGCGGCGTGCCGGTGGACGCTCACAGGCCGTGGGGTCCGACTCCGTGCAGACCTGGCCAGCCCAGAAGACGTCACGCTCGACGCCGATCGTGCACACGTCGGCACTTCAGTTTGAACCCTATAGCTAAGTTATAAGGTCTACATCCATTTGCAGCTACCTATCAACTTAAGAAACATTTGTCTACGCAAACCGCACACTTCGGCACTTCAGTTTGAACCCTATGTATAAGACGTAAGGTCTAAAAGCCGCTGGATGCTGACGGAGCGCGGGGTCCGACTCCGCGCAGACCTGGCCAGCCCAGAAGACGTCACGCTCGACGCCGATCTTGCACACGTCGGCACTTCAGTTTGAACCCTATAACTAAGTTATAAGGTCTACATCCATTTGCAGCTACCTATCAACGTAAGAAAAAAATATCTACGCAAACCGCGCACTTCGGCACTTCAGTTTGATCAATATTGTGAAGACGTAAGGCCTATAATCGGTTGCAGCTGACTTATTATAATAAGCTGCAGTTATTTTCTACGCAAACCGCACACTTCGGCACTTCAGTTTGAACCCTATGGTAATTATCTAGGGCTGGTATTGGCATCCCTGGCCAGCCCAAACGACGTCACGCTCGACGCCGATCGTGCACACGTCGGCACTTCAGTTTGAACCCTATATCTTAGTTATAAGGTCTACATCCATTTGCAGCTACCTATCAACTTAGGAAACATTTGTCTACGCAAACCGCACATTTCGGCACTTCAGTTTGAACCCTATGTATAAGACGTAAGGTCTAAAAGCCGCTGGATGCTGACGGGTCGCGGGGTCCGATCCGCGCCGACCTGGCCAGCCCAGAAGACGTCACGCTCGACGCTGATCGTGCACACGTCGGCACTTCAGTTTAAACCCTATAGCTAAGCTATAAGGTCTACATCCATTTGCAGCTACCTATCAACGTAAGAAAAATTGATCTACACAAACCGCACACTTCAGCACTTCAGTTTGAACCCTATGTATAAGACGTAAGGTCTAAAAGCCGCTGGATGCTGACGGGTTGCGGGGTCCGACTCTGCGTGGACCTGGCCAGCCCAGAAGACGTCACGTTCGACGCCGACCGTGCGCACGTCGGTACTTCAGTTTGAACCCTATTGTGAAGACGTAAGGCCTATAATCGGATGCAGCTGACTTATAATAATAAGCTGCAGTTATTTTCTACGCAAACCGCACACTTCGGCACTTCAGTTTGAACCCTATGGTAATTATCTAGGGCTGGTATTGGCATACCTGGCCAGCCCAGAAGACGTCACGCTCGACGCCGACCGTGCGCACGTCGGAACCTCCGTTTGAACCCTATATCTAAGTTATAAGGTCTACATCCATTTGCAGCTACCTATCAACGTAAGAAAAATTGATCTACGCAAACCGCACACTTCAGCACTTGTTTGTGTTTTATATAGGGGCTGTATTTGTTCTCATCAGTTAGTGTTACTCGCCAATGGCGCCACTTGTACTACTTATACCCCTCATTGATAGCATTAGGTGTTATTTGATGGCACGTTTATGACTACATCAAAATTTTTTTTCAGAAAAGTGGCACGTTGATACTTAAAGGTTCGCCGTGCCTGGTCTATAGTCTTCACGAACTTTCTTTACATTTCATTCAGTCGGCCTTAATATGCTAGTTTACGCAAATTTTATATAAGGCCTAAAGTCGTTTGAAGTTATTTAAATAATATGTTCACATAACAACTACTGACAGATTGATTTTGAAATCTGCCCCACAGCCGTAAGGTCTGCGATCGCTTGCAGCTACACGAAAAACAGTTTAATTAAAATGTCCGCCCAGGTCATGTTGAGAATTAATCTTTTGACTAATAAATTAGAATTATGTCTAAAATGTCTTCTCGAATTGTATGAAAAAAGACTTAACATCAGCAGATAATGGAATTAATTATATCGGAATTTACTCTATTCTTTTTTATTGTGTTTCCAGTATTTAGAGACAGTTTTATGGGCCATGAAAATTAGTAATTCACTATGACATTGGTGACTTTTCAACTATGTACCTTAAGGATAATATAACGATAAGGTATTTACTTCGACGCCCATTGTAGTTGCCTTGTAGTCTGCCGAGCTATAAACGATAGAATAAGGACGTATGTAAGTTCCATATTGAATGGTTTTGATAAGGCCGGTGTCACACACTCGCTTTAACTCTAAATTAGTATTGTATCATGTGTGCGCGGCCTAACTTCACTAATTGAGTAGCTCTAAGGTTAATACTAAATAAGGGATAGTGGCAAAGGGATAATAGATAAGTAGAGGCTCGGTGGAATCGGAAATACTGCGTGTTGGCAAGACTTCTTATACATAGACGAATTGTTTCCATGACGTTTGAAAAATGATCTGATTTTTAAAAGAACTTATTAATAAGTAATAGTGAGTCTATGGCAGCTTTTAGAGTATTTAGTGGGTATTCTCTTGACCACTGAGGGTCCATATTTGAGGCCGAGTCTATCCACCGATTTTCAATATTTTTATCACTTTTGATGACAAGATGAATAGAATTGCCTACGTTTAAAATTATCACATCTTTGTCAAAAAAGAATTATAATAAACACTTACTATTACAAAAGTCGTCCATGTGTAAGCGGCCTAAGCTATCACAGAGTAACGCGTTCAATTGCTAATTTAGGGAGTAGAGTGGAATTGAAAAGACTCGGATATTATACCTCGGATCAAGTGCACTTGTCTCAAACAACGATAGTGCGTATTTATAATGCGGTAAGGTTGAAAGTTGTTTGATACTAAGCTAAGATAAAATTAAGTAAGATATTGTTTTAGTGACCTGTGGGCGTGTTACCATTAGTCTGTAGAAGCGACAGCAACGGCAAGGTAGATATGAATGGATACAAAAATTATTTTGATTCGTAAATATTATATTTGAGAACTGAAAGTCAGATCAAATCAAAAATATTTATTTAATTTTGACCAGTATTATTAACGCAAAAATTATAAATTAAAAAAAAGGTAACCATAAGGTGACCCAACATTTTTAATTTTTAATACGCTCGTGTGTCGACGTTCGTGCCTACATCATGGGACTTTCTCTTGATCACATCTCATTCGTGAACCACAGAGTTAGCGCATGCATAATATGCAAATGCCTTTATACATTTTGACATTTAGTCGCCTCGCCTTTGCTTTACAGACCAATGGAAATACGCTCCACATAACAATACTTAACTCTTAACATTTCAGCGCATTGTTTTTTGCATTTATTTAGATCTCCTCTCGATGAAATTTCGACTTTTTATTAGATTACTTATTTATTGTAGCACAAATTGATTGTTTATATCACGACGTATACAAAATTAATATTAAGTAAATGAATTTTATTTATCGTGGATATTTCCGGCATTTATTTTTATACGTGTTTTGTCTGAACTGAACTAAATTTAAAGTAAATTGTGCCATTCTGAGATTTGAGTATTACAAACTTTCTTTGCCATAATATCAGAGTGCTTCTTAAAATACTAATACCACTTCCAAAACGACTATGCTGTCTGATGCAATACTAATACCTCTTGTTTAATTTTATTAAGTAATTTAATTTAAGTTTATATTAGTTAAAATATTAAGATCTGATCTTTTGAAGGCCATTTTTTAAAATCACAGACAACTTTTTGTCTGTAGAACAAAATTTACATTTAGGCATAATATTTTCTATGCATAACTGTCATTATACCAAACTTATTATTCAGTTAAGCTGAGTTGAAATGATGTAATATTAAATTGGCTTGTATGAAATCATAAGCAGCTTATTTATACAATTATTTTTAGCATTAATTAGTTAATAACCCTTCCTCCGAAATGATTTTTAAATAGTTTTTTTGAGTTGTGAATGTATGAAATGTATAAATGTGTAAAATAGTGCCTAGTAAATTATAGTACCGTAGCTTCGCCGGTCTGTAAGTTAACGTAATAAAGCAAATAAGACGTAACGTGAACTGCCTGAACTCTGTAAAAGATTAAATAATAGGTTATGACGTAATTTATTTAATAATTAAGTTTATGTATGATGTAACTATACAATTCTGCAAGACCTTTTTCCTGCAGAAAATAATTATACCCTTCATTTAAACGGTTCAGTTATGCCGATTTAACATAAAAACGTTGCACTTTTGACTGTTACACAAAATGAGTGAGTTATACATTACTAACTTAATATTACATGAATAAGTATTGTATTTATACAGGGTGAAACGTACAACACTATTCTAGGAAAAAAATGTTTTTGTGAACCTGTTTCTTTACACCCTGTATTTGTACAAACACCATGCCCATTTTCTCGTAGCTTATAATCACCACCGAATTTTTAGGGTAAGTGCACCAAGTTGTTAATTTCGTTTATTTTATTAGAAATACCCCCATCTTAAAAAGTGAATTGTATTGATAGTAAAAGGAAATTTCAATAAGATTGCCTTTATCAATTAAATTTTAGAAACGTTATTTGTCATTCATTTTAAAACGGAGTACAACAAACATATTTTATGTCCTTGTGAAAACAGTGCTGCCACCTAATTAATTTTGAATCAGTTTCAAAACTTGCAGATTGAGTGTTAGTCATGACGTCATACGTACTTTGTATGGTCAAGAAGTTGTTTCAAATAACTCTATTTTCAATCGTAAAATTCGTAGGTATTTTGGAAACCAAATTCCATTGACATAATTAACTATATCTACCACTCAGTGTTAGCAAAATTACGAAAAATATTTTCTATTTGCGCAGCGTTGATCGTATTTTGTTAATTTTAAAACATTTGGTCGATTGGTTCTCATCATTACAGAGAATAGTGCCCATAAGAGGTTTAATTACATAATGTTCGAGTCAGATTTAAAACCATAAGCGAATATATTAAGTAAACCTAATAACAACACTCAACGAAATTTACAAAATTTGGATATTTTTAAAGTTTTGAAAAAAGATACACAGAAAGTGTGTAAATTAGTGAGTTGCGTAACGGTGAAACCGGATAACAAATTAATAAATAATACTATAAGTAACGTAATAAGTATTCAATAATATTGCATTTTTAGAGTAACTAGTGTTTGAATGTTGCAATATGTAAGACCATGACAAGTAAGCTTTAGTTAGGTTAGGGTAGGTTAGAGCATTTACTGTTAAGTCCAGATTTGAGTTTTGTTTTACCAAGTAAATGGATCGATACGAGTACGTCTTGCAGTTTTCAAAGCTCAACATTGGGTATTTTACCCTAATCATTTCCAAACATCAATAATATCTATAAACCTATGCAGTTAATTTTATATTCCAAATCGTATTGGATTCTCTTGTGAACCATTAAGGCAACTGTAATGAAATTCATTTTATGTGTAATGGAAATTGTATTTCACGCATGCGTTGTCTGTGCTCCTACTGCTTGGTTGTAATGGTAGTAACGGATAATTTAGTTTTTCGCAGTTACTACTACAATGATAACTATTTTTACGCGTAGTACTTTTATATACGCGATAGGGCCACTACAATTTATGGTTGCAGATACAACTTAACAGTATGATTACGGGCAACGAATGATGCACTTAAAAATGTGTGTAAATCTTCTAATATGTATAAATTTTTAACGCTCTCTGTAGATTTTAAAGCCAAACAGATATTAAATATTATATTATGAGAGATTATAAAAAATCTGATTTTATAGTAGTGTATAAAACAATTTATATAGTATGTCTATATCAAGGCCTAACATATTGATTATATAATTTGCTACTTTGCCACGCGGATCGCGTTTCACGTTAGAGCCTTAATACAAAAGGAACGGATGCGCCTGACCTTATCATAAGATAGGTCATCATCACACTTGCTCATTTATTTATATTAGAACCTAGTCCTAAGATAACGTCACAAATAATGTTTATTTTATTAATTTGTTATTACTAATGTTATGTTATATAAACACAACCTGACGACTAATAAGTTTAAATGTAACCAAAGGTTAATAATCACTAGATAGCATCTCCATAAATGTACTTGTAACTGTACGTACGTTTGTGTGGGACACGGGCCGCTATATGGACGTGTCTCTACGTCCACTAATACAAATATACAGTGTGCCCCAAAAGTGTCAAGCCGAAGCCCAGAGGTAGAGCATCACTAGGGCTATCCGTAGACCTTCCAATCCAAAAGCCGAAACTATACACCCTGTATAAGTACTTTTCGGCTTTTGGATTGGAAGGCAAAAGGTACAGGTTTAACGATAAATGTTATATTTAATTGAATTTTCACTGGTCTGCTAATAGCTTTCATTCGTTCAGTTGTTATAATTACCTTAGCACATTGAAACATTAATATATAAGGTGTTATTTTTTGTACTGATCATACTTTACCAACGCATCTAATAAAATCATACAAATACAACCCAAGTGTTTTTAAAAAAAAATTCAGGCTAGTTTTCGAGTAAAACGACAAAGAATGTTTCGAAAAAAATAAAAAATAAATCATCCTTTGAGCGCGGTGAGTATTCGTTTACGCACTATCGTAGTAGCCGGCCGAGGGCAACGACCGCTGCCACGTGCCGCGCCGCGTGAGTCGGCCATATTGATATCGCTGCCAGTCGCTCCGCGCCCACAGCCCGCGCCGAGCCGCCGATCGGCATGCGGGAGCGCAACAACATAAATAATCGTACCAGTCCGTCCAATGCGCCCAAACGTGTTGCAGTGTATGTGCGAGTTATTACAATGCCGCGCTTGATCAATAACAAAACGCTGGTGAAATTATGTTTCGGGCACACTAACTGGCCGACGAGAAACATTGACGAGTCGAAAACCTTCATACCTTGCTTGTTTGGAGCCGCGTAGCGCTTCAGGGAGCGCAGCCGTATCCTGACTTGACGAGATCCCGTGCGCTTCGAGGACGAAGTTCTGGATTTCAATTTCAATCACCGGCACAGTGCTGGCGGTACCCAGATGCGAGCGCCGCAGACGGCGGCTTTTGCGTAAAAATACGGAATGCCTTATCAAGGAGTTGTTGCCAGAGGGCCACGACCGCGACCGAGTTCTATCGATGGTTATTGCGGAAGTCTACCTAGGTACATACCTACAGTGTGATTTGGACAGATGAGTGCTTGTTTACGCGAAAGGGACTTTTTCCGTAAAAAAGTTAGTGCGCGAATTGTGAATACAACATCCGACGTGGTGTCTAGTGAACAGCAAGCAAGTGTGCAGCCCGAAAGCATTACCTCAATTCGATCGTGGCTAGATTAGACAGTGCAAGACAGTGTTTACGTGAACATTCAACAAAGGCTTGACGTTCAAAATGTATTGTGATTAGTGTAATAATAACCTAGGAACTTTAAATAACAACATTCAAAATAGGTAAATGTGTGAATAAGTAAAATCAATGAATCTAAAGTGTGATGGCAAATCATAATTTAGGAATTAAAACCAGGAAAATTGATCAGTGAGTTTTATTTACAACACCTATTCATATTCAATATTAGGGTGCATTTCCACTGAAGCGAAGCGAAGTAGTAATAGGTATGTACCTATCAATTTTTTATTACGTCTCTAAATAAATTGCGTAGGCATTACGAAACCGTAGATATTGAATTCCAATTTCTATCCTTTTTTAAATTTCTAGTTTAACGCGGATGATTCGCCTCGGTTCGTTGGAAAAGTCCCCCGCTATTACACTAATGAAAATACACTTATTTACCTACTTATGTAGCTAGATTTTGTTTCTCCCAGCGCGTAGTACCTATTAACATGATGTAACATCGTACATACTCACGAGTGATAATTTTTGGTAACGTAGGCTTAGTGTAATCTAACCTTTATGTGTGTGAACGTTGAATGAACGCGCGCGGCCATTGTTCGTACTCGTATGAATGAAATGAGTAAAGAAAGAGAGAGAGGCAGTGAGTGAAGACAGGATGGTTGTAAAAATAATATCTTTTTTTTGTTAGGAAAAGCAAAAACAAAAACTAGCCTGAATTTTTTTTTAAAAACACTTGGGTTGTATTTGTATGATTTTATTAGATGCCTTGGTAAAGTATGATCAGTACAAAAAATAACACCTTATATTTCGAGCTTGACTGAACACTACCAGCTTATTATTTACCCAACAAAATGTGCGTACCTATCAAACAGTTTTTGTTTTATGTATTTTAGTAACCATGATTTTTGTTTCATTTCACCGATTTTTTAATGTTCATGTACACGAATTAACAATGCAATGTTGTGAGTTTTATTTATTAAAGAGTTTAAAATGAAGAAGTTTGTTTAATTTCGTGTCTTTTTCACTTAATCACCTGAAAAGGAAATGTTAGGTCATTAAATAAAACACTTGTTTTTATTGAATGGAATTTAAAATTTATTAAACCTACCTATCTAGTAATAATTATAATCTTCACATCTGTTACATGTTTGTATCACATGGATTTGAAAATTATTTTGTTATAAAATACCTACTATGATATTAATAGAAGCTTGAATGCATATTTTTGTAGTAATAAATATAAAATTGAAAACATAATTTATTTGATCTTCCCGAGCGACTGTAAACGCACAATTGGTTATCTACTACAATATTATCTATTTCTAATTTAACAATAATAAATTTGAAAGAATTTGTTGGACCTACCTACCTAAAGATTAAATAATTGAAAAATTATATTAATTAAAATATAAAAAAGGGGGTTATTATTATGCGAATGCAGAAACATGAAGCTTTAAAACAACATTGGTCCTAAGTAAATTAACTAACATAAAATGCAAACAGTAAATGAAATATAAATGTTGATTAAATGATTGCTAAATAAAACGAAATAAAGTAAAACAACAACAAGAACCACACCACGCCTGTCAAACAAGTTCTGTCGGCATCGGGCGCGGCACTGCCATGCCGCCGGAGTGGATCCACAACGCCCACTGACAGTAAAACGAATTCAAACTCGCGCTTCGATTTTGTAGATGATGGAACAAATTGTTAACATTTCAATTCCTACTCGCGCACAAATCATATGAGGGTTTCTATACGATTTATGCAGTCGTAGATCGGAATTAATCGAAATTCAAAACGTATCAAGTGGACCACACGAGGCTGGCTTTCCCAATAAGAATTACGAGTAAGAGTAAAATGGAAGTGCGAGTTTGAAGAGTTGTTACTGTGCCAAGGCGTATTTTCAAAGCATTAGAATTCCAACTCGCATGCTGAACTTGTACAAATTCCTTGAATTGGAATTATAACGTTTTAAAATAAGTCTGCAGGAAAACTGCACTTATCTGGCCCGGACTGTCCAATAATGCGACGCATTTCAATGCCACGCATCCGCTAATATACACCACTATTTTTTAATTACCGATATAATGATAAGGGACATACATGACAGTGAACATGTTAACTAGAAAGAATAGGATAAAGTGAACACTTTAATTTAAATGCAGTTTTTGACTGCGAAATATTCTTACAAGATTTGTTCTCTAGTCGAAAGTTCACTTCCTATAGTACAGTCGCCTCGTAAATCTTTACCAGTAATTAAAAAATAAGGGTCTTGATATATTGAGAAATATATAAACTATTATAAATACTCTGAATCTATTGGTTACAGTCCGATACATATTCTTTACGATATCAGCAAACACTACATACTCCATGTGATAAAGACTATTATATAAAAATAAATATGTCTCTAATACACATCTAAATTTAAAACATTAGAAATACTAGCAAGCTATATCATAATATTCAATGGCTACACAGTACATTTTGTATGTCTAAATGTGTTGAGACTCTTCCTTCCAATTTGTGACTCTTAATATTGCAACAATCGTACCTATGTATAAACACATCAAACCACTACTTCAGGCAAACAGCTCGATTTGATCGAATCTATTGGATTTTTAAAGAATTAATGAACACTTGATTCTAGACTGGACTTCTAAATTCGTTGTATTTAGATGATATAGTTGTTTTCAGAGTATAATTTATGAATTATTTTGTTAGTCGACAAAATTGAGCTGTTTGGTGAACCAAGCCCGTGCAATATCGCTCCAGCATCCGTGCTCCCACTGCGAACAACACAAAATGTGCTGTGTCGACACCTACTTAATAAAAGCGACCAACCACTAAATACAATAAGGAGCCACCGTTCTATATAAATCTCTTCGTTCTGTTTGCACTTTGTTTCCTTTCTATTACATTCCCGCTCCAATCTACAGGCACTATGAGAGGCGCGCCGGCGCAGGCCGGCGAATAACGTGAGAATCAACAGAGAGGGACTACTACTGGCTGCGCTCGACAATATTATGCGAAGTTGGTGTTATATTCTACATACAAATCTTTATCCAATATCGAGCAAAACTCGCAGTAGCCCCCCAGCAGCACTGAGGTCGCTATAGTTACTCTTTAAAGGCGGTGGTGGATATTGCTATTGGTTACGATACACGCTGCAACTACACACTTAAAATAATATCCAATACAATTTGAAAACACTACTTAAATCTATGTTATACCTATGTTAAATTTGTTATTACTATTATCAATACAGATACAAAAACTTTTCCAAGATTTTCAAAATATATAAATATTTTATGTATTAATATTTTTAAAGTAGTAAAATTGAAATAAAACTTTATATAAAATGCGATTGTATTAAATAGAAAATATTTTTACTTTAGATAGTTCAGTAAGTTTACTTATCGCGCGATCAGACTACAGTTACATTAGTATATCTATTTATTGACCCAAAAGATGGTACTCGTAAAAGGAGATAAAAAGTTAGAGCCCGCTTTGATAAAGTACAAAAATGATACGACCACAGATATAGATATACCTAGATAACGCGAATGCACCTACTTCGCGTGTCCCGATCCCGATAAATCCTCGGAATGAGTTGCCGCTGCTTACAGTCCACGCGCGTCTGTTGTTGCATGCGGACGGCCGCGAAAACTAGAAAAATGCCTCAATGTGTGATAATTAATTGCAATAAGCCAAAAATTTCGAGCTCCCAAAGGCAAGGACATATTTCCTATCACGGGTAAGTTATTTTAATATTATATTAAGTGTTAATTCATTTTAAAACATTTTTTTAAGTATTCCAAGCTGTGGTTTCAAGAATGTACCTAAAAATCTATAACTTACCATTCAAAAAATTTTTTACGATACATTGCCGGGTTTGTTTTGAGCGTTTGATCTGACGTTATGTGTTAAGAGGCGATGTATAACCACAGAATAAGTAATAGTACAGGTACAGAAGGATTACTCCGCAAGACGATTTAAATAAATGCGAGTCTTGCTACGACGCGATACAGTGGAATTCGCTCGCACAGCACTACGTACCTACAATTTTATTCACCTACAAGTTTTGTCTCTTTCTATCGCGTGCCTCTGAACTCTTCTTACGCTGTTAGGGTTGCTGTCTAGTGAAAAAATAATTAATTTACTTATTTGTAATGAGGTACGTATGTAGGTAAGTACGCATTCATTATGGAAAACCTTGGGAGAGGCCTTTGTCCAGCAGTGGACGTCATTTGGCTGAAACGAACGAACGCATTCTGAGCAGTCATGGTAGGTTAGGTTCCTATACTATCCTAAGAATTATTGATTACCTACAATGACCTACATGGCCTACATACCTTTCAGCATCTTTGGGAAGCGAAAAGAAAAGGTAGATTTCTTTTCGAATTTAAACACCCGAACGCCGCACAATAATTATTTCCCTTTATGTCCATTTTTAAATAATACTTCGATCATAGAATTAGGTACTGCAACGCACGCCAGCGTGCTGACGGGCGCGCGCGTGACACTCGACTGATATAATACCCGCCGGCGGGGCGCTTCGCTGTAGGTAATTATCGGATGTACCGCACGGAGTGAGCCAGGCCTGGTATAACGGACAAGCGCCACTGTCGCGCATCGCTTCGACTTCGTTGTACACGCAACTTCTCATTCGTCTGTCAAATTTTGCTACTAGTGTTGTTCGTTCTACTACTTTAATCAATAATCGATTCTTATCGATATCGGACAGACGAATGATACTAATTATTATTAAAAAATAACTCTCATATTAAATAAATATTCTAATTAATGTGTATTTGTAGTATTTATATGTCTTTTTTTTCCTAGTTTCCACAAGATGCAATGGATGTATGGATAATTTTTGTATTATTATTCCATTTTCTTCCCTAAACTTTGAATTTTTGGCAAATTTCAATATCTAATTACTACATGGTGATGTATCATTGTAAAGAAGAGAAACTAGAGATGTTTTTAAGATCATTGGCAATCCATTATCACCTTTAATTTTTTTAAATCGAATTCTAAGTAGATTTTTTTATCGTGGTTTGTACTTTTGTTAAACTTTGGCGGTTCGTAACTACCTATTCAATCATTATCTGGATTTGAAATTTATTTTATTTGACTAAAGACATATTCGATATTAATATCAAATAAAAAAGCGGTTGAAAACATGCGAGAAAAAAAATTTAAACAGGTTTTAGGTCACATTTTGGAAAAAAAATAAATAAAAACAATAACATCAATTAAAAAAAAGTAGCTCGCTTAAGGTAAAATGGGCGAACTTGTACTCTTAAAATGACCTTATCTATACACCCACGAAGTTTGTCTAACCTTTCGCCAAACACCCTGTATAATATAAAATATAATAATATTCAACAAACACCACAACAACCTCTATTGTTGTCAAGGAAGAGAAAATTAGAAAAGGTGTAGTATAGATATATGTATGTATTTTCATGTAAAAGTACCTATATAATAATGTGTGTACATACATATAAGAAATAATGATCTGCTAATGATGATGTAGATTGTAGGATTGTAGAGAAATGAATACAGGTAGTGTACGTGATTTTGATGATTTTTATAAAACATTGCCACAAATAACAGAATTTTGTGACCAAATAATCACATATATTGCTGGATATGTTATAAGAGCAATACAAAATATTTACGAGGCACCGTTGTCGAGATATTGATATTTTGATAAAAACTTAAAATGTATTTTATTCACTATTCAAAGTAAATATAACATATTTTAATACGGGATCGTGTCTAAAATTAGCCTTTTGTAGTTATTTAATTGTGTTTTTTAAAAGAAAACTACATGACGTGACTTTGTCTCAAAATAAACTTAAACAGGATGAAATTAATGATACAAAAAAATAATTATGTGTGACAACACTGCAACTGGCGGCTCGAAAAATGCCCGCGCAGCAACAATGTATTATAATAAGCAATCTGTTTTAGAATTATACATTTTTATTTTAAATTCAATGAAAATATATATTTAAACATTTCGTTTAATATCATTCGTCTGTTCTCATTCGTCTGTGTATCTCATTCGTCTGTGTATCTCATTCGTCTGTCAGATAATCGATGCCATTTCTGTGATCGTAACGGTGCGTTGGGGCAACGGCGGCATCGGCATCTTTGAATCGATTACGATTTCCCGTCACTAAATGTTGGCTGTGACGTCACAGTAGGTATTAAAAAGTCGGCACGCTTGGTTTTAATACAGATCGTGTTACTTGCGTTATCTATGTATATCTATATCTGTGGATACGACATTACTTGCAATCCCAATTGTTATTGTGTAGTAGTAATGCTGGTCAATTCTGCAACAAATAGTAAGATTCTTCTCTTTCTTTATGAATCAATGTTTACGCATAATAAAATATAAAAAGTTCCCATATGTGCCTTGTTTGTGATACACTACTTTTGTGTGTTCACATGAGGTAAACATATACGATTGCATTGAATAATTAAAAATTCGTCCGACTTACATTATCATGTTTAGAGCTAAATGCAATTCATCCAAGTAAATGATACCCCCACCATGAGTAAATACTAACATAGAAAACTTTTCTAAATATTATTTGGGAATGTAAACTTAAAAAATGTTCTAAAACCTAGTAAAACTAGACCAGTACCTTCGTTTGCATCAATCGAAAATAGTGCGAATGCATTTATGATAGTTAAATATTTATATTTTTTGTAACACTTTGAATGCAAGTGAATACAGTTCGTGATCAAAACTCACTTTTAAAATAGAGTGCAAGTATTGCCACCCACAATAAAGGATTATTCCTCTTTTAAATGTTGCCCCACAAAAAAAAAAAAAAAAAAAAAAGTGAGAAATAGTCAATTCTCTGTCTATAGAAATATTTATATGCTTCCCATTTTTATGAAAATGGAATTACCCTACGAAAACTCAAGTTACTATCGAACAGTGTCAATAAAATGTAAATACAAAGCTACAGCTTATGAAACTCTCAAAGATACTTTATAAAATCGGTTATCTCCATTTATTGCTTAGGAATACATTAATATTGGTCCTAAAGTGGCTAATTGAGGCAAACTGAACGTTGTGCTGGCAAACCGAGGGCAGTCCACTCTCACACTAACTACATCTATGAATATACTTGTTAAAAAATGTAAAAAGAAAACGTAACGATAACAACTTCTGATCCAAGTTTCATTATTATTATTATTAGACAATCTAATGTGAACATGCAAAATCTGTTTGAATATTCATATAAAACTAAAACTACTTCAATTATATTTCTAATGATATATCATGGTCTTGCTGCCACCAATACATTTGTTATTAAAAGCAATCTATGTGAGAATATATTTGAAATCGTTACAATTGTTAGGTTTCCGAAGCTATTGGTGAAAGCACGACCAGTTTTATTTACGATAAAACCTCATAAACGTCATAAATAGGTACTATTTTATATATCAGTAAAAGCAACAAGTCCACTAATACACGAGTCTAAATAAACAAAACTGTTTAACATCAAAAGCATAATAATCATTCTTGTAATATTAAACCTTCTACAGCGTGTAAAACATGCACTAAATATTTATAATATTTCTTTTATGAAAAATACTTTATTATTAATAGAATAGAATATATTTTTGTATGCGTCTGTATATCAGTACCGAGTCACGTAAATTGCAGCTTTGGTGTCCATTTGTTAATTTTAAGCAAATAAACTTTACTTCCTAATTTGTAAGCCTACAAACTTTACTTTTACATAATACTCGTCAATGTTTATAAAAGTTTAAGAAATATTTTGTACACACCGTACGAAATCACTCATTTCAGAGATTACAATATTTTGTCAGTTTCCAACGGAGCGTCGTCTAGATCCTCGCCGTCGAAAGGAGTCACACAGTACGCTTCCTACCTTAAAATACGTTTACCGTTACACAAGTGACAGTGGCAGTAAATTTGAAAAATCCTAATTCACGCTTTCAATTTTATTCAATAAGTTTATCAGAATAAGTCTCGCTCTTTCTCTAAAATTAAATATCCTATTATTATCGAGTCGTCGAGTTACAAAAATATCAAGAGGAGCGGTCACCCGACTTCGAGGCGGCGGAGAGCGACGGCGCCTACTGGTGGTGCGCGACCGGCGCCCACTGGTGGTGCGCGACCGGCGCCTACTGGTGGTGCGCGACCGGCGCCCACTGGTGGTGCGCGACCGGCGCCTACTGGTGGTGCGCGACCGGCGCCTACTGGTGGTGCGCGACCGGCGTCTGGCAGTACGGGCACTCGGCGGCCGTGGCGGCGCAGGCGTCGCACAGCACGTAGTGGTTGCAGGGCGCCAGCGTCACGGCGCGCGGCTGCTCCTCGCAGCGCATGCACTTGGTGGCCGTCTCCAGGTACAGCGCCTTCTCGATCTCCTCCAGCTCGGCGCGCGCCGCCGCCTGCAGCGCCTTCAGCGCCGCCAGCGGCAGCCCGCGCAGCTCGCGCCGGCCCGCGCGCGCCGTGTCCAGCTCGCGCCGCAGCGCCGCCGGCGCGGGCGGCGCGGGCGCGCGGCCGGCGCTGGAGCCGGCGCTGGAGGTGGAGGCGCACTCGGAGGCCTCGGCGCTGCCGTTGGTGTGGGGCGGCGCGGGCGAGGCGGCGCGCAGGGCGGCGTCGGGCTTCTTGTCGGGCGGCAGCGCGGACGACAGCAGATCCGCGAGGTTGGTGCCGCACTCCAGCGGCGCGGCGAGCTCGCGAGCGCCGCTCAGATCTTCGGCTGTAACAAACGCAAACTTTATTATAAACTTTGTATTACATCTCGACTGATAAGGAGTTTACTCTGCTTACAATAAAAGATAAAAGGCGGTTAAAAAATTAAAACTCTAAGGCCTCAACCTCGAATTTAGCGGGCAGCGGCGCGGGAGCGGGGCGGGCAACGCAAACCCGTTCTCGAAACAAGCTGGCAGCTCGCGCGGCGCTTTAGCAGCGAAGTGTTGTGTTCGGGGTTGTGTTGTCGAGATATTTGTTTTTATTCGCAAACGAAATGTCTGAACAACGGCGACAATTTTATTTCGATTCAAATTTATTCCTAACGCTCGATTTATTGTGGGCAAAAGAAGGAGTGCGCTGCCCGCTAGTGGCCCGCTCCCGCGCCGCTGCCCGCTCGTTGCCCGCTCCCGCGCCGCTGTTTTCGAGAACCGGTCTATTTGTTTACGCATAAGATCCCGCCGCTCCTGCGCAGCTACCGCCGCCGCCCCACTGCCCGCTAAACTCGAGGCCGGGGCCTTAAACATTTTATACTGCAGCGTGTAGATACTCACGCTCGACGTGCGCGAAGGCGCAGAAGAGGCCGCGCGGGCAGTAGCCGGCCTGCTGCACGTCGTTGCACTTGGTGGACTTGTAGATCTCGGGGTGGAACTGCTGCTCGGTGCGCGTGTGGCAGTAGCCGCAGGCGTCGCCGGCCTCGCAGTTGGAGGGCTCGCCCCACTCCTCGCCGTGCTTCACGTTCGGGCACGGCGTGCTGCGGTACTTGTATTTCCTAGGCGATCTGCGTTTATCCTGGAATACAGTGGTTCGTTAAAGCTCCAAGTTAATAAATAATAAAAAAATTGGGCTACTATGAGATACATTAATAAACAAAAAAATATATTTTTCTTTTTAAATTTTTAGGCTCCAAATCCGTGGCTGTAAGCACCTCTATGGGCAGCGTAAATACGAAAACTATAATGCTCACGACTCCAAGAAGAGAGTTGACTCTATCAGAGATTTTTACATTACAAAAAGATTCAGAGGTGGAATTGTGTAAAGCAATCGTAATCATTTGACAGTTCATAACGTACGATAAAGTCAGTTGAACAAAGCGTTTGACAGAATAATCGTACGTTATGAACTGTCAAATGATTACGATTGCTTTACACAATATTGGGTATTTGACACCATTTCCCAATAATTCTAAAGCACAACTTTTTTAAAAAGACACTTCTTTCTGGTCTTAAAAACTTAATTAATTTTTAATTACCTGTAAATTACGATTTTTCGTTGCATTATAATTGAAAAAAGTAGTTTCATTGAGTTGATAAAATTGTGACGTCACATGCTAGTATTGCCGTACAAAATCTATGGGAGAGTGTCGTTTTGACAGTTTTAAAAAGTACGTCAATAGATTGGTGGTGTCAAATACCCTATTCCACCTCTGATTGCAACATGAAAATCTCTGACAGAATCACATGATGTTCTTGTGATTGTGTAAACTTGAATTACTTTTTTAAAGTTTGTTTTTAATTAAGATGCAGATATGGAATGGGAAATAATATTTTATTAGTATTTAAATAAATAAATGACTATGTGGAAAGACATACTTACTTTACTATTGTGATATTGAGGGCATGCATACCCTTGTCTACATAACCTAGGTGGTCTTTTACATGGCTCAGTTTTATATGATGATAGTACATAATTTGTATCTGAAATGAAATAAGTAAATTAGTAAACATTATACATTTTCCTTAGTTATGTTATTGGTAGTCTTATCTATGTATGATTTAGTATTCACAAGTTGTTTATTTCCTGTAATATAAATTGCTTCAGGATAATTTATATTAGCCAATACTAAATGCAATAGTTATTGAAAATAATTTCTTTTCTATGCTCAAAAACTCATCTCTGTGGCAAATGAACAAGAAGTTCTAAGCCAAAAGAAAGAAGAGAAAACAAAAGAGTTAAGCAGAGAATACTTAATAATTTCAGCTAGGCCCAAAAGTTGACTGGAAGAGAATGCCATAATGGCATTGATTTTAGTTAGATTGTTTAAATATTTTTTTTACAAAAAAATGTTCTTCCAAATAAGAAACATCTCGAACCTTGCCACTTAGGGTCTTCATTCATTAAATTCCGTTCTCTATCTAAAGCGTTCGGCGCCGCCGTATCTCCATCAGCCGCGTCAGGGTTCTCCAAAGCTTGCAACTCCCTCATATCCAGCACGGCGGGCCGGAGGTCGGGGGCCCCGTGAGCGAACGCACAGTGGGCCCCGTTTTTCGTACAAAGCCCGCGCGCGTCCGTATCGTGAACACACATGCAAGTCTTGTAGTAGCGGAGGTGGTACCGGCGCTCCGTGTCGCCCGCTGTGCGGTGGAGGTACGGGCATCTGGAAGAGTAATTTCACGTTTATTTATTTATTTTATAGAAACCAACCTTATTATTATTATTCTGTCTATTGGCTTCAATGGTGCGTATTTGAAGCACACTGGTTTTGCCAATATATTTATAGAGACAATGGACAGTGTTTAATCTTTAGTAGTTGAATACTTTTTAACAAAACAAGATTCCCATAGATTTTGTATGGCAATACAAGCAAGTCACATCACTATTTTGTCAACTCAAAAATTACTTTTTTAACAAAATATCCTAGTTTACGGGTAATATAAAATGAATTAAGTTTTTAAGACCAGAATGAAGTGTCTTAATAAATTGTGATTTCGAATTATTGGGGAATGGTGTCAAATAGACTATTGAAAGAGGCCAAAACAAAATGAACTTTATGCTATGAAGATATGGTTGAAAAATGTATCTTTTTTCTTATGATTCATTCGACCGATTTCGGCTACTACTTCGACTTCCTAACTGTCTTGGCGGCGCTGGTGTGCCCGAAGAAGGCTTACGTAGCCAATCTTCGCGGCAAAACTCCTCACACATTGAGAGCATCTTGTTTTTTTTTCTATTATAGTTTAGGACTAGAAGATGCTTATTTTTTATTGTAATATAGACAGTCTTTTATACAGTTTTGGGTTACAGAATTGATTGATAGTTACAGTATGTTGAAACACATATTATTACATGAACATATTTTGTGGGATAAGTAATGTAATGTACTGATAAAGATTTGCTACTTGAGTAATGAATAGGAACAGATTTTTAATTGTTGACCAATTTATAGCTTTCATAATTAATTTTATTATGGTTCTGCTAATTTGATAACACCTGCTAAATTGTAAACAAGAATATGATTACTTTAAAGTAAAAATACAAATGTTTATCATTGAGTTGAGACTATACAGATTTTTATTGTTTTTTGTTTTAGACAAGCTATGGCTGTGTGGCACAGATTTCTTCGAATAACAAAAAATACACTTCAGCACCAGTTAAGGCTTGGTATTTCTTCTAAAGTAGGTATTTCGCGCTGTCAAAATCTGCGCGCGCAATTCTTCGCCGAAAACAGCGCGTCAAAGAGCTCCCGCCACAATTTCCAGCTACACAGTATAGAAATACGCAGTTGGTTAGGTTAGGTTGACTTCCTTCCTTTCAAGCGTCACACTTAGGTACAACACTTTCTAATAGAAATCATATCCAAGTGATACAAATTAAAACACCTTTCAGACTCTTTGGGAATATATTCTAGAATCGAATAAATATAAAATATAACTGCAGAAGTAAACACGGTTCAAAGTGGCCGTGGCGTCGCCCGACCTTCTGGAAGTTTTGCACCGGCTTAAAGAATTTCAAGATTACGTCACCCGACCTATCGGTTTTGCATGTGGTTAATAACATTAATCAGTATAGGTACGCATCAATTTTGTTCAGTCTCTTTGTTTATTAATAAATAAAAATATCATACTAAAATTGCAGAAACATATTTGTTTGTATTGGTCTGGGTGTTTTCTTTCTATAATATGTATGACGTATGTACGGGGTTCTGTACCTATCGAAAATTGCTATGAGCATCACACGCGGTTATCTGCGTACCTCTGTGCACTCATGGGAGTTTAAGCAGAGGTCCCTAGAGTTTGCACGCGTCCGTCCTCCGTAAGCGCCACCGCGCGACTGATTGAGATTGTCCAAGCCGTCATGGGCGATTTTTTCCACATTTTTTAACATAGTAACTAAATAAGACGCAATATAAAAATTTCATCCGTTAAAAGCCCTCAAGTTATTTCTGAACTTTAGTAAAAGATTCAGAATCTCAAATCGCTTATTTTAAAAATAAAACCATTATTAGAAAACGAATAGAGGTAACTTTGGGAATTTATTCTATCGAGTCAACTTCATCAAATCGTGTTTCCATCCGTTAATAGCCCTAGAAAATATCCTCAACTATGCCCAAAAAAAATCTTAGCCTTTTATTTTACTGTTTAGTACCTCAAAAATGAAAAATGAAAACCTCATTTTCGCCATTTTCTCTGTTACCCGGCCTTAATCCAAAGATTCATGATCACATAAAAACATATCTGTGCTTGTAAAATTTAAAAAAAGCCTGGAAAAGTAAACTAAAGTCATATATTTTTTAAAGCAACGCTCATTCATCAAAGCGCTCTCCTGGTTGACTTTTATTTATAAAACACTTTTCATAGGAATAAAGCTGTGTACATTTCTTTTACACAGTTGAATAAATACTAAAATTAATAAACCAGACTCGTTAATGGGCAATTTGGAAAATGCAAAACAACCAACCGAAATATCAATAACACTGAAAGAACAATGGACCTCAATACACTACCAAATGAAGGAGCCTGAAGTTCTGTTAGTATACAACTTGTTTGGATGCATCCCATACTTGGTAGGATTATGGGGACCATTGGAGTAAACAATATTTTTTCCAGTTGGATACCAATAAGTTAGAAAGTACCAAGTTAATGATATCTATGGCACCTTCTTTACTGGTTCGTAACCCGAAAATGTGAGAAAGTCAGGTACAACTAAATGCAGGAAAACAAAGCAATGACAGCAGTTAAGTAGGTACTTACTCGTCGCCGTCTTCACAAATCCCTGATGTCTCATTATATTTGGTACAATAATTATCTGCGCTATAATTAAACGTCCCGTCTCTTTTTCTAACAGGTCTTCGCCTTCTTTGATTATTAAAATGCCAATGGAAACATGTGAAAGGCCTATGTTGTGTACATTTGTGTTGTAGGAACGATGGACACTGCTCTACTCGGAATTCCTTTAGATATCTGCAACCCAAGAATTCGACGCTTAGTAAAACACACTCGTACTTATTTCACAACATTAACACTTCACTAAAATCAACTCAAAACATGGATATTTACTTGTAATGATTTGGTTTTTCTGTTTGAGCTGCCAACAAAGGTTTTGATTCAGACGGCATTTTGGGAAACTATTATTGCGCCTCTTGCGTCGCGCAGGGCACGCTCACCGTCGACCAATTAAAATTCAATATAGGATCACGTGATACAAAATATTTTAGAAAGGTAAAAAATGTAAACAGAGCCCGAAAATGTTGAATATTCCCGTAAATACACGCCACATTTTAGATTAAAATGACCTTGAACTTAAAATAATCATTTCACGACTCCGAGAATCTAATGACACGAAAGAAAAATAATAATCGCCACCATTGACAGACCTGTCACGTAGTTGTTTTCTGTCCATCTCTTTTTAGAGAACCACTAATCACTAAGGTATAAAAGAGACAAAAAATAGGACAATGCATTTTTCTCCTTGAGTCCTTGGTTGTTTAGACACATCAAGGAAAAAAAACTGCCTTTGTTGTTTTGTTGTGTGCTTTTTGTACTATTTTTTTAATGTAAAATTAAATTAAATCACATTTTTTTTAAATCAATCTTAAATTGTAGAGTGTGTAAAGTAATTTGTATTAATATTTTCTCGTGTAATCGCATTTTCTTATCTTGATAAAATAAATCTCTAAATAAACCTGTAAAAAAACGTAAAAAAAGACATAAAAGTACTTAAAAAAAGTTTTATAACTTAATTTTAAGAATTTTTAGTATCAAAGAAACCAAAATTTGTTCCCTAAAATTTTAGTTAAGTTTTAAATGACTCCTTTTCATCGAAACATTAATAAACAAGTAAAAATATGATATTTAATTAGGTCAAATTACATAAATCACAAAATTATTAATTACATTTTCACTGTTCTGTGATTATTATTATTTTTAACGGCAACATTGAATCATGGTCTCCTTGACCAATGAGAAGAGAGATAAATAGAAACAATTCGGTCTTAACCAATCAGAACCTCTACTTTTTTGGCCAATGACAATGCGGGAAAGTTCATTATCTCGACCAATGACCGCCCGGCTTATAGCGTCAGTGCTCGCCCGCCATTCTCTTCGACGCCATCTTGAGCATATGATTATTGTTGTGGAGCTCGTACACAAATTGAAGTAAACTTAGTGAATTCTGTTAAAAATCAATCAAAAAGTACGTAAAATTATGTTTTAACTGTAGTGTTACAAACTCAAAGTATAAAATTTAAGTTTAAAGTGAAATCTTTCCCGTTCTTGTGAAATCTTGCGAGTGCTTGACTTGGATGTCGCAATTCGTTGTTTTGTGTTCCTAATTTTAACGATTTGCTTCATTTGGTTTCAGTATTAAAAGATGGCACGTACCAAGCAGACAGCCCGTAAGTCTACCGGAGGAAAAGCTCCTCGCAAACAGTTGGCCACCAAGGCTGCCCGTAAATCGGCGCCAAGCACTGGTGGAGTCAAGAAGCCCCATCGTTACCGCCCTGGTACCGTGGCGCTCCGAGAAATCCGTCGTTACCAGAAGTCTACTGAGTTGCTCATCCGTAAGCTGCCGTTCCAGCGATTGGTGAGAGAAATCGCCCAGGACTTCAAAACGGATCTTCGTTTCCAGTCTGCCGCCATTGGTGCTCTGCAGGTGGGATTTAATAATAACACGTGCTATTTTTTGAACCTCTGGTTTTAATTTAGTAAAATTTATCACGAACGTACTAAAACTGTGTAATTTTCTTTTGTTTTAGGAAGCGAGTGAGGCCTATCTGGTGGGTCTGTTTGAAGACACCAACTTGTGCGCCATCCACGCGAAACGCGTAACCATTATGCCTAAAGACATCCAGCTTGCCCGGCGAATCCGTGGGGAGCGTGCTTAAGTTAACCTAGATTTAATTAACTTTAAATTATTGGTAAAATTAATCCGTCATTCTTTTGTAATGTCTCATTTAATTCATCTTAACATTGTAATCTTTAATGTAAGGAGGCAGCAGAACTGAATCTTTATAAATATGTTCTTATTTGTAAGTTTTGCTGTGCATTTGCATAGGATACTGTATGTTAATATTACTTAAACCATACCTATTTCTTTACTTGACATTCGTCACTTGTATTAACAGTGTCCCATGTAAGGACATAGCGTTTTGATTAGTGACTTGTGGAATATTCTGTCTAGGTAGTGTATTAGAAAATATTGTAAACCACATGACAGTGTGAGAATTCTGTTTTAGGAGTAATTTGATGCACCTGAAAATGAGTGTAATGAGTAATTGGTGTTAAAATAAATATAATTTAGATTTACTTAATTTTGGTTTTCTATTCAAACCCTTACCACCCTTACACACAAACTCACTTTTTAGTAGATTATCTTATCATTAAATGAATCGTTTTTCTAAGTATTTACAGATAACAGCTTACTAAAAAACAACACACATGACTGGATTAGGGTAAAAAATACCACGGCACAGATTAACTAGGTGATTTGGGTAAAAATACCACAGCACATTGATTCTAGTTCTAACCACAATCCCTATAACCAGACTGAATCAGTATGGAGTGGAGGACAACGGAACTTTTTTGGTTTCAATGTCCACCACTGAGGGACAGAGCAACTGCCAACTCATATTTTCTTCTCAGTGTCCACCAGTAGGGCCCAATGGGAAGATTTCAGTAGCGCTGTCCCCCACTGGTGGACATTGCAACTTTTTTTCTCGATGTCCACCAGTGGGGGACATCGGGAATAAACGGAAACAAGGCCTATGACTTCTATGGTGTTATCAGGGAAAACTAGCATGAAAAAACCATTATTTTTAATAATTTATTGAAACAAACATCTAAACAAAATATCTCAACCTATTTTTATACTACAGCAATAAATTAAAACTTATTCTATGCCACTAGCTTCTGTTCTTCTGCTTCTATTTCTTTAAGTCGTTGTTCAATATCCTCTACACTTTTACCATGTTCTTTGTTGAATCTGTAAGTCTGAATCAGCTGTTCTTTTTCCAAGCCTTTAATTCTGTCATACAAAGTTTTATTGAATTCAAGGTCTACATCATTTTCTTCTCTTAGGACACAGAAGTATATTAAAAAGACAGCAAGACTGCCAGTTACACAAAATGGTTGATACCATGGCATATCATTTTTTGAAGGCTTTCTGATCACAGGTATTGTGGTCTTTCTGGCTGCTGGGCTAGTCGAGAATTTGATGGGTTCATTTTCATTCGGCTCTACTTTGCTGCTAAAAAGTCTGCTTGGTCTCCTGGTTCGGAAACATCTCCTGAAAGTAATGATTGCATCATGAAATGAAACAAAACAATATTACTCATCATTATTAGTAATAACGGTGAATTGTTAAACATTTGTCAAGGTAATATTATGACTAATTTTGCAATTATTATGGTGAGTAATTTAGAACATTGTTTATTTTATAATTTTTTATTAACTATTAATATTATGTTTTATTCCTGTGATTTGTTTTTATTAAGAAAAATAGGTATTTAAATTCCTATATATCCTACATTCTAATTATTATACACCCAGAACAAGAATAGGTGTTAAATCTAAATCGTTGGTCAAAGGATCGGGTGCTGTGCTTTATCAAATACAGTACAAAAATGTAATATTATATAATTATTGCACATCAATCCAGATTTCATTGATTTGCAGTCAGTTACAGAAATGCACTTAACACCAGGGTAATTAAATACATTCTAACCTATAAATAAAATATTATAAAAATATTGTTATACATACGAATACAGAAGGAGATTTCTATTCATTTTATTCAATTCCCATACAATAATTCAAGTTAAAATTTCAAAATATTACGAAATCTAAAATTTACAAACTAAGAATCACTCTCTAATCTGTGCTAAGCACAGATTAGAGAGTATGCACAGATTAGAGTGCTAAGAATCAAATTGAAATTATCCCAGCTGACATTGACAGAATCATGAAGCTAAAGATAAAAATGGAGGCCAGACTTGGAACAAAAACTTGAGTCAAATACCTACTTATCTCTATCTCGCTCTCTGTGGGCCGACCTCTCTTTTTAGTGTGGACAAAATTGTCGGCCGTTTAGGCTTATGTGTTGGCGAATCAGGGAATTACAATCCCAATTCCTGGGTAATCGGTACCATGTGGCAACATCGGCCCAATCCGGCCCATCATGGCGGTTGTTTACTATTTTGTTTATTATGCAGTAAAAGTCAGCCGTTTGGTGTAGTGGTTCGAAACGGGCTACTATTCCGGAGGTAGCGGGTTCGATTCCCGCACAGTACAAACATTTATGTGCATGAACATATTTGTTTGTATTGGACTGGGTGTTTTCTATGTATAATAAGTAGGTATTTACAAAAAAAAAAGTATTTAAGTTGTCTAGTACCCATAGTACAAGTTTTGCTTAGTTTGGGACTAGAAGCGCAGTGTAAAATGTCTAAGGATATTTATTTATTATTATTTATTTATTTAATTTCGTTTGAGATTTTTTACAGGACATAATTCACAAGAAATGGTGCAAAATTTTGTAGTGCGTGGTTGCGGTAGGACGTGGTGTCCCGGAAGTGACTTAAGATTCCACGCGTAAGTTTTTATTTCGTGATTTCCGACATTGGATCATTGTAAACATTTTTCACAATTTTCACAGTAATTTCTTCCTTAAAACGTTTTACCAGTATTTACACTTATCATTTATTGATACCTATGTCAAGACATAAGGATTTTACATTGAGTTTCATTAACTTTGAGCAAATTTATATTTTTTGTTTACTTAGAAAGAGAGAGTCTGCCCACAGAGAGCGAGATAGTGATACATAGGTTGTGCTTCAAGTAGGTATTCGGAGTGTGTCCTCCATTTTTATCTATAGCTTCATGGACAGAATTGACAGCTGGCACTTTTTTCAGTGATTCGTTTGCAAAGGAATACATTTTATAGTACTTAGTACTTACATATTTTCTTTGATTTATCATTTCTTGTGAGTATTTGAGTGCATTTTTGATACTGAAAAATAAGTCTATTCAAGTAAAAACAAATATTTGGGCAACATAATATTATTACAACATTTAGTAGAGTCCTTATAGAAAGTAAAAAAAAATTTCTACCCACCGAAGAAATTCTTCTCCCACTTCAGGTTCTACCATCAAACGATCCCGCTCAAAAATAACTTTTTCTTTTTTTTCAACTGCAGCTTTCAGTCGTATCTCGTGTTCGGCTGTTGAAACATTGTGTGAACCCTCAACAGGTCTTTTAGCAGGAGGCGGTAGAAACTCGGGTTGCATCGGTTTAATAAGGAGTGCTCTGATATCACACTCATCAGCAACATGTTGGACAGCGGTACTCAGGGATGATCGCAATTCCCATACTTTCATTATGCCTTTGTCCTTAAAAAGTCGATCAGTTGATAGCACAGCATGCAATAATTTGTCATAAAGAAGAATAATTTGAACTTAGATTGTTTAACTAGAATTAAAGAGTATGAAATAAATAATATAAACCTAACCGACTCAGATCTTAACTCCTCCAGCTCTTTGGTACACGCTTGCAGCTGCCCTCGCAAGGCGTCTCTTCTGGTTCTCGCTATCACGAGCTGTGAACGTAGACCGTCTACTTGAGCCCTTAGCAACACGTGCTCCTGTTCGGACTTATCTACGTGCTGAAGAGTTTCACGTATCGCTCGATTCAGTGATGATATTGTAGCTTCGTCTAATTATGAACATTTATTAAGTGGTTAAGATAAGTTTACCAAAATTCGTTTTTGGAATACATACCTACGTACTTACCTACTAAATTCATGAATTTACATTAGCAACTTTGATAGTACAAAATGAAATTACTTACATTCGCGTTTTTCTTTCAATTTGACCTCATTATCTTGTTCCTGTAGCTTAATTTTTTCGATAGTTGAAACCACTGAGTTGTTCATTTTATTATCAAGAAGTTTACGAGAGCCACAATTTTTTTGAGGCTTGAAACATAGACGCCAAATCGGGAGAAAAACCTGTGCACTGTGCGTGCACGAGAAATTCCGAGAAAACTTTTTGTTTTTTGCCGCCAATCCATACCATAAACGTTCCATTCCAATACTAACCCTATTTATTGTATTTTAATTTGAATCGGAAAATGTTAAATCAAAGAGTCAATTATTATCATTTAAATATGTTAATTAGATACATGTATAAATTATGTCCTTTATAATTCCGAATAAGTTTTAAATTAATGTGATTATATAAAATGTATATAAATTTTTAAAATGGTCCTTCCAAAACATTACGTAGGACGAAACGATTCTGTCAATTTGACGTTGACTGCGTTGCCCGGGGAAATTAAAAAACAGTTTCAGGAGGTAGAGGAAATTGCACACAAAAGTACACATTTATTTGTTTTATATTCAAGACATGGAAAAACCAGATGCTAATGGATACGTGAATATAAACTGGCCGAGCAAAACTATTCCCCATGGAGGAATATTTCATTCTCGAACTGTGCAGCCTTCAGCGGAACAGCAAGAGTTTCTCAGAGGTATCCACTTCACCACCACTTAATTCAATTTAATGATCTTCCAGTTTAACTTGAGCACTTTATGGTAATAACACTGTTATCCAGTCTACAACAATCGCTGTGACTCTAATTTAAATCTTTATTACGATTAGTTAAAGGCAGACATTTGTTTATTCAGTGCTACTGGAAGAGTCAAAGTTGTCTATCGCTCAACGCAAGAAGTCCGCACTAGCGCTGCGCGAATACGATGACAAGCCGCAGCGCGCGCCGCCGCAGATGCCGCTCGTGCGCCCGCGCACCTCGAAACGACGTTCACTGTCTGCTATCAGGGAGTCAGGCGCGTTCGAATTTGAACCGTAAGTACCTACTTTAAAATACAATTTAGCTTAGAGTTCGTTTACATAATCCTAAACTCCTAGATGATGATATACAGCGCGTTCGATGGAGTCCTGAAAAAAGCAAGAACCTTACCATTGACTGTGCTTATCTAAACACATTACTTTGGTATAAATAATTTTACTTATTTGCATACGTTACGTTTCTTTAGGGTCTGTCCTCTAAAACGAGGAGAAGATCGCGAGAAGTTAAAGCAACGGCTAGCCAACTTGATGGCATACGGTGACACTCCAGAACAGACGCCTCCTGCACCACCTCGCCTTCCTAAGCCGAAACCGAAAATTCCCACTAATAAAGAGACCTGGCATGATTGTACGTAACAACTTTCAAAATTGTAGTCGTATTTTGATTAAACATTTGTCTCAATTTTGCATTATTGGGAATGTGGAGATTATTTCAAAGAATGTTGGATTAATTATGTCGGGGCTAGAATTCTACAATCTTTATGCAAAATTTTCTTTCCTCTTTACAGTGGTCACACAAATTCGCGAGCGCGCCGAATGGCTGGCCGAAATGGAGTATCTTGGTGAAGCGGGTCCGCACCGGGAGATCATTAAGGAACAGATAGCTGAGAGAATGCGGGCCCTCGACGCTTTGGGCATAGACAGCGAATGCTCTACCGCCAGATCTACTGAGTCTGGCTTCAGCACACTTAGAAGCAGGGAGAACCTTCAGAAGGGCAGTGCAGTTAAATCTGGTATGGTCCTGTTCTTAGAAATAAAATATGAGTGTGAATTAAACAAAATGGAATTGTAAGTAGTCATTCTTTTGTTAATTTGCAGTTAGTTCAACACGCAGTAATGGGTCTCAAGACAAATCCAAGCCTGCCTCAGTACGCAGCAGCAGATCGCAAGAGAAACCGCAGCCGGCCCTTAGATCTGGAAGAAAGAAGACGAAAGAAGAGAATGTTGCGGCCTATGAAAAGCTTTCTCCATTGCAATATTCACCAAGGCGACGACAATAACATTTTCTTAATTTAATTATTGAAAAGACTTTTGATAATATTTTGGGACTTGCTATTTGTTTTTGTAATAAAAGAGGGTAAGTATTCTAAATTGTTTACTTAATCAAATCATTTTCCCTATTATTATTAAGTAAACTAATCATCATCATCATCAATAATAATTGGTCTTGACTTCTTTTTCACTTTGTCAGTTGAACTATGGGCCTTTCTTTTCTTAGAATTGCAATCATCCTTGGCTACCTTAGCAACAGTTTCTTCTGTCTTACAAGGAGCTGATGATTCCAAGTCATCATCATCATCAATAATAATTGGTCTTGATTTTTTCTTTGTTTTATCTGTTGAACCATTAGATTTTGTTTTCTCTGTATCTTTGGCCACCTTAGTAACAGATGGTTCAAAGTCACAAGGTGCTGGTGCTTCCAATTCAAAATATGTGTATTTCCTTATTGGCATTTTCAAAGTAAATTCAGGATCCTGTGCTAAATGTAAATTTGGACCTTTCTTCATGTAGCTTATAGTTGAGTAAGCAGTGAAATGAAAATTTTCGGCCAGATAATTCTCTATTAGCAAATATGCAATAACATCTTCACCAAGAGTTCTGGATATAGTTGGCTCTTTCCCTTTATGCCTTAGATTTACAGGTCCTTTTAAAAACCATGCATCCAACAGTTTCTGAGCAGTTAATTTAGCATCTTGTTTATCAGCATTGTCTATTATACCAGAAAGTGTTCTGCAATAAGCTTCAAGATTGATTTCCTTTATATTTAAATTAGGATTACAGCATACATCACACATTTTACTGCAATCATCATTGCCCCAGTCTTCATTGAAGTGTTCTGCAATAAGTTTCCTTCTACATGTATCTCCTGTGATACAATATTTGACCATACCATACAAATGATCTAAGTTACCCACTGAAGAAAATACCATTGTGCTTACTTTGAAAATGTCCTGCATTCTGTACAAAGTGACACACTCTGCTCTCAAGCCATCTCGTCCTGCTCTTCCACTTTCCTGGTAGTAATTCTCCATTGATTTACTTATTGTGTGATGTATGACAAAACGAACATCAGGCTTGTCAATACCCATTCCAAAAGCAACTGTGGCAACTATAGCTTGGTAATGTTTCTCATGCCATTTCACGTGCACCTTAGATCTCGCCTCAGCTTCCATATTTGCATGGTAACACCCAACTTTCAGACCTCTCTTGCGAAGTCCTTCAGATATTTCCTCTGAATCTTTTATACTGTTTGTGTAAATTATACCAGTATTTCCTTTATATCTGTACTTTAAAAGTTTCTCCAAAATATTGAGACACTCTTCTTGTGATGTTGGTTTTTCCATTATCTTATAGAATAAGTTAGGTCTGTTGAAGGTGGATTTTATAATTAAACATCCAGGAATATTGAGAATTTTCTGAACATCTGACAGGACATGGCTAGTTGCAGTTGCAGTCAGTCCTAAAATGGGAACATTAGGGAACATGTTGGAAAGAATTCCAAGGAATTTATAATCAGGCCTAAAATCATGTCCCCACTGAGAGCAACAGTGCACCTCATCTATAGCAATCCTCTGTAATCTACCATCAGCATGGCATTTCTGTAGATTGGCCATAAACCTTTTGCTCTTAGCCAGTCTTTCTGGAGTCACATACAGTAGCTTGATTGGAGAATTTTTCTCCTTCAATAAATTTAGAGCTGCCTGGGTTTCTTCTTTGGGACTAGTACTTGTCATCAACATTGCTGGTATATTTTTGTTAGTTAGAGATCGCACTTGGTCTTCCATTAATGAGATTAAGGGTGATATAACAATGGTTATACCCGGTTTTACCTGAGCAGGTAGTTGATAACACAAGCTTTTGCCGGCTCCTGTCGGCATCACAACTAAAGTGTGCTGCCCAGAGAGGGTAGAGTTTATAGCACTTAGTTGCTGGGGCCTGAATGAATTCAACTTAAAAACAGTCTCTAAAGTCCTTTGAACGTCTTTCGACCACTCGTATTCTGTGCCAGCCCAGTCAACACTTGCAAGAGAATCAGATTTTAACTTGTTAATAGAATTTTTCAATGAAAGTTTTTTCTCTTGAAGTTTGTTTTGTAACGACTTCCATTTTCGCAACTGGGCATCAACATTGATCAATTCTTTTTCAACTTCTTTGACGTCGTTTTCTAATTCTTCAATAGTCGACATTTCTTTTGAATAAAATCACTAAATACATATAAAATTATTCAAAACATTGTTCTGAAAATCAGCGAGCGACCAGCGTTCAAGTGACTTTTTTATTTTAACGTTACAATAGATGACAGTGACAGCAAACGTCATAAATTGTTCTTATTTGAACGAATGAAATTCATCTGTTGTTGATTGAATAAAATTACCCGACTACAGAAAAGATGACAATGTTTTTTTATCTTTACTCAGGGTATAATTTTTAGTATTTTATCAAATTATTTTTTTTATAAAGTATCTACACTAAAATCTCTGCATCAAGAAAACGAATGATAAGGAATCCCTTGCACGCGAACAAACCCATTATTTTACTGTATTTTATACTACTTACCTAGATTGAATTTAATTTTTATGTAAGTGTGTTTATAATAATCATTACGATTTATCTGCGACACACTTAACACACAACGAACAATGCATAGATAAATTCGTCCGTGTAAATGTTTGAGGGCAATTTACTTGATCAAATAAAAGTACCTATCATTGATGAGATGGACGGAAGTTGAATGGTGTTAGTTCGAGTCGTCCCTAGATCCCCTCAGTAACTCACTTCATTGAGGAACATGTGTATGCGGGTGTTTGTATTTGTTCTCTGTCTATTCTTTCTGTAAGTTGAAACTTTGTTTTTATTTAGGTATCTTATTCCAATGATTTGCTTTAGCAGTTTGTTAGAATTATCAGCTCGATAACTGAGTTAATTACCCACCAAGTAAACGTGCTATCAGTGCTACTTAAGTTACTAAAAATTGTTGTACCTACTTCTTCTGCATTTCAGTTGTTTTACACAAGTATCAGGAAGAACGGCCGTGCTAATTTTAGCGCGGGGAGGATCAAAAGGTGTTCGTCTGAAGAACCTCCAGCGTGTCGGAGGTCTGACCCTCCTAAGCCGTGCCATCGCAACAGCCAAGTCTGCAGGACTCGATGACGTCACAGTGTCCACCGACCATCCTTTGATCGCGTTAGAAGCTTTGAGAAGTAAGTGAAGATATCAACCAAATAGGTGTGTTGTTTGCAGATTTCAATGTAGGAGACTACAATATAATATTGTTTTCATTCCTTGTGCGCCAACAGATGGAGCCGCCATTTTCCATAGAAGCCCCATAACAGCAGTAGACTGCGCACCATCAATCTGGGGGGCAGCTGAATTTATAGGAAAGAGACTCGACGTTACGGTTTTGGTGTTACTACAAGCCACGTCGCCATTCTTAAGCCCTATACGGCTGAAAGACGCTGTTAAAAATATAAACTACCCCATTCCTTATGACTGTGTTTTTTCAGCTCATAGGTGAGTAAGATTTTTTGTGGGTTTTAGTAAACGTAAAATGCCGTAATTAAATTATTGTTGAGTTCAGAGCTTCTGAATCAGACAGAGGTTCAGACAGAGAATCCAGTTGCTATATTTAAGTGAATGTTTATTTTAGAAGCTATAAACTTCGGTGGAAACAACTTGGAAGCACTTTTTCTCCCATTAACTTCGACGTCTTCGCCAGACCGAGGCGACAGGACTGGGGCGGAGATTTGATAGAAACTGGAGCATTTTACATTTCAAAGCGACATCTCATAGAAAGTGGTCTCTTTCAAAATCACAAGTGAGTAGAATTAAAAATAACTTAATGTTTACCTCTGTTTTTGTTTGTGTAGCTGTTCCGCCAACGATACGTGCCTAGTGGTGGAAAATGAATTTCCGAACGAAAATGGCAGCGATTGGCTGCGTTTGGCGGAAAATACAAATGTTAGAAATTGTTAGCAAAATGGCGATCGCCATGGCAACGTCCGAACCTATAGCATGTTTTCTTCTAAGACACGTTTGCTAAACTTCAAAAGTGATGTTTTTCTATACATTTTTTTGACGGTGACAGCACTTTACCACTAAAAGGACGCCATTTTACTAGCTAGCGCTATTTTTCGCCAAACGCCCCCGTCACCGCAAGTGGGTGGCAAAACGTCAAATGAGGTGACACTTCCGCCGTAATGCCAAATCATATTCCAAATTTCCAAATCGGCGCAAGCGCATGCTAAACTTTTGTTTGTTTTTTGAAAGTTATTTATCTTTTGAGTTTTATTTATTTGTTGTTGTACATACTTTTAGTTGCACCGTCACAGAAGTTTTTGGCGCCGAAAGTTTAGAAGTTGATACTTATTACGATCTAGGAGTTGCAAACGCCCTACTTAGTTCTAACTTAGCACTGTGATATGTTAGAATTTATTGTAAGTATTTTTAATGGTAATTTATGTTAATCCTTGATGTCATTACCTTCATACAACTACATGTGTAACTTTGTCATTAGGATTTTAATCTTAATAATGAGAATTACCGATTGAATTGTTTTATTGAGTAGAAATTAATTATACATGCAATTATGTGGAACTATGTAGACACAGTTGGCATTATTCTGCTTTCTAGATATCAGATATACACTTGTCTACATGTTTTTTTATTTATGTATTAGTGCAATAACGTTTGTTATGATCAATTGCTGGATATTTATAGATCTTTATTTAATTACTAAGTTTTGAGTATCTTTGCAGTAGTACCCAAAATGCCAAATAACAGTACGGATATAGTGACGTATGAAGAGTTGGAAGCTACGGACGTGATTAGCGTAGAACTGGTTCCGGAGAGAAAAGGGCTGATATTGAAACATTGTGAATATTACGTGAGCTCCAGAAGACATGGCACCACTGTGACGAGGCGATACAATGACTTTTCCCAGCTGTATGATGTCTTGTATGCAAAATATCCTTATCGGTAAGTACCAGTTAGCAGCTGTGAGAAAATCCCAGAAACAATTTAATTTTAGTAGACATTATATTTCCTTGTACGCCTAATGTTGTTTAATTGTACTAGGTAGTTACCTGAATTTATCAACAAATTCATACAATTTACAACTTTTTTTACTTACTTTTTTTGTGAATGTTAACTTTAAGATTTTCATTTATAAGCCTAACTTTTTATTAGGTAAAAACAAACTGAAAACGAAACAAAAAATTTTTGGTTTAATTTTCAGTGGAACCCTAAAAATCGATTACCGCGACCATGCTTTACTGAGAACGATTTATTCGTGCTCCGGATACGGGTAGTACATTCGGGTTGACACTAACACTATATTTACCGATTGTTCGCCTAGGTGAGCGGGTTTTTTCCCCGATCACTCATCTGCATTATATTCCATTTTGCCGCCCAGCTGTGCCGAGCCGATAAATGCCGGCGCGTTAGCGTTAATGTCTATCACCCGTATTCACAAACTATGCTTGCATAAGTGCAAAAAATCGAACGCACAGCGTAGAATAGAGCTCTGTGATTGTTTCACGTGTGACCCAGTGCGCCCACGTGCACTATGAGACCTCATAGCAATGTTTGTGAATACGGGCATAGCAATAGCAACCCTTACTACCTACCTACAACAGTTGACGTTAAAAAATATTACCTTGCGCCAGAAGTGTTACAAGTTTTAGTCCCGTTAACGCCTTATGGTAAGCTAAATACTTTATGTTACGAGTGGTTCATCACCTCAATAGCACAGCAGAGATCGAACCTGCGTTCATCGGATCTGAGTCTGACCCGACCCGACGACACCGACAGGCCTTTGGGCTATGGTCGCTTCTTTAGGCTATTGCCTCTAAGTAGGTATTACGTACGCAGATACTGCTATCTACTACCTAGTTTTTTCCGAACAGATATGTTACAGTTGATTGATGGGAACAATGTTCCCACAGCCCGCGTGTGAGATGAGAGGAAATGTGATAAACTGGGCGGATGATTTCATTATCTCGTAGTTACCTAACACCATTGTATGTGTGCGATCTATGTCAAGAACTTTTGCGATGATAAAGTACCTACTCACTAGTTTATTCATAACTTCCTTTTATCGCATTGTCTTAATAAAATAACTGCAAATTTTATATTTTTCCTATTTCTTTATCTCCTTTCAGTTAAGTAGGTACTTAATAGGACTAAAATATGTACCTTATTTAAGTAATAAGAGGTACTGTCGGATGGCGTCGGCGGCACACTCAATATTTTACTCGTACTAAACCTGTTATGGTATCACATTTTGTTACTCATTAACCGTAAAAGAATATATCAATTGTTATCGCTTTATAACCAACGACCTTTACATTACAAAAGTACAATGTAAAAGTTGGTATCTTTGGTAGGTAAACCTACCTACCTACCTCGAAACATAATTTATAAAATAACGTGTGTGTTTTTGTAGATCATGGTTAATATAGCTAGCCGTGTGTATTATTTGGTTTTATTCATTAAATGTCGTAATTACCATAATTAAGTACTAGCCTTCCATAACTCCTTTCAGCTCAGTATGCCGGTTGCCGCCAAAACGTGTCGTGGTAGGCGGTGGGAGTCCTCGCTTCCTACAGCGGAGGCGAGCGGCTCTGCAGAGGTGGCTCACCCTGGTCGCCAGGCACCCAGTCTTAGCTCACGATGCAGACCTCCGCAGTTTCCTCTGCGAGACTACATCGAGGTTGGACAAACCGAAGCACGATGAGTTTGTACTGGCTGGCACACAAGAAGACAGCCCTGTAAGAAACCTCATGTTACCTATGACGTTCCATAGAAACTGTTTTAGTAAAACAGTCACTTTATGACCCTCATGATCCCGTGCCCATGATTGTATGTATAACATAATAAAGTTGGCACAAAACTGTTGATCGTAAAATTACTTTATTTGTATGATTCACGTGCTTGATAATTCGTTTTTAGTCATGACTATCGTAACCAATCCAATATGTATTTTTTTAAGGTTTTCATAATGTTATCTAGCTATTCATCTCATTCTTATTTACCCATTTTAGAGGGAAATGTCAACTGAGGATATGCAGGCAGCATTTACGACGGATCAGGAGCAGCTCCGCTTAGCTCTTTTGGGCATTGACAGAATATACCAGATATTTGAAAGAGGTTGGTCCTTCGAGCCAGATTGTGATTTTATTACTAAGCCATACATGTTTATTAATGGTCATTGTTTTGTTATTAGTCGAAAGCAGGTGTGAAGCAGAGCGGGCTGATATACGGGAATTGGGAAATGGTCTAAATGCTCTGTCTACGCCATCGATAGCTGATGGGCCTAGGTGGTCTCATGTAAAAGAGGCTATGAAAGCTGCAGCAGAGTAAGTTGAGATAAATCTTTCTATAAGACATAATGGGTGAATATCCGTATCAGTAGATAAGAAGATTTGATAAAAGCATCGATATCAATTTCGTAGACTCATAGCTACTTCTCCTTTTGCTTTTGAGGACAAGCTAACAAGTAGGTATATTGTAGAAATCAAAACAGTAGAACAGCAATGCATTCCTTCCAGCTTAGTGACAGAGCTGAGCGAGTCTCCTCCTGAGGAGATGGACTTCACGGAAGACGGTCCCGGTGGCAAGGTGTTACTGGCCCTTGATGCATTAGGTGCTTACCGCGAGCTATGCTCCCGGCTGACCAGGGGCCTCCATGCTGAGAGAGCCGCTGCTGCCGCTGCGGCCCCGCACACGGCGGCTTCGCAGCTGCTAAGGGAACGACACAGATACGCTCTCCGATGTTCTTTGGAAGTAAGTAACCGATAAAGCTTGAGAAGAATTGAATCGAACCAGTTCTTTCGCAGTAAATTATAGTGCATGGTGCTATGTAATGTGCTTTAGATTAAAATTTAAAAATATTATGTTAATAGGTAAATTGTATCAAATTGACAGAATTGAAATGAAATATTTTACACCTTTTGAAGCTTAGTATAAAATTCATTGGTTCCGTTGGCTACGCTCATAAAATTGAGTGCCGAGTGGATATTAATTTGCCTCAAACGAACTTGTTGTATCCAAAATTGCATCAAATATACAAGTAGGTTGATTGGAATTTGATTAAAACTAGCCCTTAATTTCATTGCATTTCTTTCTTCGCAGGAAGCCCGTATCGGCCGCGCATACGCACTGGCTGCGCTAGAATCGCTGCCAGAGCTCTTCAGAACCCACGGGACCGCGCATGCGCGCATCGCTGCTCTATGGGCAGATCTACACACGGCTCTACGACACCCGCAAGCCAAGCCCACTATTAAATAAAAAAAAACATCCGACGTTGAATGAGTTCATAGAACAATTACTGTGCAGACGAGACCGCAACAATCTTCTTTGACTCCGTATGCCTATTTATGCCTAACTTTATGGCATCGAAGGCTAACTTCAAATTTGCCATTGCTCAACATTTAGGCGATTCATTGGCGACCCGTGGTGGTGAGGTAATGATTCTCCTAATGATTTCTTAGTAGTGAAGTAATGAGGTTTTTCCACATTTGGCTAATAGTTTTTTTTTTATCTTTCAACGGACCAAATGTTTAGTGCATGTATTTACCTACATACCTACCTCATATTGAATTATGCAATAAAAACCCTGTATTGTTTACATTTTACTTAAAAAAGTAAAATGCAAGGAAAGGGCAAATGTGCTAGAGTTATCGTGGTTATCGACAACTAAGCGAATATTGTGGCCACGTCTTCGCCTAGTGTTCACATTCGCTTCGTGGATATTTTATTTGACTACGAATACGAGGGAGAAAAGTCCAACACCATATTGCCTAGTTAAATAGAAGTCTGTGCCTTTTGAAGTTTTAAAGTGTGCAATACAATGTAGCTTTTAGTTTAAACAATATCGCACAGCGAGTGTTGTGAGAAAAGCATAATATCAATTTAAAGAATTATTGTTATATATTTTGTAGCTTGTATTATATTGTAAAATCATACATATTAATAATTTATATTATTTTAGTGTATTCTATTCAGTGTATTATTATGTATTGTATTTGTATGGTGGCAGGTAATCATAAGATCTGACCAAGTAAAATTCTTCTGTGATAAAAAAAAGCTCGAATTACATTTATACTGTTTTTAGTTGTTTATTAATGTTATGTTTTGACAAGTATTTATTACCTTGATACAAATCTAACTTGATCCGTAGTAAATAAGTGTCCATATCAATTTAATTTATGTACGTGTGTTTTGTTTATTTAAGTAAGTACACAGTTAAAGACGAGATGAAACCATTATATTTTTTTAATCGATAAATAAAGTTCGTTATTATAATTATCATAAACCTTTAATTTTTCAATTAAGTTAATCCCTAACATCGTTAAAAACAAAGAACCAATTTAGATAGTTGGATTGGAAGATCCTTCTTGATCGTTAGGAGAGCGAAAAAGCGTTCGATTGCTACGATGATTATTATGGTTAGATAAAAATATTAAACAACGGATTTCATCCGAGGGACATGATCGCGGCTGCCGATTCTTATCTTTATCTGTAGATACGCTACCTACGATTCAGGAGATAATATTATGAAAATTCATTATTAGGAATTGTAAAAAAATCTTGCGATTTTCGTATAAGTTAGATTTTCTAAACTTCGCTAGGTTTGAAGTTGATTTCGTCGCAAGGATGGCGTGCAATGGCGCGCATAACATTTGTTTGAAGCCTGCGCTAACAAAGGTTGATGCCATGCTGAAATTACGTCATAAGTAAGCCAAGTGAGTACACATAACTTGGCAGTTTAATAAACAATCACAGTGACAAAATAATTCGATCACCGTTACACAAAAGGGAAAGATGATTGTTTACAACTTTACTACAAACGGAGATTGTCCCGCCCTTCTTCGTGGAAAATATATTTACAAACATCTTTTGTTATTCTATTCGTCGAGTAACGATTAGATCATTACATCGCTTGTATGATTAGTCCGTGCTGAATATCCCGTGCAGATGGAGGTGTTACTACTGACCGTTTTGCTGAGCGTAGCCGCTGCCGAATTCGCACAAGATCTCGCGCACGTGGAAGCCTTCATAGAACAAAAGAGATACGTTTTGAAGAAGAAGTATCGGCCACTCTACCACATTTCAGCGCCGGTTGGCTGGCTCAACAGCCCGGCTGGATTCGCCTACTTCAAACGCCGATACCACATCTTTTACCAATATCACCCGTACAATGGCGCTTGGGGCACCATGCACTGGGGTCAGGCCATCAGTGACAACCTCATCGACTGGGTGCATTATCCTCCTGCAGTGCTCCCCAAGGACTTTTACGATCGGCACGGCTGCTTGGCAGGAACAGCCGTTATGCACAACAACTACCTAACACTCTTCTACACTGGTGTCGTCCAAACGCAAAATCAGACTATCCAGACACAAAACATAGCTATTAGTGGAGATGGAATCATCTTTCAGAAATATCTGTATAATCCTGTTATTAGACAATACCCCGCGAATGTCACAGACTTCAGGAACCCTAAAGTTTGGAGATTTCGAAACAAATGGTTCATGATCCTCGGAAGTGCTACAGAAAACAGACAAGGACAGTTAATTTTATTCAGTTCTCCAGATATGTTTCATTGGAAATATAACAGGACCTTGGCAAGATCGTACGGAGACATGGGGTACATGTGGGAGAATCCTGATTTATTCGAAGTGGACGGGCAGCACGTTCTAATTCTGTCGGTCCAAGGTATTCAAGCTGAAAGCTACAGATTCAGGAATTTGTACCAAACAGGATATGTCGTGGGAAATTTTAATTACCATTCATTGCGTTTTGAGAACCTTGAAGTTTCTATGGCTACATTTACTGAATTGGATTATGGGCATGACTTCTACGCAGCTCATACGTTACAAGCGTATGATGGAAGGAGGCTTTTGATCGCTTGGCTGGGGATGTGGGAAAGTGAGTTGGTTGAATCTCGTGACGGCTGGGCAAGTATGATGACATTGATCAGGGAAGTTCGCCTAAGTCCTCAGGGCCGACTGCTGATGACGCCCATAAAGGAGATGGTAGACCTGCGAACTGAAATATTGGAGGACGCGTGGTACAGCCCTGGGGAAGCTTTCCATGCTGGGAGCAAATCCTTCGAGCTGATAGTGAACGCGAGTTCTGTGTTGTACGATGCAGCCGTGACCTTTGAATGGCACGGGGAGAGGCAATATGCGATAGCTTACTCAGCAGAACGGGGTCGTATTACTGTGGATCGTGGGGGGATAGACGGCATAAGAAAAGCAGACTGGTCCCCAACGGGTCATATGCATTGGCGAATATTCGTCGATTCGAGCTCAATAGAAGTGTTTTGTGGTGATGGTGAAGTGGTGTTCTCAAGTAGGATCTATCCAAAGAGAGGTATCCAAATAAGGATTGGTGGTGAAATGCAGCTACATGTAACCCAATATAAGATCAGGCGAAGTGTAGGCTATGATGAAAAACTGCGCCAATATTTAAAACATAACTTTGTAAATAGAATAAAGTATTGATATGGCTATCCATATTTTTATTTTATTAGATTTAAAAATTAGGTGAGAGGAAATTAAAAGTGTAGTAGCCAAAAATAGACTTTTCTGTCCCTAAATAGCTTGATTTCACAAGGGAAGATCCAATGTAATTTTACGCAACATGAGAAAAGGGACGTGAAAGTAATTTCATTTCACCCACGTTACGTAGGTACTACGCACAACTAGAGATGGGTTTCCACCCGGGTAAAAACCCACATGAGGGTAAAAACCCAATAAAAACCCGTTTCATTCCACCCGTGGGTGTTTACACCGGGTGAAAACAAATAATGTTATAATTATTTCAATTGGTATCTTTTCTTTATTTTTATTGAATTTTTCTCATTTAAGTTTATTGATTAATAAGTAATAAGTCAAATTTAACACTAATATGCATTTATATCGTGGCCAAATCGTAAAATTGGTCACGTTATGATGATGTGACCAATTATTTTTATAAAATGGTGTTATTTCAAGAATCGTTGAACCGATTTAAAAGAAATTTAGTAGGAACACAATAATTTGTGATCATAGCAAGGACATGGAGGGGGGGATGCCAAAGATGCCAATCTCTCTCTTTGATGACATTACGGTATAAAGTTACAAATAACAACACCAACTACAAAGTACTTCTGCTTAAAAACTTGAAATCGACCGCCCTTCCGCCACTGGAACGCATTGTAACGTTTTTCAAGACCTCCTCTCCCCCCAGATTGCATTACGTAACACTAGAATGCCCCCTTAGCAACAAATACCACTTCTCACTTTAAAAAAACGCTATTTTTGTTTTCACCCACCAGAATGGGTGATAATGGGAAAAAACCGGGTTTTTACCCAAATCACCCAGTTTAAACCCAATCGGGTGAAATGGGTTTTTACCCACTACCCATCTCTACGCACAACTAGCCGTGTAGCTTCAGAGAATCGGATAGCTTAAGTAAAATTCCAAGTCTTTGACACGATTGAAACACAATTCTAAACTTTATGAAACGGGGTTAAAGTTCAAAACTTCTTACAAAATAATTGTTTTATTAACAACACTCGCACTTGACGCCTACTACGTCAGACAATCGCTGTGACGTCATTTCTGAACCTCATAGATTAAAAATATGCAGAAGGTAACATTAGGCATGAAAATTGTTTCGTATCGTTCTTATTCCGTTTCAGCCACGTTACGTCCACTGTGGACAAAGACCTCCCCCAAGGATAACCAACCATACAACATAGGTACCTACCTACTCGTATTTATTAGGTACACCTTATGCAGTTAGGCGCATGCATGCATGGTGAATTATTTTTTCTGTTATCCCCGGAATTTCATTTCGCCAATTATGACACGGCACAGAAGGTAAATCAATTTCATCACACATTCACACCAGTTTTAGAGATATTTTTCAGAACGCGGCGGGTCTTCTGTAACTTTTATCTATCCACGCAAAAAGTCGAGACAGTAGGGGTAGAGACCACTACTAAAACTTTCCCCTAGAACACAGGAGTTTGTCAATGCTGGTGGCCGTTAAAAAACAAATTAAAATTCGGATTCTCAAAAGATAAAGAACTTACTTAGTTGTTTTATTGATTTGCACATTGGCTAAATTCAAAATATCTAGACTAACCGTAACCGTCTGTCTGTTACTGATTGTAAAGAACTGTAGAGTAGGGACACAGAATATTGTTAAATTGTTTATTTATTGAAATCCTACTAATATTATAAATGCGAAAGTTTGGATGTCTGGATGTTTGTTACTTTTTCACGCAAAAACTATTGAACGGATTTTGATGAAACTTTACAGTATTATTGTTTATAACCCAGAATGACGTTATAGGCTATAATTTATGACGATCTGTGACAAACGAAATTTCGAAGCCGCGGGAAAAAGCTATAGTATTAAATATTAAAAAAAAAGCTAAACATAATATCTAATTTGCCTTAAAATTATTTTATACCTTCTCAACTAAGTATGGAACGTGAAACGTAGACGTATTAAATATTAGTAAAATATTCAGCTGCTAGTAATATAAATCAAATAAAAATCTAAAGAAAAATAACTTTTCTGAAAATGGGTATTTGATTGTAAGAAACTGGTAACCCTAAACTGAAATGTCAAACTGGTGTCGTATACTTGCTGAGGGGAGAAGGCGGCGGGGCACAGGTTGAATGGGCAGCTGTTTTGGGAGTGAGTAAAATACCTACACCTAGTGCAAATCTGACTACGCGACGTGTTTCCCTGGACGTGATTCGCGTCCGATACGGCATAAAGCGCCGGCCGACACATCTGACCACCAGTGCAGTGTTTAATATCACCAAAATGATCACGTACTTCTCTCTATTCGTGTTAAGTTTCGCGTTAGTCAGTTCGGATGGAGAGCTCAAATTTTACCAAGAGAAGGTGAGTGTTTGTTTGTTCAAAAGTTTATTTACCCAAAACTTTTCCTGGTGAATGTGTGAATCTGAATGGTCAATGAAGGCCATGCGACCTTAAAATTGCAGTAGAAAGTAAACAGTGTCATGAATTGTGACCTCTTGTCTCTGTGCAGATAATTAAAATCCTTGAAAGTGAACTTTATCTGATCTAATCAATATTCAATAAGACTATTATTAGATAACAAAGATGCTTAAAATTTAATTAAAACATAACTGCACAGCCTTTTGTTTTTAATTATGATTTCAAACAAATTATTGCAAGAATTATAATCTAAATATTGAAATGTTATGCTTGATACATTTAGGTATGCAGAATTTACTATGACATAAACTAAATTTTGCTTTGAATTTAATGGCCAACTTTTCAAGGAAACAACTGCTTATTTTGTATTCATTACATATCTTTTTAGGCATTCCACGAAGCTCAAGAACTCACGAATAGCAATGTGAGAGCTATAGCCCAGCTGTCAGATATGAACCACTTCAAGAGTGTGTTGAATGAAATCCTAATACCACGAGTTGTGGGCACCCCAAACCACGAAAAAGTTGGTAATTACATCGTGAACCAACTGAAGGGGCTTGGTTGGGATGTCACGGAGAATGTGTTTGCAGACACCACACCGGTATTTGGCACGTTGAACTTTAAAAATATTATTGCCAAGTTGAACCCAAATGCGGACAGATTTTTGGTCCTGGCGTGCCATTATGACAGTAAATATACAAGAGAACATGTATTTGTTGGTAAGTGCTTTGAAATACAGTTTAATTCTTAGAATTATTTTCTCTTTCTATTATCATTCTATGATTATGTAAATTAGATAAGATAAAGAGGGATTTAATTCTGAAGTGGTCATATCTTCATTATTTCGAAAATGCAATGAGAATTTTATTAATATCATTAAATAGTGGTTTGTTCATTTAAGATATAAACTTGATTGTCCCATACACTATGGAATACAGGTCTAAATAAGAATTCCCTTGTGGTATAATAATGAACACTATTACACTAATATGTAAGTCCTATTTATGGTGAAGGTTTGTTGAAGGGTTTTATCAAACAAAAGTTATAAAAATATATTGTACCTTAGGTGCCACCGACTCTGCAGTCCCCTGTGCCATGATGATCAACCTTGCCAAAGTCATGTCTACACAGCTGGATAAACTGAAGCAGTCGAAGCTTAGCCTCATGTTCATATTCTTCGACGGAGAAGAAGCCTTCAGGCAGTGGGGTCCCACAGACTCAATTTATGGAGCGAGGCATTTGGCACAGAAGTGGCAGTCGTCACCGTACAAAGATGGAGCCAATGACTTGCAGAGGATGGTAAGTGATTTTTGTATTCTGTTAGTAAATGTAAACTTATTAAATCTTTTGTCCTGATCTGACTGTCAACAGCCCTGCAGCCTAGAAAACTGATCTCTGGAATATAGGCTTATTTAGCTTCAGGCCATGACGTTGTCCAATGTTCCAAGCAAGCAAAGTAAAGGACTTGTTTTGTACGTAGCCTTCTGCTCGGTGAACCCAGGTCCAGTGGCGTAAATACAGCATCCGAGGCCCGTGGCAAATTCTGTGCATGGGGCCCTTGTGCCCCTTGTCGTATCTAGGTCGCTTATGGTCTTGGACGGGGCCTCTTCGGGTCGCGGGGGCCCGTGGCATTTTGCCAGTCCGAACTTGGCACTTCCCATGTCGTAGGTAGTTTAGTTCGTCTTAGAAATCATTCACTAGCATTCTTTTCCATGCAGGCTGTTCATTCATTCTAACTCTCTTTAGACAAAGATATACCTAGTTACTTAATAATTAGTCGTTCAAAGACAAAATGTAAAAAGAAAAACCTAAAGATGTAATCTAAAACTGTCCTCCACTGTTTATTCGCACAAATTGCCACTTCGGTGCAAAGGAAAAAGGATAAAACGCGGCCTTATTTCTCAAAGGGTAGTTTCTCTGAAGGTTCTAACTTCGTAATCTCACGCTGAAAAGTTTCGCTGAGGGTAATCCGACATTTACACTAGTCACAGCTCTACAGCTCTGTTTTACAAGTTCGTAATTGAGTTCGGAAACTAGGACTTCAGTTATAGTTGTAGGTACCTAGTTTTAGTAGTCTTTTGTTTTAACGGAGAGTCCTATTGTTAAACATTTTTAAAGCTGTTTAATTTAGGTAAGGCTTAGTGCCTTTTCACACGTTCCGGTTGCTGGCTATCCGGCGCCGGGTACCCGGTGGTGAAGTGTATGGGCATGGTACGGAGCTTTCACATGTTCCGGCGTAAATTAATCCGGCAGGCGGTCGCCGGGTGCGCGCCGGATCCACCACTGTACGTCCGGTCGCCGGGCACCGGTTAGCCGGCGGCCGAACTGACAGTGGTGTATGGAACACGCAACTAGCTTTCACACGCGCCGGCCGGTCAGTCGTCCAGGTACAGTCTGCGAGAGTTGCAGTTTCTCATTTTTGTATCCTGACGTTGCAAAGAGTTCTTCAAACGGTTATGTAATTCATCAAAAGTAGTTGTACTTGAAAAACCTGTCTTCATGTGCTCGTAGATCTGGGTATAATGTATAGAATGCACCTAATGCTTCTCTTTTCATATTAATTGTATGAATCCAATAATTTCTTGATATTTCTTTCCGGCGCAGATATTTTCGTCTTCGATATTTTTTTTTTTATTTTTTTTTTATGCATAACAAGGCAGGTATTTGATCACAAGCGCACCTGATGTTAAGTGGGATGCAGTCTAGGATATAAAAGCCACATTGCAATTATTTGTTCACGGTCCATCTTTGAAAGTATGAAATGAACGAGACTGTACTCTTGTCGTCATCAACCGGGGCGTGTGAAAGCTCATTTGACGCCGGGTAGCCGGCGCCGGATAGCCGGCAACCGGAACGTGTGAAAAGGCACTACGTCCGGTCGCCGAGCATCGGTTAGCCGGCGGCCGAACTGACAGTGGTGTATGTAACACGCAACTAGCTTTCACACGCGCCGGGCGGTCAGTCATCCAGGTACAGTCTGCGAAAGATGCAGTTTCTCATTTTTGTATCCTGACGTTGCAAAGAGTTCTTCAAACGGTTATGTAATTCATCAAAAGTAGTTGTACTTGAAAAACCTGTCTTCATGTGCTCGTAGATCTGGGAATAATGTATAGAATGCACCTAATGCTTCTCTTTTCATATTAATTGTATGAACCCAATAATTTCTTGATATTTCTTTCCGGCGCAGATATTTTCGTCTTCGATATTTTATTTTATTTTATTTATTTATTTTATGCATAACAAGGCAGGTATTTGATCACAATCGCACCTGATGTTAAGTGGGATGCAGTCTAGGATATAAAGCCACATTGCAATTATTTGTTCACGGTCCATCTTTGAAAGTATGAAATGAACGAGACTGTACTCTTGTCGGCTCTCTAGTCGATACTGCCGTCATCAACCGGGGCGTGTGAAAGCTCATTTGACGCCGGGTAGCCGGCGCCGGATAGCCGGCAACCGGAACGTGTGAAAAGGCACTTATAGTGGGCAACGTAGGAACGGTCGTTATGGAAATCCTTGGGGAGGCCTTTGTCCAGCGGTGGACGTCATTTGGCTGAAACGAACGAACGAAGGCTTATGTAAGTTAGTAGGTTGGGTTTTTGTGGCGGTCAAGGTATCCTTCCGTTTGGCCAAATTACTTTTCGCCAAATTTCACTTCGCAAACAACTTATCGCCAAAGTTTCATTTCCCAAATTAACTTTTAGCAACTGTACTTTTCGCAACTAATTCATTTGGTCAAATTATCATTTGGCCAAATTTTACTTGGCAAATGTTTATATAGCAAATGTTTTATGTTGCCAAATATTATATCCCAAATAATTTGTTTGGTCAAATTGACACTTCACATACTTACCCACCGTTACCCACAAATCAAAGTATAAGGCACATGATCATGGTTTTCACAAGAATTTTATGTAAAACATTGCAGGAAATAGTATGGTTGCAAAAAGTAGGTATTACAGAAAAAAGTAGGTTAGGTTAGGTTAGAACAGTGACCCTTAATGCGCGAAGGCGAGCGAAGCGTGCCGCGGCAGCGGCCGCCGAGCGCTAGAATCACCTCTATTGTTAATGAATCGTTTGGAAATTTCGATAAAAAGAATGAAATAAGGAAATTAATGCAGAACAATTTTTGTATTAACTACCCACTAAACAAAACAATAACCACAAGCTAATTTGTATCCATTCTATGCACCAATCAAATTATTTTGTAAATAGTTTATCGTGAAACATTTTTGCCTAATGAAACATTTGGCAAACCATACTTTGCCAAACAATAATTTGGTAAACAATAATATGCCAAAAACAACATTTGCGAATTAAAAGTTTGCAATAAGTTGCTTTGCCAAATGAGTATTTGCCAAATGAAAATTTGCGAAACGTTGTTTGCGATGTGATAATTTGGGAAACGTTTTTTGGCCAAACATTAGTAATCCGGCGGTCAAGCTGTAGATCCTGGCTACACAGGAGTTGCAGTGGTGGGAACGAGAGTTGGGAATAGTTCCGTATTTTTTTTATGTAAGTTAGTAATGTTGTCCGTTTGTTTGTGCAAAAGAAAATGCGATATAGATAAACGGCCGATCGATTCTAGCTGTGATTGTCAAGCCTTTGAAACCTTACGAGAAATAGTCTAGCTATTGTGGATTAAAAGGAATAGAAAAAGCTTTTAATTTTCTTTTTCGCTTATATCCTGAAAAAATACTTTACCTTCATGCAAGCGCCTTATGGTGATTTCCCCAAAGAAATCAAAAATTCAGATAATAATTTTGTTTACCCATAGAAGCAAAATGCGTTAATCATTAGGCGCTGTAACTAAAATTTATTTAAGTAGTCCAAAGTTCTTTAAAAAATCACACACAAAATTATGATTGCAATAAATTGTGTAATCTAAATATTTGTATACGACCGTAGAGAAAGTAAAGTATGTGCTTCTAATTAAGACATTTCATTATCGTTCCGGAGCATGGGTTTTGCCCGGGCGATAACGTACAAAGCTTAAAAGGCTCTAAGTGTTACATTCTCGGAACCCATATGACCACAAGGAAAATCGCCTTCATCTCGTAACGGGGAATCCATTTCTCCCGGGCAGGGGGACCTTGTTCGCTTAGCGTTGTTGATTGAGTTGACGAAGCGACTACACGTGTAAGAAATCTCAAGCAAAAAGTCGGAAAACATCGCTTACGAAACACGTTTAAAACTTTTTTAGTTTCGTTTTATAGGATTTGAGCGCAATAATTGACAGTGGGGCGAAACCAATCGTACTAACTTATTTTTAATCGTTTTTTACTTCGCTTGAATAAGAGTTGAACAGGATTCAGGCCTTAAAAAGTGTGACTTATAGAAACATCTTGCTCGTCATCATCATCAATACATACCTACTTTATTCCTAATACATTTTCATGATGAATATCACTAGGCTTTCAAGTTTTACTAGTATCCCTAAATGTGTTAAGAAGAGACTTTTCTCTGCGTAAACATTTTGTCGTATTGCCCGACCTTTAAGGCGACGAATGGCAAGCAATTTATTATGTAGCTACATTAGTAGAATTTTAATTACTGCTTCATTAAGACGACCATTGTTAATGAGCAAACACCATTGACGCGCGATATTTGGTATAGATGACCCACGCTGAACTGTCCCGCCAAACTCAATGACAGGGGGGCGCTACCATCGTTCAACTATATGGTTTCCAACATGGCAAAAATCTGAACCAGCGATCCGGTATTGACGGTGGCGCCCCACTGTCAATGTCATCGACAGGACAGTCCAGTATTTTGGAACTATATGTATGTCTGAAAATGGATGAAACAAATGAAGGAAGTAATGTATTTGTATAGCGGTTTAATGTCACTCGTTTTGTGTGCCATATTCATAGGAAAATCGTGATTGAAAATGGTATCATCATCATTATTTACAGCGTTCCAGACATCGCCTTTTTCTTGTGTCCCAAATGTCCCAATCACAATAATGATGATTATCATCAAATCTACCATTTCTTTTGAGGAAAACTAGGCCATAATTAAACAGATGTACTACAAACCAATAGTATCCAATTATTTTTTTTGAAAAACATGAATTTTATACCTTGGTAGATAAATATTGACGTATGGTATGGTACCTATCCAATTTTATTATAATCACAACAATTAAGTTAGATTGTTTTGAAAGCTGGACTTGTGATCCTGCTGTAGCCACTCCTCATTTCTGGATTCATTTCCATTTTAGGCAAATGACTAGTCTGAAACGGGTAATCAACTATGCAGATTGTGAAGCTTGTAGCCTATTTAGTGGGAACTGGAAC